ATGATTTCGATCGCCCAAAATGGTTTGGTGCTAGCTCAATGGGTCCACAAATAGTAATTACTTACTCCCCGTCATAAAACATTCTTCTCAGTTACTATTTATGCGGTCAAACTTTAATAATTTTCTTTACATATTTTCGTTAGTTATTTGATAAAATAATATAGTTTTATCACGTCTTGTTATGTAGAATTTTTGATGTAGTTCTCAAATGTATAAATCTAATTTTTAAATTTTACAATTAAAATTTAATAAATTAAAATGAAAGTAAAGTCGGTCAAACCTCTTGAATAGAAACGGGAAAAAATATTTTAGGAGTGATGAAGTAATTAATACCCATTATATTGTATATGGTGTCCCATGAAAAAGCTTGGCTTGAAGAAGACAACCCACACACACTCTTCCTCTCATTGTCTCTCCAAACAACTTAAACTTCCAACAAAAGCAAAGCTCCCCTTTGAATTTATGATTACTCTTTTTAATTTTTTTAATAAATTATTTTACTTTATGATACATCAAAAATTAATTGTGTTTAAACAATACATCATGCATGTCTACATACAAATTAAACTTCCAACAAGTCCACCAAAAGTGATATATGAAGGTGCATGATAAATGGATCAAAATTGTCCTATTTGGCCCAGAATAAAAAAGAATAAAAAAAACTAAGAGGGAGTCAAGGTTAGCCAATGAGACGATGGTGGATAAACTTCATCGTCAAGAGAGAAACAAGGTGGAGCGCAGACGCTGATAGACGTAGCTGAACGTTGTTGCATTGATATGATATCTTGTTTTGAGCTTTTTTTAGTTGGGCTTCGGGTTATTGATTGGGCCGAATATCCCCCCTTCTTCAGGTTATCCATCATCGGTACTTTCACGGGGAATGATCGGGTCCTACTAGTCGGTCCTTTTATTCATCTCTACCTTAAACCCAGTAGATACGTATGCCACCGACACTTGTTCAGGGGCGCTCGTTGTAGAAGTAGTGCCTCACAATAGGCTAATAAAATATGACATCACCTACTTGAGATGGGTGCCATGCACAAATGACTAACTTGAGTTCGAATCTTGGCAATTGTGAAAAAAGAGCATGTTAAGCATAAGGTTCTTGTAGGTACCACAGAGGGAGGAACATATTTCATTCTCCCTATATATATTAAATTTAGATTATAGCTCAATTTATCTTCTCTCATTCTAATATTCATACCTGTACTAGACAGACCCCAAGAACTAGAGTACTCCGTCTGTCCGAAATTTTTCTTCTAATGTACCATTCACAATGTCAAATTTTATCCACTTTATTTGATTATTTTATTCATTTGATAATATAGTATATGCATATATATCACCTCTTATTTTATAGAATCTTTTATGTTGTTTTTATTATAACTTATGAACGATTTGCAAGTGAAGGATCGAACCTATTGGGCTAAAATTAGATTTTATTTTGCAAGTGAAGGATCGAACCTATTGGGCTAAAATTAGATTTTATTTTTTAAATTTACAACTATAGTCAAATAAATTTAAGAAAAATTTGCACTTAATACGACTAAAACATAAGTCATTTCCCAATATAGGACTTAAACTTTTTTATTCCTAAATATGACTTAATAAGGTCTAGGGGAAGAAATAATGTCCAGTGGTCGAGGACATTTACTTAAATAATAACTAATTAATAATGACCAATGGTCCTATATTGAAAAATAAAATCATATGGTCCTATATTGAGAAAATCATTATATTTTAGTCCTATTTAGGTAAATTACTCTAAATTTAATTGAAAATAAATTACAATAAATTTCATAACGCTGAATGGGAAGAATATATACGGAAATAGGGAGTATAGTCTGTTTGCTAAAGGAAAATGAGTCAAGGAGATATTATTCTCGCATTATTGTAGCCTTTAATCTCGTCATTATTGTTAATTTTTTCTACGGGGTATTATGCTTTATATTAGTGCGTATTTTTGTACAGTAATTTGATTCTTCCATGGGTAGGTAGGCAATATAGGTCTCATAAAATTTTATCTTTTTTGAAGACTTTTTATTTAGAAATTGGTATACAATAAAATATTTAATATAAATTGGTATAAAATAAAATATTTTATAAAAATTGGAATAAAATAAAAAATTTTATAAAATATTTTATTTGATTAAAAAATCAATAAATGCACACTAATACATAAAAATTATCGAGAGACCAAAATTATACGAGTAAATAAAATGATTATTTTGAGACTAATTACTCCTCACTTTATGACACAAAGTTGGCTGGTCTTGATGATTACTCTAAATTTCTCACCTCGGCTCAAACCAAATCCACTCTAGTATCCCTTCAACTACACTTTCTAAATTTATTTGATTTTAGAGCCAGATTTTTAGACCCCAAAAATAATTACACTAGATTTATCATCGCACTCGAATAACATGCTTGTTTTTAAGGATTCATACAAATATTAGCACACCCAACTCCTTAATTTTTGTTGCAAGAATAAAAATATTTATAGAAACATGTTGACGTAGTAACAAAAAAGTCGTCCCAAACTTATTCAAACCCGATCCCCATTTTTTGTGTTTAAATAGTCATGGTCTATTATGCTAATTTTGTCTTAGTATGTAAATCAATAATGTGGTTGATAGGTGAAGGAATAATTGAATATAAGAAGTCAAATTGTGACGAGTGTTATTATTGGGACTTGTTTGAACAAATAAAAAAAATAAATTAAACAAATAAAATAGGTAAGCAAAACCGTGAAATAATCTTAGCAGAAAGATCCAAAGAGGCGGGAATTTTCACGAGTGAGATTTCCATCCGTGAGGAGAGAGATGAAAGACCAATAAACCGGCCACTTGCATCCCTAACAAAATAAAATAAATTAAAATAAAATACAGATAAATACAATAAATAAAAAGAAAAAAACGGGTTTTACCTTATATATATTCTCTGTGTGTGTGTTTGACAGTAACACTTTCCTTTACAATTATTATAATCATGCATCACGGGTCGCCAAAAAAGTGTACAATATCTCTCTGCTTTTTTCTCTTTTTTTAACTGCATTATTTCTCATTTTCTTTATTTGCCACGTCTTAAAAAAAAGTTTTGCGGAATAATTTCGAAATTGCTCTATATACTATAGAGGGAATGCTCAACACATAATGTTCCCCACCAAACACTAAATTTTAGTACTAGCTCCCTTCCGAATTGGATACCAGTGTCACTACTACGATTTCTCGATAATTTTTGTTTCTTTGTATATTTTCATTGATAATTTGAAAAAGTAAAAGATTCTTATCACCCGTTGTTTTATAAAGTTTTTTATGTACTTTTAAATGGTGTAATTTATACCATTAAGAGAAGTACTTTTATGGTATACTTGTCACCTGTTCTTGCTTAAGTATACCTAAATATTCTTGTCACATGTTGTCACCTGTTCTTGCTTAAGTATACCTAAATATTCTTGTCACATGTTGTCACCTGTTCTTGCTTAAGTATTTAAGGGAAGTACTTTTATGGTATACTAATAAAATTTACGAGTTAACCTTATCACATACTATGTACTCTGTATTTTTTTAGGTACTCAATAATTTAAGATACTCATCTGAAAAGTGAAACTATGTATGAAGTATTTGTTACCTAGACTCATCAAAGAGGGTACCGTAGACTTTCCTTAAAGTTCAAGGAGAAAGATCGTGCTAGGGTAATTCCAGTTACTTGATCACGTATTTTGCACAGATCACACATTCGATAAACGTCTATGTTACATAGATGATCATCGTCTGAGTGTTTGTGCAAATCCTGGGATCACTAATGTGGTTTTACCCATGAAAGAAAGTAACTACTCATGAAATTGTGAACTAACCACACAAACTAATACTTGGGTCTTACTCATCTAGACCCTGAAAACTTTCTAGCGAGGTCACACGCACATCCTAGGATTACTTTAAATCAATCTCGCTTAAGCTTGAAGTTCCTAGGCTGTGTGCTCTAAAAAAGAATTTTCTCCTTGTTGGTATGTGAACTACTATCAATCTTTTTGAGCTATCTTTTACACGAGGTATTATATTTACCTCCACTTAGGAATAAAACATCAATGTTGCACCTATCACATGCCCTTAGATCTTCGTCACTAGGTGAATTGAGTTTGTTCGACTGTCGCAGTCATAAAGTTGCTCTAATACATACCATTTGTAACACATTGTCAAAAGTGACTACTCATAAGATTGTACACTAGCCCCGCACACCAACATAAGTTTTTTTATGTGTACTTTGACCTCACTCGTGCACACCTTCAAAACTTTTGAAGTGACTTTCTTTGTATTTGTAAGCTAGTCAAAATTATTTATAAGTCACCTGATGACTTGTCTCACTGTGCTTATGAGCTAACTTTGAACTGTGTTTAAGTTAAAAAATAAGTAGATCATACCTATTCTAGCTTTTAGCAATATCCAAATGACTTAGATCTCATTTAAGTCATTTATTTATAAGAAAAAATATTTAACTTATAAGCAACTTGCCAGCTTATAAGTTAAGAACGAGAGAAACATCTGCTTCCACCTGAGATCCTTTATTTCAACTTTCGTTCGTCAACCATTAAGTGAATTACTTCGTCCGTCCTAAAACAATAACAATCTTCACTATATAAAAGTCACGATAACTTTTATTTATTTGTGCATTTCATTAACTGTTTGATAAAATAAAATATTGTTCTCAATGTTTTATTTTGTAAAACTTTTGACGTAGTTTTTAGATGCGTACGTTTTATTTTTATTTTTTACATCAATCTTTAAATAAAACAAATTTTATAAAATTTAAAAATTCATTTTTTTACGTAAAATTTAAAAAGTCAAAAGTCAAAATTTACCAATTTTGGTCGCAAAAAGTCAAAAATGGACGAATATTCACGGACGGAGGGAGTACATCTTTCTTAAATGAAAATTCTTCCATATTTAATCCTCACTAAATACGAGTATAAAACTTAAATTAAAAATTAAGAAGCATTAAACCTGAAATCAATTTCATTTAAAAAAGGTGGTCAGCAGAAATTTATTGGTAGATTTAAAGGCAGGAACTCCCGGTCGTGACCTGTAATTTAATATTTTTAATTTCAATTAAGTACGGAATTTCTTTTCTTCCACTACTATAAGACCCCATCCCCATCCTCCTCTCTCCATCACTCCAACCCGTCATATCCAGACACCATCATTAATCAATGGCGTCCCTTTTATCTTTCCGGCCGTGCTCTGTTTTGCTCTGTTTCGCTCTCCTCCTCGTTTCCCCTGTTTTTCCGGCGGATTCAGCTCAGAACGGCCCCATATTCGCCTGCGACGTCGAGAACAATCCGGGCCTCAAGGAATTCCCCTTCTGCGACGCGTCGTTGAGCGTGAAGCAGAGAGTGAAGGCTCTGGTGGGCAGCCTGACATTGCCGGAGAAGATCACTTTCTTGGTGAGCAAATCCGGCGGCGTCCCCAGGCTCGGAATCCCGCAGTACGAGTGGTGGTCGGAGGCGCTCCACGGCGTCTCCTACGTGGGGTACGGGGTCAAGTTCACCGACCTCATCCCCGGCGCCACCAGCTTCCCGGCGCCCATCCTCACCGCCGCCTCGTTCAACAAGGACCTCTTTCAGGCCATCGGGAAGGCGGTTTCCACGGAGGCGCGGGCAATGCACAACGTGGGGTTGGCCGGGCTGACTTTCTGGTCCCCGAACGTGAACATCTTCCGGGACCCGCGGTGGGGCCGCGGCCAGGAAACTCCCGGCGAGGATCCGACCCTCTCCGGCCAGTACGGCGTCCGGTACGTCAAAGGGCTGCAAGAGAGCGACGGCGAGAAGCTGAAAGTCGCCGCTTGTTGCAAACACTACACCGCTTATGATGTTGACAATTGGAAAGGGGTCGACAGATACACTTTTAGTGCAAATGTAAGTATATTTATTAGCATTAACGTTTTTAATAGACAACATTTATTTAGTGTTAGTGTTTTAAAAGTTAATCTGGACAATGAACGTTATTGTTTTTGTTTGTTTTTGGATTGGGATAATGGATGGATTAGGTGACGGAACAAGATATGCATGAGACATTTCAGCCACCATTTGAGGCATGTGTGAAAGAAGGGAATGTGGCGAGTGTGATGTGTTCATACAATCAGGTCAATGGGAAGCCAACTTGTGGTGATCCTAACCTTCTCAATGGGGTTGTTAGAGGCCAATGGAACTTGAATGGGTACTTTTTTTCTCACTTTGATTCATTCTTTTTTTTTTAATTTATCTGTTTACTCCATATATACTAATTTAAAAAATTAAATTGAATTGAAAATAAATTCTCTTAATAACGGTAGATAATGGACAATAATTTTTATTATTACTCTTTGTTTTTTTTCAGAAAAAAAATCAGCACTTATTTGAAGGTGCTTCAATATTTTGATGCCACAAATATTTGATACCATCCCATTTCTAGTATATGGTCAAAAACAAAATTATTGTGCACTTTAATATATATAGTGCTAATATTTGGATGTACATTCAGATACATTGTGACAGATTGTGACTCATTGGATGTAATTTTCAACTCTCAACACTACACCAAGACAAAAGAAGAGACTGCTGCTTTAGGATTGAATTCTGGTGAGTTTTATATTGGTGTCAAAGAATCTTTACTCAACAAAAATATATTTAGTTCTTAAGAAAGATGAGTAATTTTTTTTTTGTTTTGACCCAAAACAGGGGTGGACCTAAATTGTGGGTCATTTTTGGGGAGTTACACACAAGGGGCAGTGAACCAAGGGCTGGTGAATGAGTCAGAAATCAACAGGGCAGTGTCCAACAATTTTGCCACCCTAATGAGGCTTGGATTCTTTGATGGAAATCCCAAGAACAACAAGGATTATGGACATCTTGGCCCTGCCCATGTATGCACCCAAGAAAACCAAGAACTTGCCCGCGAAGCCGCGCGACAAGGCATCGTGTTGCTGAAGAACAGCGCCGGTTCGCTTCCTCTGTCGCCTAATGCTATAAAGTCGTTGGCTGTCATTGGGCCCAATGCCAATGCCACCAAGACCATGATTAGCAACTATGAAGGGACTCCTTGTAGGTACACAAGCCCTTTGCAGGGGCTAATGGGTGTCGTGGCCAACACGGTTTACTCCCCCGGTTGTGACAATGTGGCGTGCGATACAGCCCGAGTGGATGATGCCAAGAAAGCTGCAGCCGAGGCCGATGCAGTTGTTCTAGTGATGGGTTCGGATCAATCCGTTGAAAAAGAATCTCTAGACAGAACCAGCATTACTCTTCCGGGACAACAATCTGTTCTAGTGTCCGAGGTTGCAAAGGCTGCGAAGGGTCGTCCTCTGATCTTAGTCATAATGTCTGGAGGTGGCATGGATGTGCAATTTGCAAAGGATGATCCTAGTGTTACAAGCATTCTTTGGGTTGGGTTCCCAGGCGAAGCCGGCGGAGCTGCCCTTGCTGATGTTGTTTTTGGACTCCACAACCCAAGTGAGCATCCATTCCCATTTCTTCCTTTACATTTAACAACCTAGCTGGTTGCCAAAACTAGGTTGACATAAAATTTTGATTGACATAAAACTTCTTTTTTTTTTGTTAAGGTGGGAGGCTACCAATGACATGGTATCCACAATCATATGTGGATAGCGTCGCTATGACGGACATGAGAATGAGGCCGGGTCCTGGTTTCCCGGGTAGGACATACAGGTACTACAAGGGCCCGACCGTCTTTGAATTTGGATACGGGTTGTCGTACTCCACGTTCAAACATACCATGATCCGTGGCACTCCACGGTCGGTCTCCCTCCTCCTAGAGGAACAACACGTCTGTCGTCTTGCCTCCACGGACTGTAAGTCTGTTGAGGCTGAAGACAGCATCTGCAAGAATTCGCCAGCGTTTGACGTTCGTCTCAAGGTGAAGAATTCAGGTGGCATGAAGGGAAGCCACACTGTTTTATTGCACACCGTGCCCCCCTCGGTCCACAATGCGCCTCAGAGAAAGTTGGTGGCGTTCGAGAAGGTGCATTTGCATCCGGACGAGGAAGTCATGGTTCGGTTCAATGTGAACGTTTGCGAGCATTTGAGTGTGGTCGATGAGGTTGGAAAAAAGAAAGTCCCCCTCGGACACCATCGGCTCCACATTGGAGATTTAGAACATTCTTTAGTCATCACTGTTTAATTTGCTTTTACATTTATAAATCTGTTCTTCCCAAAGAAAACAAATTTGTACATTCTTGGAAGTGATGAGAGTGTGCAAGTTTAGAAGTTGCATTCATTCCTAACAAATTTGTATGTTCTTGAAAGCTTTTTTTTCTACACTAAGAATTTAGATATATAGTTTTCATCAAGTGATAGATTGGGCATTTTATTTGTCATATGCTAGTGCAAAATAATGTACCTTACAATTATTTTTATGAATCACATTATTGATTAATAACTTTAGACAAATAGATCTTGCCCAACCACATGCCTATTAAAAAACTTGAGTTTGAACAAGCTATGATAAGTTTAAATATTGTCTATAAGGTAAGTTTTCTTTAAATGTTTCTATATTCCTTTCTATATAAATATTGACGGGGAAAGTATTACTTGAACTCATTGTTAGAGTGCACTTTATTTTTTTTTCTTTTCAAAAAATTAGAGTGCAACAAACTATTTAGTATTTGGAGTATTGTTCTAAATTGAAATTGTATTTGAGTTTTTTTATAGGAGGATTTGAAAATATAAGTTTCAATTTTATTTTTTTAATATCACATTTTGTGCTAATTTTGAGATGAAATAAAAGAAATCTTTCTAAATAGAAGTAAAACATAGTGAAAGTATCAAAATAAGAGTTCCGTGTTCTTATTCTCTAAATAGGAGTTCGCATTGTGGTAATGTGACACTGTATATTGGCATTTTACTATAGTTTTTTTCAAAAATAAGAAAATGAAACTCCTGTTTTAATATATTTTCAATGTTATTCTCTTACTTTAGTGTTTTTCCTATAAACGGAATAATGTTTTTTAGTGTACAACAGAATACTTTACTATTCTTGGCCCAGTTGAAGGCCCATTATCTATCCATCAATGACAGCCCACTGTCATGCCATTTATTTCTAACTCAGTCCACTAGCCGCTAGCCCACTACTCCGTATATTGTAATTAACCACGCTATTGCAAGTTGCAACCTCCCACCAACTACTTGTGTTTTTTTGTTCTCATTTGACTTTATTGAAACTTTAATAGGATAATTTAGAATTAATATCCATGTAATAAATTTACAAAAATACAACTTTTCCATACAATTCAATAATAAAAATATATAATATTTTTATTTTACTTTCATTTCAAGTTTCGCGTTAAAAGGTTTTCAATTTAGACTATAAAATGTTAAATGAAAACCTTTTTTTACTAGAGAAATATTTTGTTTTTATAATGATTTTTCTGTACAAAAAGTCTAATGGTATAATATTTACTTTATAAAAGATGAGCTCCATCCCAGACCTTAGATCCGACTGGACGGAGGTAAATTGAATTCTGGTCGCAAATTAGTAATAAAAAGTAGAGTCTGCATATGGTACTTGCAGAGGTCTCATGCTTAGTATATATAATTGACATTATTTACTTTATAAATTACTCCCTCCTTCCCCATTTTGGTTACAATTTTTCTCTCTCCTTGATAACTTTTGTTTATCTACGCGATTTTATTAAGTATTTGATAAAATAAAATATTCTTGTCACATCTTATTTTGTAAAACTTTTGACATGGCTTTTTAATATATAATTTTTATTTCTTATTGATATATCGATTTGTAAATAAAATAATTTCAAAAAGTGGGAAATTTTTCTTGGTAAACTCCAATTTGTAATCAAATTGGGGATGAAAGGAGTAGATGAATGGTGGAAAGTTATGAGTATAACCTTAGGCACTATTATATTATTCTTTTCACCTATTATTTTGTAAAACTTTCTACCTAATTTTTTAATCCGTAATTTTATAATTTATTTTTATACAAAATTTTTTAAAAAAATGATTTAAGAAATACCAGGTTTGGCCTCGTAAAATGTCTATGCAGACACAAACATTATGTGTCTGTGTGTCTGTATTAACTTGGTGTATAAATGAGTACTCATAGGTTAATTCAAAATATAATCAAATTATTCATGCATGTTTGTGAAACAAATAATGTCAAATTTTGGTGATCATGTTGCCCACCCCCTCGCTAGGGAGGTGTCTAATCCGATAGAATGGCTTGTTGTTCCATTTTTTTTTGTAAACACTAGCTATTTCTGATGATACGATGAATTAAGCTTTTGTTGTAAAAAAAATTACCTTAACTATTAATGATCAAATTATCATTACAAAAATTCAGCGTCAAGCTTTAACGTCATAAAGAGTGTATCGATCAACAATACTTCGTACAAGTATTTAATTTAACGTGTTTAAAGTTAACCTACATATAATAAAAAACAATTCAAAAACAGACATTAATATGTACTCCTCCCGATCAAATTAGGATGTGTTTTCCCAAACAAAAAGAGTAAAAAATACTCCATAATGTAATATTTGCACAGACTAAACGTAAGTCATTTTCCAATGTAGGACTTAAACTTTTTTATTCCCTAAATGATTTTTAATACTGTCGAGTGGGAGGAATAATGTCCAGTGATGGTGGAGATTTACTTGAATAATGACTAATGATCCTACATTTAAAAATAAAAAACATACTCCGTATGATCTTATATTGAAAAAGTCATTATGTTTAATGGTCCGTTTGGTATATGGAATTGACGGAATTGGAATTGAATTGGAATTGAAATTCCATGAGATTCAATTCCATAGAATTGAATTCTACCAATTCCAATTCATTTTTGCACTATGAATTCCAAATCCACAAAATTTTTGTGCTACCAAACATCAAAATTGGAATTGAAGTCCTCAATTCCAATTCCATAGTTTGAATTCCGTGTACCAAACAGGGCCTTAATCTTATTTAAGTAAATTCATCAAAAATTATTCAAAACGCTAACGTTAATTACAAGAAAGGCTTCCACTCTCAAATCCTCCAAGCATACCACGAAGGGGAGAGTACAATGGATATATGGGGGGATGATCATCATCCATAGTTCCATCTCACGTCAATCTCCATCCATTCTCTCTCCTCCTCTCCCATTATATTTGATGATCGACTTACTCATTAAAATGTATAAATTGCCGGCCACATGTCCCTTCCATCTCTCTATTATTCCATTTCTCAACGCCTTTTATTTGATTCTCTTCATCTACATATACACCATACATACTCTATTTATTCATCCACACATATACACGCACACACAAAGTCATATATAATGCATACACTACACTCCATGCATATTTATGTTTAACTAATTTCCTATATATTTAATTTGTGTGTATTAACATATGGGAGACCGTAACGACGGCGGCGGCAATAATCTGCCACCTGGTTTCCGGTTCAGCCCCACGGACGAGGAGCTGGTGGTGCATTTCCTCCACCGCAAGGCGGCGCTCCTGCCGTGCCACCCCGACGTCATCCCCGATCTTGAGCTCTATCCCTATGACCCTTGGCGCCTTAATGGTACTTACATATACTAACACTCCTTCATCAACCCTAACTCACTGGAGATTGAACTTGTAACCTCTTACCGAAAAGAACCATAATGTCTTTGGTAGAGGAGTAGTATTAAAAGTGATTTAGCATAAAAAAATGTGTTTTTGTTTAAACATGTCATTTTTTTTATAAGCACAGAATTTGTATTTTTTAAAGAAAAACACATTTTTTGGATTAAACCATTTCTATGGAAATCATTTTTATATTGAATAATGGCCGGATATTTATGACAGGGAAAGCAATGGTTGAGGGAAAGAAATGGTATTTTTATAGCAGAAGAACGTCCAACAGAATAACGGAAAACGGATTCTGGAGGCCGATAGGAGTTGACCAGCCGATTTTCTCCAGTTCCGGCGCCGGAAAGATCATTGGCATGAAGAAATTATACTCTTTTTACGCTGGGGAGCCGCCGGAAAGTGGGGTGAAGACGGATTGGGTAATGGAGGAGTACAGTCTCTCTGATCTCTCTGCTTCCACCAGCACTAAATCATCATCTAGGGGAAGAAGAAGAAGAAGTGGCCATTCCATTTCCAATATTGTGGTAATTCTAAATCAATACTCCCTCGGTTCCTTTCTGTTTCACTTTTTTGCGCATTACATTAAACACTTATATCCATAAAACACCAGAAAGATGTTCGACCACCAAGATTTATAAGTGTTTTTGATTTATATTAAATGTTCGACCACCAAGGTTCACGAAAAAATTTGTCTTTGTAAAGTATGTACTTGATAATGGGCCCGTTTGACAACATCATCAAAAAATTGGTTAACCCTATGGGATAGAAGTTCATTTTTCTTGATTAAAATGAGTCTCCTCTTCACAATTTGTGCCTTATTTATGTGTGTTTTTTTTCAGGATCATAGCAAATGGGTGGTTTGTCGAGTGTATGAAGAGAAGTATGAGAATGAAGGAGATGATCATGGAATTGAGCTTTCGTGCTTGGATGAAGTCTTCATGTCACTAGATGATGATGATGATGATGATCTTGATGAGATTTGTTTGCCATGTTAAAAATATGTACTCCTTCCGATCGTAAACACATTTCCTGTTTTGATTTTTTCTTGTCAAACTGTGGCACTATTTGTACACAAATTAAATATAATTTAAATAAATAAATGACATAAAAATTTGATATATCAAAACTACATTTGAAGATGAACTCAATTATATTAAATTTATATATATATATATATATATATATATATATATATATATATATATATATATATCACAATTTATGGTCAAAGAGTTTAGCTGTTTGACCAGAAAAAGTCAAAACAAGAAATGTTTTTGAGATCATAGGGCGTATTTTTTTAGTTATTAAAAAAATCAAAGTAATAAAACTGAATATTATTACTATTCACTACTCCGTAATACGGAGTAATTAATTAGTGAGATCCGGCAATGTTGTGATGTAATTATTGATGAAATGGACTAAAGTTTGCCATGGAGTACTTTTCTTCATCCTTATCATTTTGTAACACTTTATATACATGATCATTGTAGAGTCGTTTGGAAAGATTAAAACACTATCATTACTTAAATAAGATTAAGACAAGCTCCATGGACACAATTCAATTAAGTTTTTATCTTTTTAATACCAAAGTATAATTATAAAAATAATACCCGGCCTAAAAAAGTTGCTTTAAAAATATTAAGACATTATTTATTAGCTTTTTCATACCCTAAACTACAATCTCTAGGGTCAACGGTTCCCTAGCCTTAGAGAGTGCCCTTTGGAAACAAGGTCATGTGCCCTTTGAGGGCTTGTGCTCTCTCCCACGTTAGGTGCATGCATGTTCACAAGTTTTTAACTTTTGCGAAACAATGTATAAGGCCCGACTTCTACACCTCTACGAGACTTTGTTGTAGCAACAAGAAAGATGTTAATTTTAATCACAAGTTTAATTTATAAGTTCCGCACGCCTATGAGAGACACTGTAGCAGCACAAAATGTTCGGTTGAAATTTTCAGAAGTCTCAAAACATCAAAGGGTAAAAAGAAATCACACAACATTACAGGATTTTGGCGCAAAAGAGAAAAATAATGATATAACACCGAATTATGAGGCGGGCCAGGACTCAAGAGTTGCCCCATTATAAAAGCTCTTAAACTTTTTTGCTCAAGAAAATGGCTAATGATAGGTGCCTACGGTTAAGATCATGTCCAAGTAGTGCCACGTGGGTGGTGAAATGCTCCCATCAGAGTCTAATGGTACATTGGGTCAAATGAGTATTTGTCCAGTTTTGATTTTTTTCGGTCAACTATTATCAACATTTGACCTATAATTAAATAAAATATATACTCCATCCGTCCCCCTAAGATGTTCTCATTTTGACTTTTGGTGGTTTTTAAGGAAAGTTGAAAAAAAGGTAAAAGTTTAACATAATACCCTTAATGAAAATGGATGGAGTGTATTAAATGAGGTGTGTGAGGTGTAATAAATAAAGTAAGTGGGGGTAGTTGTGGTATTTTAACTGTTAAAAAATGAAATGAGAAGATTTATTGTGGACAAAGAAAAAAGACTATTGGGAAGATCTATAAGGGACAGATGGAGTATTATTTACTAATTAGATAAGATAATATTTTGAAAATATTTGATATAATTAGTCATTGTTACACTACCACATACACCATATTTTCAAATTATAACTACATTATCACCACTACACTGTCATCCGTCGCTGTCGGAAACGAGAGTGTCACCGCGGATCACCGACGATCACACTGATATATTACACTGTCATCAGTTTTCTACTCCGTATTACACTGTCGTTGTGTACTCTTACACCACACTGTTATTATACTCCTATTTTGGTCTTAAAAAACTTAGGACTCCTATTTTAGTATTTTATACTTTTTTATTCATTTTCATGAAGATTTCTTGCAAAAAAACAATGTATAATATGATCATTCTTTTTTGTTGTTGCCAGAATTTAAACTCGGCTTAATAACTCATCGACTAGCGGAACGGGCACGTCTTGAACAATGTCGAACACAAATCATATTAACATAAAAAACACTAAGTCCCACCCCCAAGTCCCTCAATACCAGCGAAGCAGCCACATTTGAGGAGATAAATTAGGCTATAACCACAGACTGCCAAACTAATGATGGAGTCTGTACCTTGTATTTACAAAGATTTTGTACTTGGCATAATAGTTTACCGGCACAATTAACATGAATCATACTTGGGTTTATAAATAACTTCTATTGATGTTTTTTATTTAACCAGTTGAGTTATGTCCATTGACATATATTAAATTATGAGGAGACCATAAGTGACCCGGTGTACAGTTATTGCTTCAAAGTGGTGTTGGGGGGGGGGGGGGGNTTGACTTCCGAAAATGGGGAGGAGAATTGAAATGGGTGTTTGATTCCTCCTGATCGATCCAGGGCATGGTCGCACCACTTACTCGGACAGCTCTTTCAGGTTTGGTGGAATAGTTTAATTTGAATCACATCACACTCCACCATATGTATATGCTCTACATCTACATACATGCTATATACCCTAATGAGTAAATCCCCATGATCATCCAAATTTTGCACTATACAAACATAAGTTAATTATTTCCTCCATCCTAAACTTATATTTTTGGTTACTATTAACTAGATCAAAGTTTAAAGAAATTACTTTAAATAATATACTCCATAGTAAAACATAGAAAATGTATTAAAATTGAAGTTTCATGTTTTTATTTTTTAAATAAGAGTTTACATTGTGATAATGTGACTCTGTACATAACATTTTACTACTTTTTGGTAATGTATATTACTTTTTTTCCACGTAGGAGGTGACCAGGCAAGTTGAGAGTAACGATGTGAAAATATAATAAAGTCAGGAGTAAAGGCGTTAATTAATAAATATGGAAGTATTTTCATAAAATATCGTATTTTTGGGGGTATTCATATAAATTTTTTCTATTTATTTCTAAAATAAGACCAATAATACTAAAATATAATAACAAAAAATACTGTAAACATGCCAAAATACAGTGTCAACTTGTTACAATATAATAATCTTATTTTTAGATAAAACTTGTCACTCTTATTTTAGAGAAATTAATTATATACTATGTTTTACACTTATTTCTTTTTTACTTTGTCTCCACATTTTTTTCTCTGTATCAAAACACTAACCAATTTCATTTCATTTCTTCTCCATTGTCTTTTCTATTAGATAAATTCCTCCTTTCTCTTTAGTTTGTTTCCAATATGTTTGGTTCAAGAAATTTGAGATAGAAAAGAAAGGAAAATAAGAAGAAAAGCATTTTTCCTATTTAGTTAGAGAGGAAAATGGAAGAAAAGTAGAAGGAAAAGAAAATGAGAAGATAAAATGTACTAAGAAGAAAGAAAACCAAATTTCTCCCATTTTGATAAGAAAACTGAGAGAAAAATATTTTCTGTTCTTTTCTTTCCAAATTCCTTGAACCAAACATAATATTCGTGTCATTTTCTTAAAATAGAACATACTCCCTCCGTCTCTAAATGTTTATCACATTTCGAAAATTGAGGTAAAATATCAAGTTTTTTTAAATTCATTTTATTTAAATATTAGTATAGAAATAAAAAATAAAATTTACATAGTTAAAAACTACATGAAAAATTTTCGAAATAATAAATGTCAAGAATATTTATTTTATCAAATAATCAATAAAAATGTACAAATAAACAAAAGTCCTCATGATAATTGAAGAAGGAAATGTAGCAAATATTTTAGAATGGAGGGAGTATAATGCTAACATGAACAGATTATTACCAAAAAATACTGTCACAGTACAATTGTTCTATTTTTATGATGAAATATACTCCGTAACACATTCGTCTACATTTTGTTCTCGGGCTATTTGGTGTCCGTATCGCTTTTTTTGTGATTTGTGAATGATGATGGACGTTTGGCAGTTGCCCTTTTAGGGTCACTGATTCATGTAGCCGTTCTGCCAAGATGGCTCTTTTTTTTAAAAAATATGGAGTAAAATGAGAGTAAAATATTGGTGGCTGCTTAGGAAAGCATTATCTCATAAATGACGTAAGCTCCACAAGGTAAAATGGTAAATACCAAGTATATGAAGATTGATGTAGAATTCATTATTAGGACAGGGAATAAAATATTATTATTATTATTTTCTTTATTCTATTATTATCATACTTCCTTATTCTATTATAATTAAAATTCTTCATATATTCTCGTCTACATATACTTATGTAATCTTCATTATTCAATAAAATAAATTACTATCAAATTGTATTATTAATAAATAACAAACATACTCTTTATGTCCCACAATAATGTTTCAATTTTCTATTTACATTGTCAAATATATAAACTCCTTCCACCTATTTTTATTTCTTATTTGATAAAATAAAATAATATTGCCACTGCGGATAAAAAAATGTAACCAAACAGATTTCCACATGAAAAACTTATACCCTGTAGGACTTGCACAGTCTCGCCTAGTGCCCTAATACTGGCCATTTTGCGCAATGAAATTTTCGAAATTGACTCCAAATCCATTGCAATTTGACTTCTACCTGTTGTGTTTCCTGGCAGTCTACTCTAGACCTTAAGTCAATGGCACCACCCCTTTCTAGTTGTTTTTTGGCTAGACTAAAATAACAAAGTGACTATTCTTCTACTTATGTTGAAGACAAAGTGAACATGTTCTGTGACAGTTTTTTTTACCTAAAGAAAAATTTGTAGAATTAACAATGTTAAAGCACATACAAGGATGTATGCATAAACAATAAGATTAATTAGGCGTCAGAATGATATTCACCTGAAGCGTGATTAAGGAAATGAAATCCCACACATTCTCGTGTTTGTTCCTCCAAGTGACATATATAATCATAGAAAGCAAACTCGGTCATGTTTCAATAGAAAGATTTTCAAGTTTTGACCGGACACCAGCATGTTTCTTTATGGATACGCCCAACTGCATTCCCACCAAAACTAATGTCTCAAGTGATCGCGCGCTATTTTCCAAGAGGTCCTCATCTATCTTTATTGACCCCTGCATTTTGAATTAACAGCAATTAACAGCTCTTCAATGGATCGGTCACACTCTGACTTAGCACCTTGATTTTTAATGCATTAAGATGATAATCATATGGTTTTACTACGTATGTTATTAAGTTTGAGCCTAGAGTCTCTTGGAGACAGCCTCTACTACCAAGTAAGGGTAAGGTCTGCATCTGCGTCCGCACACCCTCTCCAAACCCTATATTTTGTGAGATTTTAGTGGGGTTGTTGTAGGATACTAAGATGATAATCATAATGTGACTGCCATTGACAAATTCATTGTGTAGGGGAGGATATGGTTATTAAAGCTTATAGCTTTGATAAGTTAATTATAAGTTCACTAGGTTTGGTACATGAGGCCATAAGGGCACCTTCTCCATCAAAACTCACTCTCTTTTGTATCTTTTTATATTTACCAGTTCACTAAAACCCCTTAACATTATTACCAAACATCATCTTATATTTTTAAGTTTTAAACATAAGCAGTCCAGCTTTTGGCTAAACTTTAAGCTAGGTGTGCAGAAAGATCCTTTAGTGACTGTAATTCTAAAGATGAGGACAAAGGCATCAACCATTTTATACGTTAAATAGACAAACACAATAACACCAGCGATTGCACATTTTTTAAATTCAGTAAGGTGCTAGCGCACTTACCTTCTCAAAGACACAAATCACTGTACTTCCACCAAAGGAGAAATATCCAAACTGTAAAACAATGGATGAGAAGGATTGGTAAACCAGACTGAAACAGTTTAGGAAGGCATACTCAAAGCTCATGTCATTTATCACAAACCTCGTCTCCCTTGCGAGCATAGTCATGCTCCTTCTTTGAAAAAGTGATGCTGCCAACCATTGTTGCTCCTATTGCAACAAGGGCCACCTGCATTTAAAAATACAAAATCTCACACTAAGAAACAAATAAAACTTAAAGTTGAAATAAAGAAAACAATGACATCTTGGCCATCCATGATATTACAAAAAATGCAATGACAAAGCAAGAACTGCATGTTACTAAGAAGACTGGAAACAAGTTTGACTTCATAGAATGTTTTGAAAAAAATGTAGATGAACAGCGTCCAAGACCCTAAGGCTCCGTTTGGTACATGGAATTCAAATTATAAAATCGAAATTGGGGACAACAATTCCAATTATGCTGTTTGGTAGCACAAAAATATGTGGATGGATTTGGAAATGGTAGTGCCAAAAATGAATTAGAATTGGAGAATTAAATTTCATCCAAATCAATTTCATTGAATTCCAACTTCATTTCTTTCCATAAAAGGAAATGAATAAATGGCCTACAACATTTCTCTCACCTCTAAACAGATTTGATCCACACATTTTTCCACAACTTTCTTAAACTCCATGAAGTCAAACCAAGACTTTTGTTTGGAGGCGGAAATAGTATCCCTGAAGCTCTTGTAGGGTTAAGGTGGAGTGCAAGGTGTATGATGTGTGGTTACAACTGGAAGAATCTTTGCATTGTGAAGTTGCTCATGCCATAATTACACCATCCTAAACTATACTAACTTCATTTAATAATATTGTTCACACTTCCTTTTTTGGGTTGTTCTATTAGTTTTCATATTTCCAGTTTCAGAAAGGGCCAACTTAATTAAAATAAACTACCCAATTATTATAATGCACCCCACATTTTCCAATCATCACTACATTAGTTTCTATAAAGATCTAAACAGGAATCCACTTCATCATGGTGTTAAACTATGTGCTCATGCAAGTGTGAACAATAAAATGAAACGGAAGGAATATCTTCCAAGTGCAAGGAGTGATATGTGGAGCTCACATTGAACGTTGTTCTACGATTCAAGAATATGAATGTTGAAGACGTGGTTCTGAGAGTTAAACCAAAAGATGGAAGATACTATGGCTCAAACTTCCACATCACAAATGAAACTTCAGATTAGCTATTTTATTGTTACCTGATTCACATCTTTGCATGTTGTGCACATTTCACGAATTCTCTAACAGAGGGACTGATTTTGCAATGGTTCGTTGACCACAAGGACTATTTTGCAAGCTTTGGAAGTTCGAGGACTATTAACCCACTTATGAAAGACCACATGGACTACTCATGCATATAACTCTAAAAATTCGTTAGGCTGTTCCAGATTTGATACATATGGGAAAATCATAAGTGGCTTACACAAATAGCATAAGAAACAGTGATCCATAGATTTGATAACATGCTGATCTTCTAAATAACAGGAATGTTATAGTTCTTAGAGAAAAGAAGGCATAAAATTGTGAACTTAAGCCGAATTTTCAAAACATCAAACCTTTCCAAAGTCCTCTGTTGATATTATTGATACAACTCTCTTGTTCTCTGTGAAAACATTACAATACTTGCTGTTGACAGCGATAGGATTCACCTAGAAGGCACGAAGTATAAGACATGGAGCAATCAGAATGGTTTTAAGTAGGTAAAGAAAGCTGTCATTACTCATTAGGATATCAAATATGATTCGAAAGTAAAGACACATTCCACATACTGTATATAAGCATCCAGGTATACTTATAAATTTCTCAATAGTTCCAGAGACGGGAAAATGGAAACGATGGTAATCCTGAAATGGAAATAAATGTATTGTTAATAAAATTAGGAGTCTATATGGAAAGATATAACGTAGCACTTAAAAACAATTAAATGTTAGACTACCTGTGGTGCCAACCTAAATATCACCAAACTTCCATCAATAAATTCATTGGAGCATGCTTCATTCCCTAAAAGCCCTTGGATGGAAAATTTTCGGCCCTAATGTGATGTGCCATATTCTCAATGTTAATGATACAAAATTTGCTAACTTTATACTTAATCATAATATTGGTGGTTACTTGGTTTAGATTTGATTATGTTCCATGATTTGCAGGTTGACTTTAAAAAGTTACAATATCAATCTTGTGATGGAACCAATGAAATGTGACAATAACAAGTATCTCAAACTATCACCTTCTCATGATATTTTCCATGCTTTTGGAAATAACATATGATGACATTTAGAATTTTAAACCTGTTATTCTTCTATGAAGGCTGTGATTTGATATAGGAAGGGAAACCGGCGTAAAATATTGCCACTATGTTTTTTTGCATGAAATAGTATTACATTAATCAATTTTATACCATTAATTGGCAGTATAAATTTAATGCCGCCAGTCCTATAAGTTAAAATAAGAAAGGCATGTTCAGTTGTAAAATCAAAAGCAGTTTTTACCTTAATCCAAAATCTTGCGGCATCAGTAACATTGTTGAATGCCATAAGGCGGCTATCAGCTGCACAAACAGCGATATCACTGCGCTCTAAGCAGGAAATTGGTCGTGCCCCAGGCTTCAATTCTCTTATAAAAAACTCATTGAATGTCTAGACAGAAACATGTTAGTAAAAACAATCAATTGAGAATTGTTTTAATAAAAACATATATCATGAGTTCATGACTGATAAGGTGAGCCCCAAGAAGTGAAAATCTGAATGAATAGTAGTGATGAGATGCATGAATAATGGAATACAACAAAGTAGAGAAAGGAGCACAAATGAATCAAAATTTGCATTGGATTGAAAAGAAACTCTTAAACAAGTAAAACCCATTCAGCTTGATCCACCACAGGAATTTAAGCTCACATACTGGTCGACTAAGTCAGGCTCGGGTTATTTGGGGTTCAGATTGGGAAATGTTCTTTCATATTTGGGTTTGACAAAATCAAAAGATTGCCAGTGTTTGTTCAATGAAAATGCACAGCGCCTTTCCATTTTACCTTATTATAAAAGAAATGAGGAATCAATAGATATTTCATACTCTGTATGTACTAATAGACCTTATGAATGAGTGATACAATGGTATATCTTGGAAAGTCTAAGTCTTGCTATTATATTTGAAGCTGTGCAAGTATACATCCTTAATATGACTACAACTATGTGGAGCTCTAGACTAGTAATTCTAAGAGTTTATATCTAACAATTCTCGAAAGGTGATTACTGATTTCATCATCATCCACGCGTTTCAATCATCTTCACTACCATTTACCAAAGTTTAGACACAAACTGGCTTATCAAAATCAATCAACTGTCCAACTGAGTATATACCATATGACCATTAAATTGAAAAAGTCCAGGTAGTGTGATAGGCAAAGCTCACCTTAAAATGCTCCAGAGGGTACTTGACCTCATTCATGTTGATTTGATCCTACAATAAGTAGACATAATCAGAACAGGAGAATGCCGCCTAAAACTGACACATCGTGAATAAGAATTATAAGACTGATTATCCGCCACTGGCATAGATCAGAACTTGAGCCAACAAATTATCAAAAGAGACATTTACACATGTAGCACATTAGCACATGAATTCCAAAACAACGAAAAGCAATGAAGACGAGAGACATGTTAGAGAAAGGTCAGTGATAACAAAAAAAAGGGAAACACAATGGGATTTGCATTTATCTCATGTATCTCTTAAGACTGATAATCAGTCATTGGCCTTGTATATAACTCCTAGCAGAGGCTTATCTTCATCCTTAGACTGTCAGGTTCACTTATCAAATTTAAATATGGTTACAAGAAATATGATCAGTAAGTTCAATCTCCAAATCAATGATTTACATAATTACATGGTATCAAGAACATTCAGGATCCTCTGTTGTTCCAGACTTCCTCTGACCATCTTTTTCTTTTTCCTTTCAAGATATATTCAGTAAAATCATCAATATACATGGCAGAGCACATGATCTCCTCAGAATCTCATCCTTTTTCTCTCCATCGATGGGGGGAGTGAAACTTCCACCACCAAGCAGGCAACCATGTCAACCTCTACACTTTTTCCATTCCTTTCTCTCCATCATTATCCATCCTCTTCCTCAAGCAATGCTAAAGCACACAAGGCAGCACATTGGCTGTTCATTTCCCCCTCCCAGCTCTCTCATTATGCACTGGATATGTGCTATGGGCTGATTCATAGTAGAAAATGTGTTGGAAGGATTGCCTAGTCTGTTTTTGTATGTGCCATTATTCTTCGAGTTAAGTGCACCGTTTACCCCCGAATTCTTTGAAAATTGCATGGTTTACCCCCGAACATTAAAAAGTGCACCAAATACCCCTGAGAAATTGCATGATTTACCCCTGAACAATAAAAATTGCACCAAATACTCCTGAACCTGAACATTTAAATAAAGAAGACAATTTTGGGTAAAGGTACTTTGGAAAATTCACAAGAATCAGATGAATCATATTCGCAATTCTTGTGCGTGGAAGCAACGCACTCCCTATCTAATAGTTTAGGACCAACGATGCAACGTTCTAATTTGTTCAAGGGTATTTGGTGAATTTTTTAGTGTGCAGGGGTAAATCGTGCAATTTTCGAAGAGTTCGAGGGTAATCGGTGCACTTTTTAAAGTTCAGGGGTAAAACATGCAATTTTTAAAGAGTACGGGGGTAAATGGTGCACTTAACTCCATTATTCTTCTGAATTGTTATGGTGGCACGTCAAAAGGAAAACCTAAATGTCCATGTCTCTGGAATCCTACTGGCCTTAAATCAATTTGTAGTTTCGACCATCTCAGCAGGTCATGTGCAGGTTGCATCACTAATGGTTTGAAAAATTTGTGGGTTGATTACTTCATACTCTGTATAAATCATCAGACATACCCTAGCCAGAGAATTTGCACCTTTTCAACCCATCACCAATTCTTGAGGGAATAACTGGACAATGCACTTGTGATATTTATGGTATATCCAATCTTTTTTACAACATCTGGCTGGATCCCGGGAATTTAGACATTTGCTGAAGGTTTGCACATGCAGTAAAAGCTAAAAGCTAGCACTAATTATGCCTATAGGTAAACCAAACCAACAGTTGGTAATAGAAAGAGAGCAGAAGAAACAAAAATGAGATGGATACCTTAAACAGTTCAAGAAATTTTGGTATATCTTTAGCTGAATCAATGGCATCCATTTTTTTGCCTTGCTTTTCAGAGAGGCTCTGCAGGATTTCTTTTGCCCCTGCATAAAAATTGGGACAATATAAGTTGAATAAATTTTCATGCAAGAGATATATGAATTAATATGTCCAGTTAGTGAGTAGAAGCTCCCTTGTGATAGAAAAAAAGAAATAGTAATATTAAAAAGATCAATGCACTGAAATTCTGAAATGCCAAGCATACCATTATCCATTAGACCAAGCCCGAATTTAGATTGATAAATGGCTCTCATTGACAAAACAATCTTTCCATCTATTATCTCCTCCACTAGCCTCTTCATTCTTCGATCATAAACCTGATCATGGAAGGAACCCAATTAGAGTTTCTTATATGGCACACCTTGATGGCATCATTAACTGTAGGTCACCAGAAAAAAACTTATAGTTAACTCATCAAACAAAATTAAGAAAAAATGAATAATGCTCACTAGGGAAAAAACTAGATTCAGAACCGGGAAAATATTGAACATCAATGTTATTACCTTTTGACCATAGCAGACAACCAAAAAACAAACAAACAAACAAAAACCAACAACAACATTACCCCAGTACCTCAATTGTTCCGCCCACTCCCCCCCCCCCCCCNGGGTAAGGGGTTCGGATGTACACAACCGTCATGTTTCAAACATAGAGCGGTTGTTTCCACGTGACCCATGATGAGCGTCGAAAGTTGCATGGACTAACTGCTACTTCACTATAAAAGAAGCGTTGGCAGTTTAAAGAGGCATTTTGCTTTATTCCATCATACCCCAAAGCCAAAAAATAGTGAATATTTGGCTTCATCTGAAACAAAATCCTCCTTGCTTGGATACACAGTTCTTATAGGCCATAGAACAAATATTGGTTCTTGTAGCATTGTAGGGATTAGAGAAACAGAGAGCAATGGAGCACATACCAGTATATGTGATGCACTGGAACCAGACCTCAAACCAACCTCATATGTTGAGAAATGTGCCCATTCAGTCAGTTTGAACATCCATCTAAAACAAAGTTATGCACATATGTACCACACAAACCAAAAACCTTTAAGGTGTTATGTCATAACAACAAGCAACTTTAACAAGTTCTAGACATAAGCAGAAATATAATGTTCTAACCCACTGGAAGCCTGCTTATCAGTGAGAAACCCTCCCGTCATAATTTGATTTCCAGTTCCTTCATCAAAGCACAGTGACAAATGAATCATACTATTCAACATATCAGGTATTTCAAGAACTTCGCCGCAAACGGGGCAGCAGTTAATCAGTGGCTCCCTGCAAGAAGGAAAAAAAAATACAAGTTCAAGATTCAATGAGCAAAAGATAAAGCTTCTAAAAGACATTATTTCAACAACAAAACTGATTAGATTAGGCAAGCATAGCCCATGGCCTACTGCCTATTTTTTTATATAACTCGTAGAAGTAATTATAAAAGAAACATCAAAGTTCGGAAAGTATTCTATCCTAACCTTATAAAGGGCTTGTTTGGCAATAACATTAGAGGTTAGAGTTAGCGTTTTGAAAAAGCTATCTAATGATAACGTTTAGCTTTAGCATTTTCAAAGTTAATCTACACCATTAATATTTTATCCAAAACACTAATGCTGATCAAAAACGTTGTTCCGAAACAATGGCAAAACATGCAAGGTACAGGTAAAATACAAATATCACAAGTTTTAATTATGCCCTTACTTTTCTTGATGTGCAGTCAAAAGCATAGCCAACTCATCCAGGTTGACAACACCATCTCCATTCTTGTCAGCCTGTCTGAATAGCTCTTCTTTCTGATAGAAAAATAGAGGAATGAAATATTAGGCAGATCGAACAGTTATCAATGATACACGTGGCATTTAATGTTCCACTTTTGAGCATTGCATCCAGCATATGATGTCTAGCAAGTATGGTTAAAACTAGTTAAGAGCACTGGTAGTGGCGATCCAAAAGGATTCCACGCCGTGCCACATCATCATATTAAGGCGTGGTGCCTTGCTTTTCCAAGGCATTCCACCCGATTCCCGTGGCATATGTGAGCCATTTTTTAAGGAGTGATGAGTATTATTTTTTTGGTTTTTATTTTTATTCTAAAGGATTGGAGAGTAGATATGAAACAGAGAGGGGCGCGGGATTACTTGCCATTGCAGAATTTGCCACGCCACTCATGTGACACACGTTGACTAGATTAATTTTTATTGGTTAAAATATGCCACTTCAGCGTGTGGCATTCCATTTTTGCCTCACCATTGCCCATGCTCTAAATACAAACCTTTTCAGCAGCCAATTGATTACCAAACGCATCAATTAAATCAGAAAACTCCTTCAATGAAAGCTCACCATCGTCATTATAGTCCTAAAGACAGCAAAAAGACTATTTTCAGTAATAACTAATAACTTCGTAGCACCCCATAATATTAGGGTAGAAAGCCCCAGAATGGAGCAGCAGGAAAATATTAGTTTAACTCACCATCATTTAACACAACACTTTTTATATTAAGCATGCCACAGTTCAATTATACAATCATAATATCTATATTAAGATTTAGGCATGTGCAAAGCAAAGAACAGGAACAAACAGTTCATCTAAGTTCTTGTGGATTTATGACAGCACAAGTCAGGTAGTGATAATGACACACCACTATAGACAAGATGCGCTTTGTAAAACTTTTCTCTGTATCAACTGGATCCTGCAAATAGTTTAATACGGATCAGAATGTCAAAACAATGAAAGAAGATAAGAAAAGGTCAGAGAGACATTCTCCTTACCCAAAACAAAAAAAAAAGTGTGTAATCTAGAATTATGCACCTCAATAGAGCATGAAATAAATATAGAGCCAACAACAACAGATGGGGTCGATGGGTCCCATAAGTCCAAGACCTCAACATCAGAATCAGGGTCCTGCAAGAGAATATCTTTATTAAAAATAAATGCCAAAAGAGTATCAAGAAATGTAAGTGGTAAGAGATATGGGGGGTAGGAGGGTAAACTTGCATGGGATAACATTGACATACTGTCATCAAATAAGAACAAAATAACTACTAATACTCCCCTCTCTTCCTACCTACGAGAAAAGTGTAAAGAACGGGAAGTAGGTGAAGAAGAAATAAAAGGGTAAGACAGTGAAAAGATTATATCAATGAGTGTATGCACTCACCTATCAGAACTATTTACTTTCCTTTTTGTTCGAGTAATATACATACAAACTAATCTTAGTGACCAAACAAAAACAGGTGCATCTCACCTGGGAAAGGTATTCAAGCAGATCAACCTCGCAATAACCAACCAAATTGTTCTTGGATAACTTGTTCGTCTGTGTCACATAAAATATCAGCCAAGCGACTATATTACATAAAGTTCTGCCCTCCTTTCATTTTACCTCATTAAGTATGTACTGATCATTGATTATTATATACTCCATACCACTTGGCACTTCCAAGTTCCAAATTACAAAATGAAAGTGCATTATCATAATTATCATAAATAAGTGAATCTATTCAACGACTAAGGTGTAGTAACATACAAAAATAAATTTCCTTTTAACGTGATTCTGTGAGCATCTGAGATGGCCTAAATGGTCCAAAACTTATAATTAAAACATGCACGCAAGTGATACGTACACACCTCGAACACAGAGATTCTGGCAATATGTGCCCCATTTCTCTCTAAAAGAAGTTTCCTCTCCTGGAAGGAATTTCTAAAATCATGTCAATAAAGGGAAACATTTGATATGAATATCAAATATGGACTCTCACAAGTATAGCACGGAAAACGCAGTTCATCATATATACACATGGTAACTTACCGAGTTCCATGTAGGCTTGTCAGTGCTGTAAATCAAACACAAAACAGTACATCAATGTGTGCGTGAGGAAAAACTGAACTCAACACCAAGACAGTTATAGCGTTACTCATATCACATAATCTGTCCCAGAATCCATCAAATTTGAAGTGTTAAATGCAATCAGTCTATTTATAGATCAAATCTCATTCATTTACTGAATCACATATGTGCAATTGTGCACTCTGGTACAACATTTGAGATTTCACAAATTCAAATTGGGCTGCCATGATTATACTGGAATAGCTACTTAACTGGTCAGATATATGAGTGCGGAAAGTTTGCAGACCAAGTGAAATACAAGCAAGCCATTTGTCCTTGAATTTCATCTCCGCCTTCACAAGCAAAACAAAAAAAATCAGAACTACTGTTTATGTAAATAGACAGAAATAGGTCGTGTATCTGGATAATTGGCGTGTGAATAATGATTTTACAGTATGCGATAGGGAAGGTACGTTAACGAGACGGAGACAAGCGATGCCGGCGAAATCATCTTCCTTGAGGAGTTTAGAGAGGTGAGAACCGGAATCGGAAGAGGAGCCTTTACGGCTGTGGCGGAAGTGGTGGCGATGAAGGTGGAGGCGTTGGCGGAATTTTGCAGCGCGGGACGACCTGGCGGCGCTGTTGGAGGAAGAGTCGTCGGAGCCCGGTTTTGAGTTCCCGTGTCCCATTCGAGCTCTACTGAACTCTGTAGTACGGAGTACTACTACTTTTCTTCTCCTAAAATTTGGATTTTAGCAGTTATTCCGTTGTGTCCAAAGCAATTTTGTGCCTAAAATAAAATGCCGTAAAAAACCTATGGAGTACAATTTTTTTTACAGCAAATAAAAGCTTTAATTTTAAAAAAAAAGAAGCTATAATGTTACACGACTTCAAGTGGTGTAACATCGTTATACCAATAGTTTTGAAACACTTACGGTGTTTCGTTCGTAAAATTAATTATTCATACCTAATATATCCTCTGAACTTCCACACCCATCAATTTCACTATGCTCCCACCCCAGCCCCAGACACCCCCCTAGATTGCCCCGATTAGGGGCCCCAAATCGGCGATCTAGGAGAGGTGTTGGGCTTTGAGGTGGGAGTATAGTGAAAATTCATGGGTCCGAGGTTTAAGAGGGTATGAACCATCAATTTTACGAACAAAACACTGTATATACCCCCAAACTATTGGTCTCACGTGCTGATGTCATTTTTGTTGGTGTAAGATTACAAATTCTCTTATAAAAGATAGAAGTCTAAGCTAGGAGTAAAATAGTGGAAAAAACTAAAGTATGAGTAAAACATACTCCGTAGAAAATATACCATAATAAAGTTTCATGTTTTTATTATTAAAACATGAGTTAAAATTCATATACAATGTCAAGCATACCAATATATAATACAAAATAATTTGTAAGATGTCCATATACTCCGTATAATACTACAGTATCACAATGCAAACTCTTAAAACATAAAGAAAATATTAAAATATGAGCTGCGTATTTTTATTTCTAAAATACTCCTATCATATAAGTCTAATGGTATTACACGGTTTTTTACCTCGTCGCTTATATAATAGGAGTATTTTAGAAATAAAAATACGGAGCTCTTATTTAAAGAAGAAAACTGAAATGGAATGAGTGGGATTGACATCCCCTTAGCTTCTTCCCCTTCTCGCGGGAGGGAGGCGGTGTTCCCCTCCTTCCCACCACCGCCTACGCGACACTACACCTTCCCATATTCCCCTCTCGACATCCATACAGGATGGCCTAATGGGCGGGAGAGCCTTAAACGCAATAGGATAATGTTATTGCTGCATACATTCTCAATCTCTTCGACCAAAAACTTTGTCATCTTTAAAATTTGTAGAAACCCGCCAAGTTTTACATCAAAATTAAGCTAAAATCATTGGCTACTTTTTTTTGTAAAAAAATATTATTCCATAACTATGAGTGAGAAATTTATTGTGTATGAGACACTAATAGGGTGAATATTGGTACAATAAATTTGACATTATCTTCATAGAGCATGAACAATGGCAAGGCAAAAATGGAATGCCACACGGTAACATGGAACATTTTAACCAATCAAAAATAATCCAGTCAGCGTGTGGCAAGTGAATGGAGTGACAAGTTCTACAATGGCAAGTCATTATTTTTTATCACTTTTTTACATTTTTTTATGTTTTTTAAACATAAAAAAATATTTTTATTATTTATTTTATTAAAAAATTATTCTACTTTCTTGTACTTTTTTTTCATAAAAAATTTTAAAAAAATTTATTTAAAAAAAAAATAAAAAAGCAGGATGAAGTGCCACACTCATGCCTCACAAAGCAAGGCATTTTAGTCTTGTCATGCCATGATATGTGTGGAAGAAGCTGATGTGGCAGTGCATGACATGCCTCTTCCTTGCCATTGCACATGCTCTAAGCTCTTCACCTTTTGTTTTCAAAAAATCCTAGAAACCCATCAAATTTGGCACTAAATTATTACCACTAAGAGATGATGTGAATCTTTATGTCATATTTGGTGAATGAGAAATGATATGGGTACACCAAATGGTGTATCCCATTTGTATGACATTATCCTAACCATTGATTTCTTTTTTTTATTTTTAATTTTTTTTCCTCTCTTGCATTTGTGTGGTGAAGATGGAGAGAGGTACAAATGTGGTACAACATTTGGTTAGCATTTTTGTTGGTGAATTTGTAGGCTACGATTGCTTTTTTTTTATTTAATCATATTTTAAACAACTTGTTGACTTTTCGGCATTACCATTATATATTACCGTAACTAGGTAGTTTTTTTTTGGGGAGAGGGCAAATACCATTTTAGCAATTGAGCACAAGTGGTGAGTAGGGCGATGATGTAAATGCGATATGGACGAAAGAGAAAGTGTACGCAGGTGTATTAAATACTAATTAATGATTCTTGCTTAATTGTTGCTTTTAAACACAATTTGCCACGCGATAAAAACAACAACTACTCAAAATCTTGCTTTAATTAATTCTACTCGTTGTCGGTTTGCTGTTTACAGCTTGCCAATTCATTCTTCGAAGCATCGAGCCGCTGACTTTATAACATTTGGATATGAAGCTGGTGGGCAATGGGCATAGGGGTGGGCAATCGGGTCCAAGAACCGGGAGTCGGAACCGGACCGCTAGGTTCGGTCCGGTTTAGGGTCGGGTCCTCTTTTCAAAAATTTCAAACGGTCCGAGTCGGTCCGGTCCTTATAGATTTTAGGGTCGGTCCGGTTCACAATTTTGAAATTGTATTGGACCCGGACCGGACCGTTTTTTGAAATCCCAATATTATTTTTAGTAAATATATGGATATACGGAAATATACTCGCCTAAGCCCTTCAATCTTTCGGCCCTTCCAATTGCAGGCAGAAAAGTGAGAAAATCTTTCGTAGTCGGAGAGTCGGAACCCATGAAGATTGTGAATTTTGTTTTTTTGGAACCCATTGACATTATATTGCCAAAATGTGGTTGTCTTTTTTTGTTGTTGTTGGATGATCATGAGTTGTACACTTTACTCTCATGCCCCTCTTTGTCATTGTTTTATTTTCATTTACGCCTCTTTTTTGTGTTGGATGACTTAAATTAATTTTTTATTCCTTTATTTTTTTAATATTAGTATCATGATAGGTTCGGACCCGTTGACCCGTAGAATCGGCCCGTTTCAAACAAGCCGGGTTAGGTCCGGTTTTAATTTTAAAATTTTGAAAACCTGTTCCGGCCCGGACCGTTTTAATAAAAACAAGATGAGTTCGGTTTATACAAATCTTGGCTCGGACCGGCCCGTGCCCACCCCTAAATGGGCATTGTGGCAAAGGTAAGAGTCTTAGAAAGATAAGATTCGAGCTCGATTTCTAACAATTGTACTAAGAAACGACTATGCTAAATATAGAGTCTCTGCACATAATAGGTACATGCTGCACTCTTTGCCATCAATCTAGTATCAAAATCCAATTTATCTCCTCTCAGCGAGCGTCCGATCAAGTCATGAAACTCATTCTTTTTTGGATATGATTGAAGATTATGAACACACTGTACTGTATATGTGTGTGTAATTTCCAACTCATTTGTTTTTTCATTCACTTTTATGTGGTATTTATTACCCCCTTCGTTAAAACTAAAATTAAAAACTAAGATTATAGGTGTAAAATTAAAAAGTAAATTTATATGTTTAAAAACTCAATAAAAAATTCTACAAAATCAGAGGTGACAAGATTATATTTTTTATCAAATAACTAATAACTAATGGAAATAAATAAAGAAAGTGATTAAAGTTTGACTATGTAAATAATGACTTAGAAAAATGTTTTAGGACGGAGGGAGTATTTTCCCACAAGTTCTTGCAACAAACCTCTATGTTGTTTTACTCCTTACCTCCACAACCAGACCCATTTTACGTACCTCATATTCATATCCTCATCAAAATAATACTCCCACCAAGTTTTTCTTATATATTTTGATTTTTATGAGATTTAAATTAGAGATATTTTGGGTTGACTTCTCTAGAATGATGTGTAAAGTAAGATATCATGTGTGAAAAAAAATTGTGACACACAAAAAAAAAATGAGAGGGGAAAGAATTTGTGAGAGGGAAATAATATATCTTCAATACTCTCAACCCAGATACAATACTCCCTCTGTCCGCCAGATGACCTTTTTGTTTCTCGGTTTGTCCATGAAAAATCTTCTCATTATATTTTTTTTAACATTTAAAATATTACAATTGTCGACGTTGAGCCGGGGGTCTATTTGGAAACAGCCTCTCTACTTTCGAGTAGGGGTAAGGTCTGCGTACACACACCCTTCCCAGACCCTACTCTTGTGGGATTTAACTGGGTTGTTGTTGTTGTTTAAAATATTACAATTACCCATACTTCCTTTTATTTATTATATCCCACCCACCTAATTTAAGATATTCCACCTAATGTCATTAAAGATATTTTAGTAAAGTTTTACTTTTAAATTTAAATCACAATTCAATTTTTTTTTTAATATTTTGTGGTCGAACTTTAAAACCATTGCCTACAAAAGTCAAAATGAAAAAAATGAAGCTATAAGAGAGATATCTTTTTAAAAGAGCTGAACTGTTTTGTACATATAAAAATAAAATAATAAGTGTGTATACATATTTTGGTATTATCATACACTAATTAATTCTCAATTAAAAGATCCACACACCCGCCTAATGGTACCTTGAGAGCCGGTAAGCACGCCGATTCTCCCCATTTTTACCATCGCATTTCCAAACTCCGTCTCAAAAGAGGGCCCCAAAAACGGTAAAAAGCCAAAGTAAGAATCCACCACATTCCGGGTAGACGAGTCCTCGTACAACCGGGCGTCGGACTGTAGAACCGCGAACCCGGTCCGGATGTTCTGCAGTATTTGGGTGTCGAACGTCTGACCGCTGCCGTGGTCAATGGGCAGGCGGACGTTGACGTCGCCGTTCTCCGGGCACTTGGCCTTTAGCTCGTCGAGAAACGACGGATTGATCGCCGGATCGGATCCGCCGCCGCTGGGGGAGAAGCTGTAGAGGCGCTTGGTCATGAAGAAGCACGCTGTGGTTCCAATCGTGTGCGCCGCTGAAATTCATTTGGAGACAACTAGTAATAATTGTTCAAATAAAGTTCTATATTTTTTTCTATATTTGTCCACATTTGACTTTTGGAACTGTTCATCTTAGTACTTTGACTCATCAAATTTTTCTCAATGTGTAAGTCTAAACATAGTCATGTGTGATCTTGTTTGATTTGTCTTAACATATAGATTATTAATATATAATTTTTATAATTTTTTAATATACAAATTACAAGATAAAATAGATTAAAGAAGTGCATTGGATGGTGTGTAAAAATGAAAGTGGACAAATACAGGGAGACGGAGGGAGTATATTATAATGGAGTAATTATCACAAAAAAAGAGTAATTTTCGTTCAAAAAAATTTACGAAGTATTTAATTATGACTACTTACCTTAAAAATACTCTATACCAAAGAACAATTCGTACAAAGTAATTTCTATCAAAAAAAGTTCTATATTTTTTTCTAAAAAAATAAGAATTTGCATGACTTTACAGGATATTTAACAATATGTTTTGATATTATATATTGACCTGATTGACCTTATATTGCATATGTAACTCTTATTTTTAAAATAAAAGATGGAATTCTTATTTTATTACATTTTCTATGTTTTACTTCTATGTTTCTCCTTATGGTTTACAAGATTGAAATTAAAATTTTCAATTCAGTTTATTTGATTATAAGTATAGAATTTATAAATATATTTTACTCGTTCCGTTTTAAAGTATTTGTCCAATTTTAACATTTTTATAGTCAATATGGATTGACCTTAACCTATAGTTTTGAAAATTTTTATAAGACAGATAAAATAATTTTTTTTGTATCAATAACAAATATTAATTTAATTTAATTAATAGTCAAATTTTATCAATTAAAAGTGAAAATATCTATAAACCCGAGGCAACATAACTACAGGGTATACTACACAAAGTAACATAAAAAGAATAGTGAACATAAATAGACGGAAAAATATTTCCTATGTGAAAACTAAACCGTAAAACATTTTTCATTTTTTGGTGATGTGTGTAAATAATAGGTGTAAAAAGTTGAAAAGAATTTGATTTAGGGTTCGTTTGGTATATGGAATTGATTGAATTGGAATTGAATTGAAATTCCATGAGATTCAATTCTATAGAATTGAATTCACCAATTCCAATTCATTTTTTGTACTATCAATTCTGAATCTACATAATTTTTGTATTGCCAAATACCAGAATTAGAATTGAAATCCTTAATTCTAATTTCATAATTTGAAACGAGGCCTTAGTGAATTTGGTGATGAGTTAAGAAGATTGGTGATGGTGAATAAATGCTAAACACACTTTGGTCATTTTCAAAGGTCCCTCTTGCATGCAACCCAACACATTCATGAACTGTGACAATTGGCACCCATGCATGTTCTTCGTCATCCAAAATAAACGTTACCTTAGCCAAAAATGATAATCCCTCCATCCCATAAAAACATTCTTCATTTTTCCCCGAAATGTCTAAAAAAAGACCCTTCTTTCAATTTTCTGTATGACCTAACATCTTTATATTTCATTTCTATGACCTTAAAATTTACCTTTTTAAAACTTCATATGAAACTCAATAAAGAAGTTTTTTTAAAAGGAGGGAAAGAGAGTAATAATAGTACTAATAAAGAAATGAAAGTGAAACATAAGCGGGTTTTGTGGCCCATTTTTTTTGTTTTGTTTTAAAATAATGGATCACATGGGGTTAGGATCATTTATTGTCATAACTGTATAAGTGACAATAAATCAAAACTCTGACGAAAATCACACGAATATTAACTTCTTGAGGGAAAAATTCAAAACAACACGAATTAGCTAGCCAGCCAGCTAAGCTAAGCTACTGGACTTTATATGAATATGGTGTTTTATCCTCATCTGTTTATATATTTATACTCCACATCTGGCAAGGCTGCGTTTGGAACGTGGAAATTAAAGGAATGCATAGTTTTAGTTTGTTCATATCACTTGGCTTGTCCACCCACTTGGTTCTAAGTGAATCCCACAGAAGTTTCATGAGAGAGAGGGTAAAAAAGAAATTAATTATGGAAATAAATTTATTAGTAATTACCGCTGAGGAGGACAAGGTCTTTATTGGAAAGTCCTTTGTTGAGGAACTTGTCCTTGAGTGTCTGGATGGAATCATCAATGTCCGGCATGTCATCCGCCAGTGTCAAATTTGACACCGCTCCGTCCCTTCTTCCCGTCTCCACCTCGTACGACGCCCCATTTGTCTGCCCCAATAATCCACCCATTCATTTTATTATAACAACATCAACATTATCATAATAAGAGTCGTCCCGTTGACACTGGATTTCAATGTCAAAATGACATTTAAATGGTGTTCCATTCGACTCGATAGCGGTTTCTACCTCTGACCCTTTCATCCCGCCTATCCCTATTTGTCCTCAATTGCGTCCCCAAATTTGGTTGACAATTTGATTAAAATTTAACGAATGTTAATCAAATTTGGGAGTACAACTAAAAAAGGACAGAGGGTCTGGAGGGGTAGGAATTATTTCCAAGCCTAACAATGTTTACTACGGTCGGAACACAACTAAACATTGTTAGGCTCCCAAACAATTCTCAAAAGAATTTAAAGTGGGACAAATATAGAGTTACCAAGACGACGGCTTCTCGGGCGGCCAAGGCGACAATATCGGCACAAGAAACAACGCCGGGGCAGACGGCCTCCACCTCCGCCTTGGCCCTCTCAATCACCTCAAATCCGCCGACCCCTTGGTGCCCAAACGCGTGCCTCTCCGACGCCGCCCCGTTGTCCACCAGTATCGACCCGTCGCACCCGTGGACGAAGCAGTCGTGGAAGTGGAGGCGGAGCAGGGCCGGGGAAATGTTGGGGTTCGTGGCGGCGACGTCCCGGATTACGCCGCCGACGATGGACTCGAAGTTGGGGCAGGTCTCGTCGTAGAAGCCCACCTTCAGCTGCGCCCCGCCGCCGGCCAATTTGGTCATGGTCACGATGAGGACCAAGAAAACTGCACCTATCATCTTTGCAATTGCCTCTATAGAAGAATATCTATCACTATTTGGATTAATTTGGGGTATAATATATATTTATAATAATGTGTGAAGGCTTTCTTGGGAATGTATATCTTAAATTAATACTCACTCGGTCCCAAATTTGACTACCATAAAATCGAGCACGTTTTAAAATTAATTTATTTGAAAATTGGTATAAAAATAAGGGAGAAAGACTAAAATAGGACTAAAACATTGAAAACATGGTCATGTACATTACCAATGAGTATAGTACTGTGCACATGTACAGTGTCACATTACCACAGTGTAAAGTCATATTTCAAAAAAAAAACATGAAAGTCTTATTTTGATACTTTCCTCTATATTTTAGTCATATATAAAGTGATTTTTATAAAAATACGGAGTAAATAAAATTAATTTGAGAGAGATATTCACGAAATGTATAAAATAAAATATAGTGAGTTTATTTATAGCTAGCTAGCTCATTGCCAGTATAACGTCTGGACATGTATATATTATATTGTGTAGTGGGTAGAAATTGAAATAAATAAATGGAACATATTTATGGCCATACTCTGTCAATTTATATATAGTCTTTGTATTCTTATGAGTGGTGTAGAGTACTTGCCTTTTTGCCTATATAACGTTGTACTCAATTATAATCTCAAATAAAATAATGTACATTGAAGAGAGGATTTTTGGAGACTGGGTTCACATTTCATAAGTGGCAGACTTTATTTGAAATGGTGAGGCTAAATGCCTAAATCCCATCTCATGCCGCGTCTCGGGTCTTTTTCAGAAAAGAACCGGTTCATGACGATCTAGTTTTACGCCATCTAGCTAGTTTTCTCAACATTTGTGCATAGGCCGTTCGTTTTAGATTCGGTTATTTTTAGATTCGTTCTATAAATATTTGTTCACGGTTCAAGATAATGATGTCTCCCTCTCTTTGGTTGGACTAGATGCTCATTGGTTAAATTTATTTTGTTAAACATATATTCGATCATTTGTTGAAGTATTTATTCCACACTTTGGCAATATAAGTATATAACACATTATTAGTTATTTTCATAATGTACAATGTCTGACTTTCTAGTACCCCATATTTTGTGACAAACAAACATTTTAATAAAAATACAAATATATTTCTATTTTATGATTTATTATGATCATTTTTACATAAGTAAATTGTTAAATAAAAATGAAAACATTAATGCTCATATAATAAATTATTATTTATTTGAGAATGTCCGCATTTCTTACATGAAAATTAGGTTTATATCGGTTCTCGGGGCACCCTCGGCCCTCGACTCTTTTTTTTTTAAAAAAAATTGGTTTATAAAAGAACCTACATTGAATAAAACCTATACATCATAATTTTGGTGTCCACGCCTCCACGGATATATCTACTTCAAACTTAGCTTTCTCCTTTTTGGAATAATAATTGTAACACAATTTACACCTCCCTAAAAAAATTGAGTGTCATTCTCAAGAGCCTCCTTAGACTCGACCCAATAGTCACCGAGAAGAGATAAATAAGACTTTAGTCACAGATTGGTGACAGAAAATAGAGTCTGCACATGATGAGTCTGCACATGATATTTGCAGAGATCATATGTTTAGCATATAAAATTGTTTTCCAGCACAGTTGTCAAGACTCGAACTCAGGTCTATCCATCGTCACTCTTTGCCTTTGGCAATTGCGCAACCCCCACCGACCAATTTACACAATTTACACCTTCCTAAATTACATTACACTTAGCTTTGCTCCATCCATACAATGTCACAAGAGGGTTCATATTAATAGTGATGTACACGAGAGCCGGTTTGGAATATTAATATTTGGGGTAAGCTTAGCTCTGGTGAGGGGATGTGCCACCAACCAACTCAATGTAATACGTAGTACAAAAATTTTTGGCGTTTTATAATGAAATTAGAACTTTACATATTTCTAAATCTTTGAAGGTCAAAATAATAATCCGTACATGAAAACAATGCGCTTTTTAACTTTTTTAAATAAACATATCGAACAGTTTTATTTCACTCTCTTCTAAATAAATTTCATACACTTTTTTTTTTATTTTTCACCATTATACATCTTTTACTTTTCATTAAAGAGTACTCCGTAGTTTTTTTTTAAAAAAATTGTGCTTTAACATTCTTACTTCGTAAATCTACAAATCTTTCTTTAGGTGAAAAAAAACAGAAACTGTCACATAATAAATTGGACTGCCAAACACACCAAAAAGACTTCTAAATGTACAGGTCAAAAAGTAGTCACTAATACCCATAGTAATTAAAAGGCTGAGGCGTTTGATGGGCCTTCTCTAATACTACTTGTCCCTGCATCCCATTTCTTGCATACTGTTGCCACATTTGCTGCTCTTCTAACAACAGTCTCTGCTTCTTGTCTATCTCCGACATCTGCACGTACGTCGGCGGCGGGACCGACAGCGAAGCCGTGAAAGGGTCGGCTCCCGGCACCGCCGCGTTTGCCGCTCTGGTGGCTGAGGGCGGCGCCGGGAGTGCCAGCATTGCTGGCTTTCCGGCGGACCCGAACGCGACGCTACTTGCGCTACCCGTCGCTACGACTCCAGAGGTGGTTATCGCCTGGTTTAGCACTCCCTGTTGGTACATCCCGTCGAGCGTTAATTGATCGAAGCCGCCCGGAAGTTGTGCCTGTTAATTCATGCCAAATAGTTGACATTGGCCACTAGTGTCATAATATCACATCTGGTCCTGTTCTATGTTTGGTTCAAGGAATTTGGAAGAAAAAGAAAAGAAAAAGATTTTTCTCCCATTTTCCTCACCAAAAAAGGAGGAATTTGGTTTTCACTCCACTTTTTACATTTGCATTCTCATTTTGCTTTTCCTCCCTAGCCAAACAAGAAAAATTGTTTTCCATCTCATTTTCTTTTCTTTTCCCTTTCAAATTCCTTGAACCAAACATCGTGTTAAAGATCTGGAGAGTCATGATAGTACCTTTTGGGTTGACAAGTGGCTAGCGGATTGAACAAGAGCGGTTTCCCAATCGCCGTTACCGGTGAACGCTTCCCATGGAGTCACCGTCATTGTTGTAGTCGCCGGAGCTGTTGGCGGAGCACCGTCAAATAAAGCCAATGCCAACTGGTTTGAATGTTCTTCTGATGTGGGTGCATCTTCTCCCAAGTTCAAAAGATCTCCCATGTCTTGCCCCTTCTTCTTCTCCTCCTCTTTTGGCTCCTCCTCTCTCTTCTCTTCCAACACCTCTTCCTCCGGCGGCGCCGGCAGTGCCTTTGTCGTATTCATGTCCTCTTCCGGTTCCGGTTCTGGTTCCGGCTCTGGTTCTGGCTCTGGGCTCTTCATTTTTCTCCCCCTCGCCATTTCCGTCTTCTCCCGGATAATCTCTTCCATAATGTCGAGTTTCTTCTTCGGGTAATTCTCCATGTCCGGGTAGTCGGATAACCGCGAAATCCCCGCCGCTTTGCTCCACTCGTAGAACATCTCGAGCTCATCGTACTGCTTCGACACGCGGTAGAAGATCTCGTAGACTCTTCTGGCGTCGGGGATATCAAGCTTCATGAACCGGTCCACCAAGATGCCGAATATTTCAGCCATGGCGTAATATATTTGGAAGCTTTCCCTTACTATCTGATACATGGCCACAAGCACGAGCCTGTTTCTCTTTGCAGCCCCTGCAGATCAAAATTATAAATCCATTTTGAACGAAAGAAATGTGAGAAAGTAGAGAAGCCACAAACCTGTAGGCCTGCAAGCCAAGAAACGATCAAGAATCTGCATGCAATGCTGCGTTCTTGAGAACAGATGCTCGTTCTTCATTTCAGCGTGGGAGCTTCTCACGACAATGGCATCGGGCCCCACCTCCTCGCCCTCTTCCCTGTCTTCCTCGTACGCGAACGCGGCGCCGTGTTTCCCGCGGCGCGTCTGCATCCGGAACTCGAGCTGCTCGTCGAGGTAGAGCGAGTACGTCCTCACGAACGCCGAGAAGTCCCACGAGTTGGACCGGGAGTCGCGGAAGTCGGACATGTTGAGGAGGCGGGTCCCGCACCGGGTGGCGAAGAAGAACTCCTGCTCGTACGATTGGTCGCCGTCCGTGAGCAACCGGTGGATGACCATGAGAGACTTGAGCGCCACCACCCAGTTCTTTGTCTTGCTGAGGCGGCGCGATAAGGTGCCAACACACGCGCCGACATAGGCGCGTGAGTAGCACGTGAGGCAAAGGATCTCTCTTATGTGCTTCTCCTCCGGCGGATATTCTTCGTGGCGGGTGGCCTTGACAATGGCGATCTCAAGCTCCGACAGGGAGGCGCTGCCGCCTACTTTGGCCAGGCTTATGCTTGTCTGGTCCTTCACCGCTCCTATGGCTTTTCTCAATTTACTCGGAGCCATAATTGTAATTATATTTGTTTATAGGCAGTTTTTCAATGAAACAAAACTAAGATGATAAATTAAAGGCAGTTTTTCAATGCATGCATGGGAAAACAACAATAATATGCATGCAGGAAATGTGTTATTATTATTTATTGATGGAGAAGAAGAGAAGAAAATGATGTATCCTCAGCTCTTTCTTCTCCTCTTAGAACAATGAGAACCTTAACTCTTGTTTGTTAATGTTCTTTGTCCTTTTTATATGTTTTCGATTTCTTGGTGTTTCTATTGACTGGTTTCATTGACCCTTCAAACTTTCTCCTCCCTTGTTACCACGAACAAAACGGAGGGCGTTGAAAGGCGAGTCAAAACTTTTCCAATTAATGGTCTATATATATTTCATTATTTCAATGGTTTCAAATTTCATATTTCTAAAATTCAATTAATGGTATCATATAGGAGTACAACATATATTATTTTCGTCCCACCAAAAATTTTCTCCTTCCTTTTTCATCTATTCGAAAAAATACTTCATCTTTCAATCTAAATCAACTATTTACCTCTATTAATTATTAATCTATCTATCGCATCATACATATTCCTTATTAATCTACTAACCACATCATATTTCCACCGTATAAAATAAGGGTAAAATGGAAAAAAATAACACCCAAATTACACCTACCATAAATATCAATTTTCTCAAATGTGGAAATGTTTTTCTAGACGAAAAGCGCTTACACACACACACACACACACGACGGATTTTAATATAGTGGATGCTGACAAGATGAACTCGACATCAAGTAAACAATGCATCAAAAATAAGATCCCAGAAAAATACGGAGTGCATAAAATGAAGCTAATATAAGTAATTATATGTGGAAACACGAAACCCAAATTGAGAGAAAACCATAGACCTTTTTAGGCAAGACCATGCTAAGGAGAAAATTTTATTAATCTCGGGGGACAAAGAGAGTAGTATGTCATATATGAAATATAAATGGACTATCCACAAACCACACACTTACAATGATAGAAATACTAGTTCAATGAGTCATAAAGAACTTACTTTCCTCTTCCACCTTAGAAAAGTCGGCCTTTTCCTCAACCTTTTGCGTGTTCCATGATTCTCCTTCCTTATGTCCATACTTCTTGCAATAAGAGCATTGAAGTTAACTTTGGTTTTGAATCCCGTTATCATTGCAAAAAGTTCTACCTTCCCCTTTTCAAAAGAATTCCTTAACCTGAAAAGAATTCCCCTTCACTTTCTCACTAGACCTACTAAACCCATCTTCATAGGTCTTGTTAAACAATACCATGATAAGGAGAAACTTTCATTAATCTCGGGGGACATAGAGAGTATATCATATATGAAAGATAATTGGGCTATCCACAAACCACACACTTTCAGTGACAAAAATACGAGTTGAATGAGTCATAAAAAACTTACTTTCCTCTTCGCCCTCCGAAAAGTTAGCATTTTCCTCACCCTTTTGCTTGTTCTAAGATTCTCCTTCCTTATGTCCATACTTCTTGCAATAATAGCATTGAACTTTACTTTTGTTTTGAAGCCCGTTATTACATATTTATAGCAAAAAGCTCTACCTTCCCATTTTCAAAAGACTCCCTTAACCTGAAAAGATTTCTCCTTCACTTTCTCACTAGACCTACTAAACCAATCTTCATGAGCCAGCATCGAACTGATTATTCATCGAATGTATAAGTAGCAAGGTATGTCCTTTAATTCATCAACAACACCATGATTAAATTTTGATGTGAAGGTTTTCAAAACCTAACAACCACTCCACTTTCAACATTTCCATCATACCTTTTCATGCTATTAACATTTTCAGAAAAAAATTTCAGAAAATCTCGACAGCTTCGGCCTCTCTTAGGTGTCTTTTTGAAGCAGTAGTAGTGGTAAGCATTTTTGACAAGGGATAGCTATACGCAGTCAAATAAATACTGAATTAAACACGAATTGACCAACTATAAAAGTGAAGGTAGGGTGTGCTAAGTGTTTGATGAAATGCTTAAAGATATAAGGGAATTATTTAGGATACAAACTAGGTAGTGAGCCGAGCAAAGTCTCCGATTCCATTTCCAAGGTGAATGGTGATCTAAATAACAATATAAAAAAACACAAGACCTAAAATTCCATATTGATTTCCATGAAAAGGAACTTGAGAGTGAGAAACAACTCGCTAATGTTCTTAACCCCAATTCCCCGGTGATTTAGAACTTGATCCAATACCAAACCAAGTTTGGTGCACACGAACAAGTAGGCAGCGAAAATTATAATAACAAACGACAAAGGAAGGTAAGCATCAAGCAAATTAAATACATACGAGTAGATATTAAGAGGAAATAATATAAGCAAGTTGATAGAGAAAAAAGTTGAGTGAACAATATTAATAGTAGAGATAATATTAATAGCAGAGATTAAAATGCTGGATTAAATGGTGAATTACAGGTAGTGTTCGAAGTGGCTGAAACTGCTGTCCGACCGGAAATGAGAAGCTCCGCCGACGTTTTTGGAGCTCTCGCCAGCCGGGACCCTTCTCCGACCGAAAGCGAGAAGTCTGCGGTGGATTCTGGAAATTGAAACGGTCGGCGAAAATGAAAACCCAGCCCGGGATTTTGTCGTCCGTCCCAATTCCATCCCCAGTTCCCCACTCCCTGGCCCAAACCTCCCAAGCCAGTAACAAAATGAAGCCCAGAGCTTAGTTTCACTTTCATTTTCAGCCCAACTCATTCCTTTTCAATATTACTCCGTGGGCCAACTTTGGGAACATTTGACTTCCTGTGGACTGCTTTACCGGTTTGATGGAGCTCGAGAATAGAATGTATATCGCACACCCAGATACACCGACACATATTAAACTCGGATTAGGATCTTGTGTTTTCACGTCTTCCCGTAATGCCCAGTTTGACTTATTTCCGGTTGATGAACGAGAAAGTGAATACGGCACGCACCTTTTTGTTTGATTTGGGTCCGTTTTGGTCTTCTTCAAGTTTTATTGCACTTCGATCATTTGACTTTTTACGGTTTTCAATATTGCACTTCGATCATTAATATCTATATTTATAGATAGATATATTTTATAAAAATCTGATATTTCAAAATTACATTTTATTAGGAATATATTGGTTTTAAATTTATATCATAGTATAATATATTTTTTGTACAAATTGGAGATAATGTTTATAAAATTTGACCAAGAAAAGTCAAATGTGAATAATATTTCCGGATAGAGGAGTATTAGAAACTAGGACCATTAAACCCTTAATTACTTGACCACAACTACATATAATTCCTACTTCGTACCAATTAAACATATATAGTGACTTATTGACACAATTTAAATGATGTTAGCGTTTTAGATAAATTTTTAACGGTACAGATTATGCTAACCGCTATTCTCAAACATGCCCTAAGTATGCCCTAAGTATAGTACTGGTAGACACTCTGAATAATTATCAAAAGGTCAATATATATAAATACAAGGTCAAAATTGAAGCCTAATAATAACTAATAGTAAAAGGACAGGAGTAATTAAATCAATAATAATATTCTTGACGATCATCAATAGGAATGGAGGTAGAATTGGGCAATCTCCTCCCTCGGATGAAGGAGCTGAAGAGGTGCAGTGCTCTTCCTGGCTGTGCATACGGCACCATGTGCGCCGCCCCTCTCACCGTCGCAAACGTCAACAAATTCCCGTACTCCGTCTGCCACCCTCCCACCTGCAACACCCCCACCCCCACCATCAAATCCCAGTTAATTTGTAACGGTCATTTGTAACGGGTTAGTCATGCACATCCGTTACAAAGAGGTCTGTAACGAATGACTCTGTTACAAGCAAACCCACCCGTGAATTTTTTTTGTAGCGGATATTTATTTGGGACTAATAAAAACAATGAATCTTTTTATACCAAAATAGGATTTATAATGTCAATACTATGAAATACCACCAAATTGTAGAAGAGGAAGATTACTTGGCCTTTGTGGAACCATGCACCGTAGGGGACGGTGATGTTCATGTTCAGCTCGGCGGCTAGCTCCCGAACCACCGTTCTTGACCCCACCAATGGCACCACTGAATCTTGATCCCCACTGTATGTATATATGTATGTATGTATATATATAACTAAATATATCGTATATGAAAAACCCTTGAGCTAGCAAATCAAAAGCAAAGATGAAAGTGTAATACTCCCAAGAACAATGATCTCTTATTTGACTTTTCACATTATTCTATATTAAAATTAATATTTGAAACTATTTTTCATTAGGAAACTATTGTTACTATATTATACTTCTTCCGTCCCTAAAATATCTTCTCCTTTCATTTTTTTGTTGTCCCCAAAAGATGCTCATTTATCTTTTAAAAACTCACTTTTACCCCTTACTTTTTCATACCCTACTTATCACATATAATCATACTTTTTTATTAATAATCTATCCATCACATCTTATTTTAACCCATCATATCAAGAGTATTTTTGGAAAGTCAACACAAAAATATCTTTCCTTTAATTTTCCAAAAAATCAATCAGGGAAACCCTTTCACGGACTGAGGAAGTATATAAAAATACAATGTATATTTTTCATATATGTAGGCGAAAGTTAACAAGTTTTGACTAAAAAAATCAAATGAGAAGATCATTTTTAGATGAAGCGAGTATTCGAGTAATATATAAACCTGAATATCCATAGAGGGATTTGGTTCTGCAATATTTTTTTAAGTAAGGGAACCACATCCGCATCACCGTCTATCTGGCTGTAGTTCAACATTGCACTGCACATATATATATATCACAATATTTTTAAAAAAATCGTATCGTCAAAGTACGAATATATCACACATTCTACTTTATTAAAAATCACGTGGAAGCGAGACTAATATATATATATATATATATGTATATATATATATATGTATGTATGTATATATATATATATATATATATATATATATATATATATATATATATATATATATACTCACAAGTCAGCACAAGTCTGCCATGGATAGGGCAAACTGGTCCGATTTGCATGAAGAGCCTTCTGCACTTGTGGAAGGTTCAAATAGAAACTCCTTTCTTGTGTTATACACACATCCACTCCCATGCTCATCTTTGTTATCTACATGCAAAATTTATTCAAATTGGTAATGCTCAGTCACATACTCAGATGAAATGATCGAATACTCTAACACTATGTTTGGTTCAAGAAATTTGAAAGGGAAAAGAAATGAAAATGAAGTGGAAAATAGTTTTTCTTGTTTGGTAAGAGAAGGAAAAGAAAGGAAAAGTGGAAGGAAAAGAAAATGAGAATGCAAAATATACTTAGTGGAGGGAAAACCAAATTCCTTCCATTTTGGTGAAGAAAATGAGAGAAAATCATTTTCTTTGCTTTTCCTTCCAAATTCCTTGAACCAAACACAGTGTAAGTATATTGCGCGCGTACCACTTTGTGCAAAATGAGTTCTTGTTGAACGATGGAAGGGTAGCAGACGTCGAGAATAACGTCGTAAACGTTCACGTAGTTCGTCACGACGCGGTACTGCTCGATGATCGCCGCGTTGCACGGACCGGATTCGTTGTGGGGGTAGATGAAGCTATAGTCGTCAAAGTCGCACTCCCTCTTGATGGCGTTATAGTTCTCGTCCGAAATCAACCCGTGGGACCAGAAAAACTCCGTCACCGCCGGCACATCTCTCTCAAGCTTCACCAGTGGATTTCCCAGCTGTCGAAGCGATTGTGAAATAATAATAATATTATTATTGTTACTATTTCTAAGGGAAAAAGAACATATATCGTCACGATTTCAGGAACGTTGTGACGAACTACACGTACCGCTACACCTTTGATTTGAAATTTGTGCCCCTTGATGAGGTTTTTGTTGTGGTCTATCATAAGACTTGCTAATTGGGGAATGTAATGTCCTGAAAGACAGACAAGTAATTTGAATATTTTTAGATAATACACAGACTTCTACTTAGGAAAATATGAATATTTCACAAGAATATTATTGAGAGTAGTTAACCTGCATAGCTTTCTCCGGTGAGGAACAAAGGTTTGTCAAGAAACTCTGGGAATTTTTCATACCATTTTTGCATGAATGTTAGCATATCATGAGCTGCTACATCCATCACATGCAATAATAATTGACCATTTAAAACCAAATTAAATAATTACCATAACAAAGTTAATTAATTACTTATAAAAATGTTGAAATTAAAACATGTGTGGAATTGAAGAGGAAGAGTATATAGTACGTGCCTGTGCTGTCATCCCCACAATTAGAATAATCAGTACTTGTATTTGAGTATGACCATCCTACCCCTGCCGGTGCCTCAACAAATAGAAGGTGCGATGCTGCAATTTGTACGTCAAAAAAGGTTATTTCTACTTCCTCCGTCCCAAAAAAATTCAAGAGTTCGATTTTTATAGTCAAATTTTTTCGGGCAACCTGTACAACACATTGACCATATTCAGTTCTAATCTAAATTTAGTAAAATTAGATTTATACATTAAAATATAGTTTTGAAATATCAAATTTTTATATTTAGTTAATGTAAACTAATTTCAATTCGTGATAAAAAAAGATCACAGTTTGAATAAAAAAGTCAAGCCGTGACAACCTTTTTGGGACGGACGGAGTAATTTATTTCGTTGTATTCTCTCTTCTCTACGTCCAAACAAATTTAGAGTTTGAATTTTAGTTAATTTTTTTAAACTTTGAGTACAAATTATTTTTTTAAAAAAGTATATTTGGTCACTAGATATATCAAATTTGTATAAGTATTTATTTAATGGTCAAAGTTTATTTTAAATTGACCAAGAAACTCAAATTTAAAGTTTTTTAGGAGACAAAGAGAGTATTTTACATCATGAACCAATTGAAGTTCAAGCTTATTGTTGTAGTTAAAAGAAAAGTTTCGGATCATTTTCAATCTTCCATGTGAAACTTGAATATTTTTTTAAAACTCGATGTTTTTGAGTTTCGAACACAAGACAGAATGTGAAATAAGACTTGACTTTTTTTATATGGTCGAATATAATTTTAATTAAAAGAAAAAGGAAAAAAGGGAAAACCTTTGTTCCACGATTTGGAGTTAATTCGAAGACCATGGCCGTCGCCTGACGGAAAAAAGGGACCCAGCTCCGTAAAGGCGCCGCCGCCGATGGAGGAACATCCCGGACCTGCACAAATGATACTTGTTCAATTTTTACTCATAATGCACACTTTACTTTTAGCCTTATACTTCGGACCTAACAAACAATTTATACAAAATATTGCATTTTTGGCAGAGAGACAATAAAATTTGACTAATTTAATCTTACTACCGAGTACGGAGTAATTCTTACCCTACTTATCAGATTATATTTTATTACTAAAATTATATCTGTCACATTAAAAACAATTTGAAAAAGTTAATAAAAAAATATTCCTTTCTTAAATCACAGAGAAGCCAAAATGAGAATGACTTTTCAGAGACATATGAAGTGTATTTGAGAAAATGTTATTAATATAACATTTAACTCCAATAACGGACCGGCACGGGCGGGTTGAGTTAATATTTCCTCCGTTCCATAAAAATATTTTCATTTTGACTTTAAGAAAATTTAAGAAAAAGATATTTTTGTGTTGACTTTTAAATACTCTTGATATGATGGATAGAAGTAGAATGTAATATGTAGATTATTAGTAAAAATGTTTGATGTGATATGTAGATTAAAAATTAATAAGAATAAAAGTAATTTTTTAATATTTTGAAAAAATTTGGGGGCGCTGCCTCTAAATTCTCAATGGTGCTTCCAACTATTCGAATTCCTGGTCTGCCTCCACTAGGGAACAAATAGTATCGAGTAACCGACTAACAAACGTCAAACCCTGTGCGTCCATCCAAACTTTTTTCTCTTGTAATTCAGCGATGCAGCCAAAAGTCTATATTTCAAAATCTTTGACCGCCGAAATAAATAATGCGGAGTAACAAAGTAAAAAAAAAAGATGCCAAATTAAATAGCATTATTATGTTACATGAAATCATAAAAGCTCATATTATTACTGTATCCCATATCTTCATTTCAATTTACAGATGTAACCCTCAACAATAACGGACGTCATGTAATTATTATTGCAGTAAATCGTTATGTTTAATTATTGTGTAATAAGTCATCAACCTTTCCTCTCTCATTTCATCGATCCAAAAGGTGGAATGGCCCACCCCAAAAACAAGGATAGTAGATGAGGTAAATCATGGTAACTCAGTCGGCCAAGAATGCTAGACCCGTGCTCACTGCGCACAAGGAGCATTCTCACCTTTATGAGATTTATGGATAGCTCCACACTGCCGCTTGCGGAACTCGATCCATGGTCATCAGTTCAAAATTTCACGTTCTCGACCAACTGAGCTGCCAATGCAGGCATCTCCTCTCATTTCATTATTTATGTGTAGGCATTCATTATATTTTAAAGGTTTGTATTTTTTCTTAAACAAATATATAAATTTTCAAAGTAATTACACATTTAAAAATTTTACTATAAAAAAATTCTGCAAAATAAGATACTCCGTATGAAAAAGAATATTTTACTATTATAAATGATTAAAATAAATAAATGATAGTATATTTTAACAATATAGATCATGAATGAAACTTCTTTAGGGGGTGGGATTGAAGAGTAATGTAAATTACACATATTTTACTTCGTACTTGAAATAAATTAATAAAATAGAATTGTAACGCATTGAGTTTATGACATTGGGTTTGGCTGGACGTTGAATAGAATCATTACCGCCGGTTACGTTCACAAAGACACCACAATTGATGATATTTGTATAGAAATAGCCAAATAGGAGAAACTTTATTTTGATTTCCCTTTTTAACATAATGCTTTTCATCATTAATATATTTCTAAAAATACGGAGTATATTAACAATATACTATTAATATTTTAAAATTATATTTTAAATTAATTTATTAATTAGAAAATAAATAAATAACAAAATAAATAAATAAATAGAATCTTGGTAATTTAGGGAGTACTAACCTCCATTCAGCCAAAGAGTGAGGGGAAGATTATGGGCATCCTTCCGATCAGCTTCCACGAAGTAGTAAAACAAACTCCGGCCGGCCCTCTCGTCGGTATCTACGTAGCCGGCGTATTGCCGGAAAGTTACTTCCGGCTGTCCGGGCAGTCCCACCACCAAATCTTCCTCAGGGTAGCCGTAAACCACCCCGCCGGCAAGGAGGAAGAGCAAAGAAAGAAACGTCCGACAACAACAACCGCGAACACGCCCCATATTGTATAAAGCGCCGCCGGGAAGTCAAATGATTAGCGATAATTAAGGGCAAAGCTTAATTTTAACTTTTTTTGGAAACTGGCAAAGCTTAATTAATTCTCCATATATCCCTACGGCTACATATAATCTCTCTCACATTCTCACAAACAAGTGGGTCTAGATCTATATATATATAGAGAGAGAGAGAGAGAGTGTGAGTGAGTGATTAGTCAAAAGTCAGAACAAATGGCCGTGCATAAAAAAGGCAATCTTTGGCAGATTTATTAAAGTGCAAATAACAATTATTCCATTTTCTCCCAAGTAAAAACTATTTCCTATTGTCCTAATTTAGGTTAGGGAGATGCTAGGAGTACACCAAAAGTGTATTCTAAATGTACACCACTTGTCTTTACACCATTCATTTTATTTTCTTTTTATTTTTTATTTCTTTTTTGAATGTTACTTACCTTTTTTTGTGGTATTGGAGGGAGTAATGGATATTTGGGGTACACTTTTGGTGTACCCCTAGCATTTTCCTTTATTTTAAAATTGCTCTACTCACTTGGTCTTACAGTCATCGTCAACTTGACTCCTCAATCAAATTCGATGAAATTTATTAAATACATATTTTTTAATTAAAAATAAAAAGTATATTACTTAGTGAAATTCGCACTGAATAGGATTAAAACATAAGTCATTTCTCAATGTAGGATTTAAACTTTTTTATTCTCTAAATAGACTTAATAATGATTAGTGAGAAGAATAATGCCCAAGTGATGTTGGAAATTTAGTTGAATAATGACTAATAGATAATGACTAATGGTACTACATTGAGAAATAAAAACATATGATCCTATATTAATAAAGTCATTATATTTTAGTCCTATTTAGGTAAATTACTCTTACTTATTAATATGATGAAATAATTTTTTGAAATTTTCTAACAAAATAAATTTAATTATATTGATTTTGATGCCTATTCACCCCACTTTTTTTGTAAGAAAAATAAACCATACTAGGAGTACCTTAAGAAATATACCTCAAGTTGTACCTAAACAGATGCACTAATATTTTCACGTTTCACACTAACATAAAATACTAGTATAATAAAAAAAATTACACTGACATTTTATGTCATTGTAAATCATTACACTAACAATACACCAACTACGGAGTACTTGACATTTGGACCTGCGTTACATACTCCCTCCGTCCCGCTATATTCGTCCACTTTTGACTTTTGGAACTGTTCATCTAAACACTTTGACTCATCAAATTCTCTCATTATGTAAGCCTAAATATAGTCATGTGTGATCTTGTTTGATTTGTCTTAACATATAGATTATTAATATATAATTTCTATAATTTTTTAATATACAAATTACAAGATAAAATGGATTAAAGAAGTGTATTGGATGATGTGCAAAAATGAAAGTGGACAAATACTCTGGGACGGAAGTAATACATATTAACTTCGGGACTATGGTTGATCATTAATTTTTTTTAGTGCATTAAAGTTTATTTGATACCCAACTCATTAGCTAATATAGTGAGACGGCCCAACATTTTAAAGAGCTGTTGAGACGGCCCAACATTTATACTTAGGTTATATTGTTAATTTGTTATACCCTCTCTGTCCGAATTTATATTGCTTGTTTTGTTTTACAATGTTTGATTTAAATTATTTTTAAATTATTTTATATGAAAAATGGTGTAGAATTAAAAAAATAAAAATTACATATTAAAATACTACATCCAAAGATTTACAAAACAAGTAGCGACATGACTGTTTTATTTTATCAAATGACTACTGAAAAATGAGAAAGAAATTGAATCAAGATTAACCTAATGAATAGTACATAAATAATTTAATTTTAGACGGAAGGAGTAATTTAACTTCAAAATCAACAAAGTCTGGAATTTGGATAGTTCATTTGGCATAGAATTGAAAACAAAATGGGCATATATATATATATATATATATATATATATATATATATATATATATATATATATATATATATATATATGGGCCGGTTCCTGTAAAAATGCAGCTTGTGGAGAGAAATGAGAATGAAATCTAGCCGTTGGATCTGATGCATCATGCGGCTCAGATTGCATCCTGCGCCTAGATTTTGAGATAGTGCATTTTCAAAGGATTTTGGTGCATTTCGACGTGATGCATTTCGAAACCATTTTGGTGCATCTAATTTTGATGCAATCCTGACCCTTAGATCTCACAATCTAAAGCACGAGATTCATTCTCATTTCTTTAGGTGCACCAAAATGATTTGAAAATGCATCATGTCGAAATGCACCAAATCTACCCCCAGAAGGTCACCCATCATTTTTGATACTCCCATGCCAGCACGCTTAACTCTTTAAAATTCTTCCAATTTTGCATCTTCTGGGGATCGAACCCGGGTGGTGTGGTTAGCCAATCTACCCTGTGACCATCTCTACAGGGGGAACCACTGGGCATATGATATTGAATGAACTTAATATACCCAGACACATAACCGTTGCAATAAAACACATTGGCACCCGAACATCCCATCATAGCTTTTACACAGCAATTTGAACGGTCTTCGTGGGTGCAAAAAAAGGAGTTCCTTCGCGTTCCTACAACTAAACCAATGTTACTCGGAACCAATATTTTGCCTCGAGTCGGCAAGAGGCGCATTCGTCAAAACTCCCTTTACCCATCCATGTATATATCCATCTCCGTTCACCGAGGGGCGAGGAGGGTACCCTTTCATTTACTTCGTCAATAACACTATGTTTGGTTCAAGGAATTCAAAAGAGAAAAGAAAAGAAAATGAAGTGGAAAACAAGTTTTCTTGTTTGGTTAGAAAGGAAAAGTGGAAGGAAAAGAGGATGAGAAGGCAAAATGTACCAAGTGGAGGGAAAACCAAATTCCTCCCATTTTGGTGAAGAAAATGAGAGAAAACTATTTTCTTTTCTTTTCCTTCAAAATTCCTTGAACCAAACATAGTGTAAAAGTTTTCTAGAGTGTGAAGTTTTAAAATTGGAATTCAGAATAAAGTCTAAAAAACAGAGTACATGGCAACACTGGCCCCAATTGGTTAGCAATCTATGTAAAGAAGTTCATAAATTACTTCAAAGACATATGGTAATTAAAACCACCTAAATTGGCTAATTAAGGTAAAATTATTATGTGGTTTACCTTAAAGAATTGTTTAATATAATTAATAAACAAATCATGCAATACAACCTAACAGGGACGATAGAATTAATTCCGCAACCAAAAATGAAGCCTACAAATACCACTCTTTATTGGGTTTGACAAACACAAAAAACTTGAAAAAGAAAAGTACAGGAAAGAAATAAGAAGTAGAAGAATGGCAAGATCATACCTCATTCTGGCAGTACTCGTCTCTCTGGTGGCATCTTTCAGTAAGTATATGGGTGGGGGCTGTAGTACTCCCCACCTTCTCTGCAGACACTCAGACACAAAGCTTCGTTTATGAAAACCTTGTCCTGTTCTGTATATAAATAAACACATAAATGTGTAGTCAAAATTAAAATATTCACCCGCATTAATTTTTTTTGATCATTTTCACAAGGTTTATATATTGAAATAACAACAACAACAACAACAACAACAACCCAGCTAAATCCCACAAAAGTAGGGTCTGGGGAGGGTGTGTGTACGCAGACCTTGCCCCTACTCGAAAGTAGAGAGGCTGTTTCCAAAGAAACCCCCGGCTCAACGTCGAAAGTTGCATTGCTTGACTAACTGCTACTTCATTAATTAAAGAAGCACAGACAATTTAGAGATTCATTTTGATTTATTCCATCACATCCCAAAGCCAAGGTTTATATATTGAAATATTACGAGTATTTTTTTAATGTTTGCATGTGTGCACATTATGTATATATGCATGAAATGATGAGTTGATGAATGATGATTGCAGGCTTGCTACCATCAGAGGCAGGGACCGAAGGAAACACCTGCTCTGCCAATTCGGATTGCAGAAGTGTTCTTTGCGTTGAAGGAAAGGTCCGTTGCGTCAAGAAACATTGTCTGTGCATAGACAACAAGCCAGAAGTGGTAGAAAATGAAGAAAGCAAAGACCAAATAAAGCCAGACTGGGTTAGCCCTTGTCGCAACGATGATGACTGCAAAGTCCCAATGTGTCCTCCAAACTGCAAAATCACACAATGTGTTAACGGGACATGTTACTGCAAAGCTTGCTAAGAAAAGACCAAGATATATATGAGCTTTACTCAAGCAGTCAATCAATAAGAAATAAAATATTGAAATTTAAATAATATTTCTCATGAGAGTAATTTAACTTTTTCTTCTGGATCTAAAGCTTGCATTTTTGCATCATTTTGCTTCTCATAACTTTGCATGGTTGATATAAGAACTTCAAGATGTTGAGAAAACCCATTTTCTGTTGTAGCTTCTCATATATCATAGCTTGGTTATATTTATTCTAGTGTCTCAATCATTTTTAACCAAACCATATCCGTAAGATATGCATAAAGAGAACACACAGAAAGTGAATAAACATAAAAGAAGAGTGAGCAGGCATGCACAACAAGATAAGACAAGAAAAGAAAAAAGATGAGATTATTGACTGAGTGAACCAATTTGTCCAGGTATATATATGATGTGTTTCTTTTAAAGAATTTGCACCCACAGTTATGAAAAGGACTCAAATATAACAAAAGCACCCTTCTTTTTATTTGTACACTTCCCCATCTTAGCTTCCCAATTCTTGTAGGATAAATTATCTTTTTTTTCTTTATAAAATGCTCCAATGAATCATGTTTAGCACTACTCCATATCTTTCTCCAAGGAACAACTTTTGCAGTGTTGCATTATATCCTTTATGGCAGCTTCTTTTGTACTATTATCACAATATCCTTTACAAATGGTTAGAAATTTAGGCTATATATGTGAAATCTAGCCTAAGCTAATCTATAGAAACACTATTAAATTGTTGGAATACTACGTGTTGCTTGTGACCTTTAGGTTTGTAGGGTGCTCTCTCATAATATTGGTATACTTAAATTAGTGGCTAACACATGGGCTACTCAATTCGCTGATCTATTAACAAAACAAAGATCTAATGAGCAGAAAATTGTTGCTAACTAATGTTTCCAATCAATGATTCAAACAATCCTAATCCAAAATAATGAGAAAGATCAAATGAACAGAAATTTGTTGTCATCTGATACTAAAAATCACTGAATCAAACAATCCATATTGAAAATAACTTCATCATGTGCACACTAACCTCTCATCCAACTTAGTGCCACTTATACTCCCTCCAATACTTATCTTTCAGCCATCAAGGGATTATTTCGTAAGCCAGAGATTTGGTCCAGTATCACCTCAAGAAGACCAAGGCAACTTCAGCAAGAAGACAGCCTCATGCACTCTTGGAAAACTGAGCTAAAGAGTCATCCTAATCGTCTTTGGGACAACAACATAAACCCGGAAAAACCCCACAAAAGATAGGGTCTGGGAAGGGTATGTACACAGACCTCACCCCTACTCGGAAGTAGAGAGGCTGTTTCCAAGTGACCCTCGGCTAAAAAATGAAAGCACAAACAAAAAATCCCTGAGGTGTTTCATATCCATCTTTTAATCAATCTCATGAATATAGTCCAAATTTAAATGTTGGTCCCAATCAGAAACAAACCCCAAACGAGAGTCTCCTACATTGATAGGAAAAGATGCATCCATGTTGCATTTCTTGACAATACCTTCTGGTTTAGGCCATTAATGTGGTTCCTTGTGCGGCAATCCATGCACTTACAGATTTAGTGAATGATGAATGACTATGTTTACCCACAAGAATTTATATGACAAGATGAATTTATTTCTGAAGTTAATTTTTCCATGAAAGAATAGAATTAAAATACTCAAAAGTACCCGTGGACCCTTACAAACTTTTCTTGAACATTCACATAGAAGAGAGAATCGACAAGATACATATGTGCTAATAGGGCATCATTTGGGCATTGCACCCAAAGTGTATAACATAAACTCGATTATACATCTCCGCATTATCTTTTAGAAAACTAAGAACTTCTTACCTAACCAACATAGAGATCCAATGAGGAAGAAACGTTAATATGGACACAATCCTGTACTGCCAATAAAGGATATCACTGAATCATTCTATCATTTCCCAGGTTCATCATATACCTTATGATGAGCATCATGCACACTGATGTTCCAACTCCTTTTTAGGATCAGCATGCCTCTTGGAGTATTTTATTGTGTACCGTACGTCTATATTGCTGTTATCTTTCTGCAAGTTAGCCTTGTCTATGTACATCTTTGAGTATTCCAACGAGTAACGACCCTCCTCATTGCAGCTCTCATGCTGTGATGTAACCTTATCACACTTTGCAAGACATGGACCCATTGCTTCACTCAAAGGCAACTCATGAGACAAAGGCATGCCTGTTTCATGATCTAACTTTGCAGGTCTTGTTTTGCATTCTGATAAAGGACCAGTGTGCCTCCTTGAGTAACTTACTAAGTACGCTGCATCCATATTGATGTTATCATTCTGCAAATTAACCTTGCTTGTGCGCCTCTTGAAGTATTTCACAGAGTAACGGCCCTCCTCATTGCAGCTCTCAATCTGTGAGGTAACCTTGTCATCACATTTCACCTGGTATGTATCAATTACTTCATTCAAAGGCAACTCATGAGACATAGAATCACCACGCATGTCGGTTTCATGATCTAAATTCAAAGATCTGATCTTCGATGCTGGTAAAGGACTAGTGTGCCTCCTGGAGTATTTGATCAAGTACCGTATGTCTGTATCGCTGGTATCGTTCTGCAAATTAGGATTGTTTACATGCCTCTTGGAGTATGTGAAGGAGTAACGACATTCCTTTCCATTGCAGCTCTCATACTGTGAGGTAACCATATCATCACACTTCACCTGGCAATGATCTATTACTTCTTGCAATGGATCCATTACTTCATTCAAAGGCAACTCATGAGACAAAGCATCACCATGCATGCCAGTTTCATGATCTAACTTTACAGCTATGGTTTTGGGTGCTGGTAAAAGACCTGTATGCCTCTTGGAGTATTTCAATGAGTAGCGGTCCTTACTACTATTGTAGCTCTTGTTCTGCAGAGTAACCTTTCCATCACACTTCACTTCATGCAGAGACAAGCCTTGAGTCAAAGTATCACCATGCATGCTAGTTTCATGATGTGCCACTGGTTTTGAAACTCTACACCGTCTAGAGTATTTACACATGTAAAGGTCCTCCTTCGTGTTGCCTCTCTCAGTTTCCACGGTAACATCTTGATCACATTTGTCTCGGGATGGAATGCTAACTTGACAGGGAAGTGACTGCTGGAGAAAATCACCTTGCTGAATAGAGTGTGATTCTGAAATCACTCTAGTGTCATTGCCAAAATTGCACCTTTCATCAACACTGAAGAATATATTATTTGTTTCATTCACATGGAGTGCTTTCCTCTTCAGTCTAGTCCGCCTGTAGGTTCTTAATTTATTTCCATTCTGACTCAAATCAAAGGAACTGACCTCTTTGTCCCTAACACAATCAGAGCCTTCCGAAATGCTCAAATCACATCTTTCTCGTAGCCTAGTTCTTTTGTACACCACAATCTCCCCGCCTTCATTGCACTTGGAAGTATTTCCATATTCCATTGTTTCCCTGACTGCATTGAAGCACTCCCTCGCATTTGGAATGGGGATGTTGTTTTTGTTTTCCAAGTGTGAACTTTTTGATATATGAGGAGATGCATTTTTACAAAAATGCAATTCAAAACCCGATCCTGCATTGTCCATGTTCTTGGTAACACTATCAGCATCAGAACTACTGCTGCAATTTATACTATTTCTTACCATCAACCTCCGATTATTATCATTTGCTTCATTGTCAGCAGCCAGTCCTAATACATAATGTGTCATTTCCATCTCCCTGTTCACTGGCACTGTCTTTCCTAAAGCCTTCTTTTCTTCTTTCTGGGAAACCAAAATCTTCTTATTGGACTCAGAACTCGAACCATTTGCAGACTTTTCCAGTGGGTTGGCATCATAATCATTCAAAGAATTCTTAGATCTATTCCAGGTGGCACGTGATCTCAACACAGCCTTCTCAACACTACTGTACACTTTTGAATTCTTAAGCGACTTAGGAACCCAACAATCTATGCAAACTGAAAAGTCGGAATCCTTTTCTCTTTCCTTAAGGCTATAAGACCACGGGCTAGAATGCTCATACCTCAAAACGCAGCTTTTGTGGATACACCTTGCGCAGAGGCTGCACGAGAAACAGTCCAAGTTCAATGTCTCTTTGTAGCAGTAAGCGCATATCCGCGCAGAACTGACCAAATTGAAGCACTTCTTACAGAGGAGGACAATCCTCCAGTAACTGTCTAGGGTTCGGAGTCGATCCTTTGGTATCGAGGGGTTGATCCGAGTCCGGCAACCATGGCAGTCGGATAAATTGGGTTGGCCTCTGGTTATCCGCTTGGGTAGCTGATCCAGCCAGGTTGATTCAAATGACGTCGGATTCGACGGAGATCCGTCGAGGAAACGTTTTCTGGGGGAATGATGTGAACGAACTGACGGAGGAAGATGTGGCACGGCGGAGGATGGCTTGTTCTGCTGGAGATTTGGGGGTGCCATGGAGATTTCCGGACGAATTTCTAGGGTTTTACAGGAATTCAATCACTTCTCGATTGGGGAAATCAGATGCCGGCGGTGCCGCTGTTTTTGTTTTGAGTAAGGGTGGGGTCTGTTTTGGCGGTTCGGTTCGGTTCGATTTTGCATAAAAAATATGTAAACCGTTGGTTATTCGGTTCGGTTTTATACGGTTTTTATTTCGGTTTTTTTTGGTTTTTTCGGTTTATAAAAGTAGAAATTTATAAGCATTAAAAAATTGTAAAAACACTAACTCGATGAAACAATAACAATATGTAGTGTTAGCTTTGGTTTTTTGTTTGAGTTTTACACAAAAACAAAAACCAAACGGAAGGTTACTGTTTCTTTTAGTTCAATTTTAAATAAGAAATATGTGTTGAGTGCCCAACAAACATTTAGAAGATTCCAAATACTTTAAAAGACATCGTATCTAAAATAAATTACAAAGAATTTATATTTTTGTATAATACTTTCATTTTCATTATAACATCAAAGTATTTTTTATGTAAATGTGTAAATTACGCGTATCAATTTTTAATCTTAATATAATTCTATATTAGGATTTACTATTGGTGTTCATATATATTCTTAAGTTTTTTTAAAGTTTATAATAATATGGCTAGAATGTTTAATTAATAAATAAGAAAATAACTTTAATCGACTAGTAATTTATTTGCATTTATATTTCTATGATTTTTTTACATATCACATATATTCATATAAATAAAGCAAAGTATTTAAGAAAGTTCGGTTTATTCGGTTCGGCTCGGTTTTTCAAAGTGAAAACCATAACGGAACCAAACACTAACGGTTCGGTTCAATTTTTTTACATTCGGTTTCGGTTTTTTCGGTTCGGTTTTTTTTCTAGCTCGTTTCGATTGATTTCGGTTCGATTTTCGGTTTTCGGTTTTTCCAACCCAGCCCTAGTTTTGAGGCCAGACTTCGGAATTCCGTGTCTTAAGGGTGGGCAACCGTTCAAACGGGTTGTCAATATCCCACTCACATGCTCCCTTTTACTTTTTAGAGCAACTCTATACCTAATGCTAAAAAGCACTATAGTGCAAAAATCTATTTCTACATTTTCACTGTAGATAGTGTACTCACTGTTTTCTCTTTTCTTTTTCTTCATTTCCCCACTCTTCGGCTCTTCCCTCTCATTTTGCTTCTATTTCTTCCTCCCAACCCCTCTCTCAATTTGCTTCAGTTTCTTTTCAAGCCAAAACTGATGCACTCTCTAACCTCTCTCTCAGGTTAATTGTGCTCTAATTTACCTCTGATTTTATTCATCTCTTTAATTTGCTCTGCCCTAAAATTGGAAGCCAAAATTGCTGCAATTTGCTCTGCCCTCAAACCCTCTTTCAGATAAATTACTGCAATAGGTCTGCTATTGAATTTGGAATTAATTTTTGGATAAGGAGAGTAGATATGAAAGGTTGTAAAATAACAGTATAATAATAAAATATTATAAAAGTATTTTATATAGAAGATATGGTTGGAGAGAATATAAAAAAGTGGATGTGTAAAACACTGTTGATAGTGTAAAATTACTTTTACACTACCAAAATATACAACAAGCATTGTAGATGCTCTTACAGTAATTTTTACTTGAGATAACAAAATTTTGTTCCAAAGTGATTCTGATCAGTTCCAATTTCCAAATAAAATGAGACCAAAATATATATTATCTCCGTTATAGTGTATGTAGGAAGTTTGAATTTTACTAGTCAAATTGAACACATTTTAAATTTAAATTATTATCAATTTGTATTATATATTAGTATAATAAAATAAAATTTTAAAAATTTTGAACATAATAGATCTAATGAAATTAATATTATACTAATATGCATGAACATTTTTGTTTAATTGACTCAAAGCTCATCCTGATTCGAAAATATCAAACTAGACAAATACACTCAAATAGATGGAAAATATATTTTCGTGTTTCGTCATGTTATCTCGAATGTATGTACAACAACAACAACAACATCTCAATTAAATCCCACAAGACTATGATCTGGAGAGGGTGTGTGTACGCAGACATTACCCCTACTCGAAAGTAGAGAGGCTGTTTCCAAATAGACCCTCGACTCAACGTCAAAAGTTGTATTGCTTGACTAACTGTTTACGGAGGGAGTAATATATAAATGAGATAACACGAAAAACACTATTTTTTTTCCAAGATAGATACAAATAAGTTTCTAGATTTAAAGTACTTGCCAAAATTTGTATTACACTTTATTTAGGAATTTATTAGTGATATTTTTATAAAACTTATGAATTGTTTTTACGGGTTAGAAATTAATTTTTTAGATTTATATTTTATTAAGAGATTGAATAAGCACGTCCCAGACCATGATCTCAAAATAAAAAGAGACAAAGTAGCATAACGTCAAAGCACGTCCTGATCGTGTAATGAATCAATTTTGAATTTGAGTTTATTTTCAAAGTATACAGATCAAGATATCTAAATGACGACCTTAATACTACATTTTATAAAGTGGACTTTAGAACCATGGAAAAAAAAATCTTAGAGAATATCTATTTACGGATCACAACTCGTATTTTCAATACAGTTTTCTTATTCATTTGGAATTCGCTAAATTATGACTTTGAGCCCAACATTAAGTTTATTTTAAACTTCAATTCACTATACATGTTTGTACATGTTCACGACAATATAAATCAACATAAATATTATGAGATCTCAATGTTCTGATTTATAATGTAAATGAACATTTATTTTTGAGATCTCAACTCCATACGTTGCCTCTGGCTTAGGGATGGCAATTCAACCCGAACCCGAGCTTAACCGACCCGACCGAGCACTAAAATATCCGAACCCGAACCGAGAATAAAATAATCCGAACCCGACCCGAATTTTTTTACCCGAACCCGACTTCGGGTCGGGTCGGGTGTGGGTTTATAATTTTACCCGACCCGACCCGAACCCGCACCCGACCCGACTCAAACCCGAATATTTAATAACATAAAAGCCTATCTATGGATATAATTAGCACTTCGTATAATCTCTTGACAAAGTGCTACTAAATCAAGTATGGTTTTTTTTAATCATTTTTTATAATTCTTAATAAAAAATGAGACACAAAAAAGAGACACAAAAAAATTAGATTTAATCCTTTTAAAATTATTGGGGTACGTCGAATTGATTATTGGTTAAAAGTCGAGTTCGGGTCGGGTTCGGGTTTTGGATTGAAATGCCGGGTTCGGGTCGGGTCGGGTTTTTGACTTAGAATGTCGGGTTTCGGGTCGGGTTCGGGTTTCGGTTTTAAAAGTCGGGTCGGGTTCGGGTATAGTACTATCCGACCCGAACCCGACCCGTTGCCATTCCTACTCTGGCTTGGGGGTCTTGAGGTCTGCCTTGTTCGGCCTCGTACGCCCTCATCCGGTTGAAGAGCTTTTTGAGAAAACCTACACTCCTCTGTGGAGTGTCATTCTGTCAGGTTGTACTTAAAATATTTGTTGGCACCGTATGGACACATGTTTTCCTCATCTCCCTAGTTCCTCTTTTGCCCTTTGGGCCCCTTCTCCTTGGTATCACCACCCGGTCTCGTTTACAAGTCCAACCCAGAATATGTCCACTCCTAATTTCTTAACCATCACGATTCCAAAAGGAATTGAGAATCACATATTTGGACTATTCCTTAATTACACACCTTAAGTTTGTATATGAATTGCAAACTTCAACCGAGTTTGGCATTGGGTAAAGACTTTCTTCACAACCATATAGAAGATCAGACAAATTTAAGCATTTTACAATTTTTTTTGATATCACAATTGTTGTTTTTACTATGATTTGAAAATTTAGGCTACCATCGTACATCAACACAATATTAGAGATTTGCATTTTTTACTTCACCTTTTTTAGACACGCCAAATTGAATCATCGGGGTTGACAATCAACTCAATCCAAGTATTGTAGTCTTCACATCAACACAAAATCTCTAAAATTGTGTTGGTGTTTGAAAGTAGCCTAAATATTCAAATCACACTGAAACAATAATGTTAATATATATTGAAAACGTAGTAAAATGATTAGATCTAACTTCTATAAGGTTGAGAAGAAAGTCTTCACCAAATATTAATGTCCGTTGAAGACTCAGGAGGGGCCATATCCTTGGAGCACCTATTTCTTATGTTTAAGACTTTAGACGGCATTGGGAAACAATCAGAGCACTTGGGGACCTACCCACAGCAAAGAAGGCACGTTTAGATGCATGCAAAAAGATAGATAAAGAAAGCTAGAAGGTCTAAACAATACCTCAAGAATTGGACAAGACCCTTATGAGGATCGACCCCAACCGATAGCTCGAGGAGGTGACACGTACTCTATCCGGAAAGGGACACTGAAAGAGTATTGTTGAAGATCGGTCTCGGGTTGGACGAGGTGACTTGCGGGAAAATAATTAGAGTATTAGAAAACCTATACTCTTTGTGTGGGACTCAAAGGACATTCCAGAAGTGGATCCCTCCATCATCTGCAACAAATTAAACATACAGCCAAAGACGAAGCCAGTTAAGTAGAAGAAGAGGTATATGTCTACTTAGAGAAAGGAGTTCATGGAAAAGGAGATGAAGATCCTTTTATATTAATTAGAGACCGATCACAAAGTAGGAATAAAATATTGAAAATATACTAAAATAGAAATTACATATTTTTATTTTCGAAATAAGAGTTAAAATGCATTTATATTACTAAATATGATAATGTACGTTACGTAAAATACACATATATAGTGTCACATTACCATAATGCAAACTCTTATATAAAATATAAATACATAAAATTTTTATTTTGATACTTTCTTTATATTTTAATTGATTTTTTTGTTGACCTCCGGGCCTAGGAATTAAGATAGGATTCAAATACTCGGGTACAAAACTCGGCATTCAAGTTGGGGGTTTTTTTAAATTTTTATTTTTACAGCAATAGTGATTCGTATTACTCCGTATTAAAAATTAAGTACTCCTTAAATACTAATCCATCCCATTAGGTAAAACCCTACGCTAATTTGCTGCTCCAAAACGCAAACGAGGGGGAAGACTAATTGCGGGAAGGAGGAGGCAGAATTAAAGACGAACGGGTAAATCTTTTATATATTTTCTCGAAATTTTCCACTTGTGTTTGTAGAATTACATGTAATCTTTATTATAGGGAGCATATCTACGATCGGTCATACATTTTTGGGACCCTGAACAGAAATTAGAGAGAAATAGTACTCGGATATGTAGAACTATAACATGTTTGTATATGCAGATATTGAGGGTTCGCAGGGTCCCTGCCTAACTCAGATAAATCCCCTGCTCTGATTCGAACACACTCTTCACTCCCTCCAATTGCACTCCAAGTTTATTTGATTTTAGATTTAAAATTTTGAGTCCAAAATCAAATAAACATGGGAGTGCAATTGAAGGGACTCTGAGGTGGGTTCGGGTGGGGCAGGGTGAGAGATTTACCATAGAGTAGTAGGAATCATCAATCTTACAAACAGGGCACAAACAGGGCATCGTAGTGGCTCTGAATCATCCGAAGTTTCAATGTTATTGAAACCGCCCCATCAAAATAATTAGGCTAAATTCCATCCTAATATAGAGCATGTAAATAAATGTCTATGTGACTAATGAGTTTTGGATTAATTAAACCCAATTGATAAAGAAATTATTTTTAGTCATTACACCAACCCCACTCCAAAAAAACAATTTAACGCTAATTACTCCGTGTTCACCCTAATTACAACCTGCATCGCCTTCTTCTTCCTCAGACTCACGGGAGTCACGGCCATTTTCTTTCTTCTACTTTTCTCCTTTCTTTCCCATTTTCAATTTTGCGTTTGCGAACAGTTCAAAAGAAAAATACTACTCCCCCCGTTCCACAAAACCCTTCATCTTTCGTTTTTTTTGCTTTCCACAAAACACTTTCACTTTCTATTAAAAAACCACTTTTACCCCTACCTTTTCATATCCTACCTATCACATCATACTTTTTCACTAATAACCAAACTATCACATCTTACTTTTTCTCATCACATCAAGGGCAAAATTGGAAAGTCAACCAAAATTACGCTTTCCTTATTTTTCCCTAAAGTCAAAACCGGAAAGGTTTTGTGGAACGGAGGGAGTATGTGTTTGTACTGTTAAAAAAGGTAAAAATTAGCAATTCGCGTTCTGTTTTGGCGCGCACGGTTGGAGGGGATTCTCCACTTCAAATGTGTTTTCCAAACAACTGGAACCACTGTGAGCTGCAATTGTGATAGGTAGATTAATTGTGAATAAATATGATGTGATAGATATATTTATAATTAGTTGGATAAAAGATATTTTGATTTAAAATAAGTGTTTTTGGAGACAGATAAAAAATGAGAGTTGAAAGTTTTTTTTTACAGAGGAAACTTTGTATCGTTTACAATTTTACTCCGTATTAATATTGGAGTATATTTTTATTGTTCATATCATAAATACAATAATCAATTATTTGCTTATTTTGTAGATGTTTAATGCCATTTTCTAAAATATATGAGTTTTTTTAATATAAATTTCGTGAACAAAAAACATCATTGAGATTAAATAAGAGTATTAGTCTTTTAAGATTTAAATATGAATAAACATTGTCATTGTAAAAGAAGAAGCCATCACATTGTCATCATAAAAATGAAGTTAGTTGCCTATGTCATAAGCCACATTGCTATATGCCAACGCCGTGAACCATTGTCATGGATCACTGAGGTGTCGTTCAGCGCCCACTGCCATCCGGTTGTCGGAGTGTTGCCGTCATCCGCCAGCCTCTCACTAGCGTTGACCACCATTGAATTGGAAGCGGTGAGCATTCCACCACCACATTATCATCACCCTACCACATTGACACCAAACTATCACGACACTTCTATCTGGAGAACTAAACTAATGTCATTTCTATTTTTGTTTTCTAGTGGTTATTTATTTGAAACAACACAATTACAAACAAGAATTGTGTTTTTGTGATCCTAAATTCCTATTATGAAATATGAAAATTCTCATTGTGTATATTTCATGAGCTCACATGTGGTTCCTTCCATTTTTGCAAAAGGTCCAATACTTTTATGATTTCAACGTAATAAAGTTCATAAAACGATTGTAGACCATAAAATCACAAAAGAATTTACATGATACTTTTACATAAATTTATTATCAATGCTTTCGAATTTGATGGTGGTGCAGGATAGAATGTGGAAAATTGCGGCGGCGTTTGAGTGTAATTTACTCTCCCCCTCTTAATTAATCTTCTCAGTTACTATTACGGTCTCTCAATAATTTATGGTTGTATGTTTTCATTGATGATTTGATAAAATAAAATATTCTTGTCATCCCTTGTTTTGTAGAACCTTTGATGTAGTTTTAAACCGTGTACGTTGTATTTTTTGTTTCTATACCAATTCATAAATAAAATCATTTTAAGAGAGATGAGATTTTGTACGTTCTTCTAAATGAGAATAATAAATTGAAACAGAGGCTTCTTTTGTCCCAAATTAATCTTTCCAGTTACTATTACGACCTCTCGATAACTTGTGTTTGTGTTCATGTTTTCATTGGCCACTTGATAAAATAAAATACGGAATATTCTTGTCACCTTTTGTTTTGTAAAACTTTTGATGTTGTTTTAAAAGGTGTAATTTGCATTATGTACTTTGTATTTCTATACTAATTTGTAAATACAATAATTTTAAAAGAGATGGGATTTTGCATGTTGTTTTAAATGAGAATAACAAATTGGCTTATGCATTTGGAGCCTCAACATTTGCAATTTTGCATAGACTCCATTCTCTTATGATTATTCATTTCCTTCTTGTGTGCTGCTCTAAATTTCACTCCTTTATTATTGTGTTATTACAGATGCATAATACTCTACCTCCTACTTCCAAAGATAATCCATCTTTGTAACAATAACCATTAACAGTTTATTTTCAATCTTTGTAAATTTTCATGGAATCATGTTCTCAGTAAGGTGTGACCCGAGCAATTGGAAAAACTTTCAGAAGCAGGCAATAAAGTGGAGTAAGTACTGTACAAGAAATATTGGAACTTCTGTTTCATCATCTTCATGTGGTCTTGAGAAGGATCCAAGCAAGCCATCTATTCAAGAACTTGCCGATGCACGAGTGATATACAGTGTAGCCCGTGCAATGGGTCATAACAAGGTAAGTGTTTTGGATTCATCAATACTTTTGTTTTGTTTTGATCTATTGGTCATCGGTCTTGGGTTCACCAATGTGTTTTTGTTGTACAATCTCAGGGTTGTGGGCTCGGTTTTGAGCTTACCATGGCTAAACTAAGTCACTTTTTCTTTGCTTACCTGATGTTGTAATTCCTTTAACTTATCTTTTTGCAATGTGGTATCACCATCCAATTTGCAATGTTCCTCCTTTCCAACAGGAATCACATCCAGAGTCCCATCTAAGAGTTCCTGCAATTGTGAGCGCCCTTAAAAAGATGAAGCTCACTTCAAAGGTATTTAGAATGGAATGTTATTATTATTTTGTGTTTACTTGGTTTTTTTATTAACTTTTTTTGAAACCGAAGCGTTCAGATTATAATCACCAAATAGATTGTGTACAAACCCCTAGCTCACAACAGCAAACTTAAACAACACACTACTACAAACTACTATTATTCAAGAGTCTAATATGATATTTGGTAGTAGATATTACCTCTTCTTCTTTAAGCTCTTTTCGGTGAGTTTTAGCATTTCTAGCCTTCCAAATATAGTAACACGCTGCCACCCAAGTAGCCATAGCTATCTCTCTTTTTCGTTCATTGTAAACCCTTCTTGTATAAGTACATTTGGAGAAGATGTGTTCCTGGTCTTCTTCCTCTTCCTCACACAAGGCACACTTAGTATTGGTATCAATGAACCTTTTCATCCTCTTCTTAGTATTGACTCTTTCTTTCATAATCAACCACTTGATCCAGTAGGGTATGTCTTTAGGTCTTAACATCCAGTTATAACCCCTTCTGAAATCTGAACTATATAAGGCTCCAATCTAGGCATCTCGTAGAAATCCTCTCTCGTTTTAATCATTGTTTTCCAATAATGACAGCAATTAGGATGCGGTATGTAATCCCAAAGTGACTTATTCTTCATATGCCTAGCATGAATCCGTTGCACCCTCAGGATATCCTTCTTCTGAGCAATGTCCCGATTCAGTTTCATGATTATTGCTTTGTTCCAGAGTATCATGTTCCTCAATCCAATACCTTCATACTTTTTAGGTAGGCATACATCATCCCAACAAATGGGTGGGGTTCTTTTAAACTCTGCCGTGGCACTCCATAGGAAGTTCCTATATATGGCCTTCCCCTTCTTCATCACTTGTTTAGGTAGTAATTTTACTTGTGATTTTATCAATCAGCTTATCACAATCTTTGCTAAAGATTCTTGTAGTTACTGGACTGCCCAAGTAAGTGAAAGAGAGCTAACCTAGTTTGTTTCAGTAACTTGGTTGTATGTATATGATTGTGTTGCCAATTTATTTTGTGGTTATGAGTTATACTAACTTGGTCTTTGTTATTTGCAATTTCTGTACTTTAATGTCTAATACAAACTCTTACATTATCGTGCATTTTGAGATCACGTGTTCAGAAGTGTGTTAGATTTTAGGTTTCGGGATACTCCCTCCGTTCCACAATAAGTGTCTATTTAGGTTTATTAAATACATTTGATTTTGAATGATATGGTATGGAATAAGTTGGACCTTGGGAATTGGTAGCAAAGAGGATTGATGGGTCGACCTTCTCTAGCATGGTCCATCCTGTTGAAGATTTTGATCGGATGTGTTTGTTGTCAAAAGGGTTCTTTTGTTTCTTTATCTTATCAGTTATGATTGTCCGATTGCCCGAGCCATTTGAGGTCCCTTTGGGGTTAAGCATACTGTATTGAGAAGTAAAACCATATTTTCTTTTCAGTTCTTATGTCTTGTAACACCCATAAACTTTCTTTTGTGTTGTATTTGCTCCTTTAACGTATTCTCATGCCTCTTTCTGCAATAAATTCATCCATGCCAGCTTTAAACGGACTCAAACTTCGGCCTTAATTACAAGTTCTTAATAGTTTTTTTTCTTCTATATTTCAGTTCCGTGGTACAGATATAGTTGAACTCACAAATTTCAAGCCCGCTTCGGTGGATGACATTGCAAAGGTTCATTGCAAAGATTATATTGCTGGTCTCGAGCAGGTGTGGTTTTATTGCTGTGTAATTTTATCTTCTCCTCTCCTGCATTGCTTTGTATTTAGTTACTCGCGTCATTTGGAAGTTGGTAAGAATTTGAAGAAATAGGTGAACAAACAAAAGCTCATAGTGCAACCCTTAACAATACTTGGCTCTGCTTGCCTCGCCCGTTCATAGCTCTAAACGAAAGCTAAATAAGTTGATTAGAGACAAGAGGTAAACGATTTATGGTTATCGGGTAATGTTAATAGCTTCAACTATAATTTAATCGAGAATGAAAGGCTGTAAATCCAACAAGAACTATATAAACTGTTTCATGGAGGAAAAAAATGGACTGAGACTGTTTCTTTGATTATAACTCTTGAAGAACAGAAAATGATTTTCTGAGAAACTCTGCCCTTAACAAACACACAAGGCTTTGGAGGCAAAGTGTTGAAAGAATTTATAACTTTGCAGTTATTTCTGATTTACAGACTATGGATGAGTTGGCCAAAAATAGAAAGGCTAAGAGTAAGGGTGCTGAAACGGGCTTCACACACATCGATAAATCAGGGCCAACATATGCTACTGCCAGTGTAAGTGTCAAGATGAATAAAATGTTACGGAGTATATCTTTTTCACTTAACATATACGGAGTACAATGTTTTATTATAATGTCTCCAGTTAAGAATAATCTAACCTTTTTTCTCCATTTGCAGACATTCAAGGATTCGCTTTGGGCAGCTGGAGCAGCACTAGCCGTGGTTGATGCAGTGGTGATGTCTCAATATGCCATTTTAGTCACTAAAAAAAAGAGACAGAAATATTAAAATTTCTCAGAGATATGGAGTTTAAATTTTCTAATGAGTGATTTCAAAAATGATTTGAATCTGAACTATATTTCGGTATATACATAGAAATTAGATGATAGGGAAAGAGCAGTAATATAAAATCAATCATTATATTTTATCATATTTCAGGTTGCAGCATCAGAAAAGAGCTTGAATCCTCCAACTGGATTTGCTCTGATAAGACCTCCGGGGCATCATGCTTTACCAACAAGTGCTATGGGGTTTTGTGTGTTTGGCAATGTGGCCATTGCGGCGCGCCATGCGCAGCTTGCGCATGGACTAAAGCGAGTATTTATCATTGACTTTGATGTTCACCATGGGAATGGGACAAGTGATGTTTTCTATGAAGATCCAGATGTGTTCTACTTGTCCACTCACCAAGTAACATATACATTCCCCTCAAACCTACACATTTTGTAATGGTTCTTCATATGAACCATTGTTCTTTGTTTAGCCATTCCACTGGTGGAAACTACATAACAATTTCCTTTTTCACTAGGAATTGATTTTTCCAGGCACGGGTATAATTCCCGAGGTAGGTTATGGAGACGGTGAGGGTGCAACGCTGAATTTGCCTTTGCCCAAAGGCTCAGGAGATTATGCCATGAGGAGTGTGTTTGATGAAGTCATTGTGCCCTGTGCTCAGAGGTTCAAACCAGATATAATTCTTGTCTCCGCCGGGTAAATTATCTATTGCCCCATTGCTTTGTATTGTTCAAGGTAAAATCATCATTTAGCTCAATACAACAAGAACAAGAACCAAGAACAAGAATCTGTCATCTATTCCACATTCTGATGCATTTTCCTCCAAGGCACCAAACATCAGTTAAGCTATAAAAAAACATGGCCAAAAATCCAAAATGCAACACATTTTTCATCTTCTTTTCCAGGTATGACGGTCACGTTCTTGACCCGCTAGGGGATTTGCAGTTCACGACGGGAACGTATTACAAGCTGGCCTCAAATATCAAACAGCTCGCCAAAGATCTGTGCGGGGGCCGCTGCGTTTTTTTCCTGGAGGGAGGATATAACATTGATTCTCTGGCAAATTCTGTGGCGGAATCTTTCAGAGCCTTGCTTGGAGAGAAGAGCTCGGCGAGCGAGTTTGATAACCCTGCCATCCTGGCTGCAGAGCCATCCGCCAAGGTGATCAAGAAAGCGATTCGGAGCGTTAAATCCATACACTCCCTCTGAATCATCATCATCTAACATATGAAGTCTATGGGGAATACCATTCTTGAAATACATTTAAATTTTTTTACTAATCCCAAGAAAATTAACAAAAATTATTAACTTTTTTAGACTTTTAAAATGACACAAGTCTTACTTGCCTAGTTCTATGTCACACAAAAGACTTCTAGATTGGCTAATTTTGACTTTTGATGAATCCTTAATACTCATCTATGGTGCATATATGTTCTTCCTTTTACGATATAAAGAAAGTATGAAAAACCACGGTAAACTAAAAAGATGCATTTTTTATCCGTTTTACCGCTCTTGTGTCTCCTATCAACTTGCAAGTTGCAACAACATAATTAACTCTGATTAACTACTTTAAGAAAACTGAGTAAGGTAATTAATTAAGGTCTTTCTCTAGTGCGCTTGATATATGGTGTGCCCCCCAAAGCCATTGGTGTGTAATCTTTGAAATTCTTATTAGATTAAGGCAAAAAGGTGTTTGTGCTTATTATTGGTTTTTTGGTGATAAAAATTTTTTAATACTCGTATTAATTAGGTTTGGTTCATGATGATTTGGTATTGCTTTCGGTATAAATTGAGATAAATACATGCAAACCTAGTTTATACTTTAAAATATAGCAAAATCATTTACTCTGTATTTTTGAAAATTTGAAATATAAATAATTAAATGCAAGATTTAACTTACTTTATACAATGCATTTCAATAGCAGAATATTATTTCAATTCTTGTTGATATTTTTAAATTCATTTACAAAAAAAGTAAAACTCGAATAAAAGTATGATTTACACATAATAAAACTTGAAAGAATAAATCGTATTGTAGCCAACAAATAAATGAAGTGATCATGCATTCAAGCAGGCTATATACATTTCTTGAGGTCATCAAGCTAACTACTCCATCCGTCCCATAAAACATGTGAGTTTTGCTTTTTAGGAAGGATTTAAAGAGAGTGTATTTTGGTATTGAATTTTCAAAAATGTCCTTTGATGTGATGGGTAAAAGTATGATTTGATAAATAGATTATTAGTAAAAAGGTATGATGTGATAGAGTATGAAAAAGTAAGGGGTAAAAGTGACTTTTTAATAAAAATGAGAAGTGTTTTGTGGGACGGATAAAAAAAAGGAGAAAGGTTTTATGGGACAGAAGGAGTAATTAATTAAGCTTATTGGCTCCTTGTTTTTTTTAATATTTTAATATTTTAAATTGTCTTACTTGGCTGGTTAATTATGAAATGGGCAAATACTCCCATTTCTAGACGTTACATTTGCTAATACGGAGTAGTATACACGTCAACTTAAACATACATCTGACTGTATCCTTAACAAAGATTTTGCAACTTTTTTTTGCTTGTTCAATAATTTATGTTTATAAATATTGTTCCTACGATATGAACTTAATATTATTAAATATATTTTGATATGATGTTACTCTCTCCGTACCTGAGTATTGATTCACTTTAATTTTAACTTTTTTTTTCGGTCAAAATTGGTGAACTTTAACCTCAAGTAGTTATCTAAAAATGGTATTAGATATTTATACAAAAATACTCTGTATTACTACATTTTTATAATACTCCGTCTAATTCTACTTTGAACCATACCGATATTGTTACAGAAATACTCCGTATCGTTCAACGGTATATTAATTCGGTATGGTTCAAAGCAGGGCCGGCCTCGAAAAATGAAAAAATAAAATTAGCTCGGTCCAAAATTTTCGATTTGAAGACGATATATACTACAATATCGCCTCGAAGTGATTCTTAACTACATCTTCTAATCTATAAACCCCCACCTACTCATGTCCCGATCTTATTTTGTCGATCGATATTCAACAATGAATGAGGGAAGTACCGTAAGGTCTTACTATAACATATCGGCAAATGAAAATAGCGACGAGTTAGTTGGATATATGATCATTGGAAGTACCATACGAATCATTTCAGAATTAAACTAAACATCGTGAGATCGACTTTCAAATGGATGAAATTTTAATTGAGAGTTAGATGTGAAAAGAAATTTTGGGCGATCTTATTTTATTAGGTTGCTAATCCAGCAGTACCAACGAGCTTAGAGATCCCAAAAGTGATTCCCATGGCGGCTAACCCTCCAATCAAAACCCTTAAAGAAGACTTCACATAGGGTGCCCTCCCAAGATAAGCCCCCAACAAACCAAACCCTACCAGCGCAAGGCTCGAGGCCCCCACCACCACCCCAAGCCTCACGGTGTACTTCTTTATGAACGCCGCCGCCAGCAGCGGCACCACCGCTCCCACCACGAAAGCCGAGGCGGACGCCGCCGCCGCCTTTGCCGGACTCGGCAAGCCCTTCTTCTTCTTTTCCTCCTCATCGCCGCCGGCGCCCGTGCCGTTCTTGAGACCGTCTCGCCTCATCTGGGCCACCTCTATGTCGTACTGGGAGTAGACCGACACGAACTCTCCGATGGCCATGCTGGAGGCTCCGGCGACCATTCCGGCTATTCCAGTGAGGACCATGATTTTGACATCGGAACGGAACGCCCCGACGCCCATCATGAGAGATGACGTCGACAGGAGGCCGTCGTTGGCTCCAAGCACGGCGGCTCGGAGCCACTGAGCCCTCTTGGAGTAGTCGACCCCCACCTCATCGCCGCCATCGGGCCGCCGCTCTTGCGGCGGGGATCGCTGTTTCTCGACGTCGTCAACAACTCGTTCTATTTCTATGTGGTTTTCTTTGTTAGTAGTAATATCCATTTTTTAAGTTTCTTTGAAAATGGTAAGAAAAATGAAGGGATATTTTTTTTGAGGGTTGGGAAAGGGAAAGAGAATAGATGCGGAGGACTGTGGAAGGCACACGCCCCGGGCAACGGGTCATTTATAGAAACCTCAATATTGAACATTATTTCATCGAGATGTTTTCTCACTTCCCATTTTGGTTTGTTAGAAAGTTTGTTCGAAATGACAATAATAATCTTCCACTTTAACGTACATTTAATTTTTTTATTTCTTTTTTAATAAGAAAAAAGAGATTTAAAAATTCAAAATAGGTCCTACTTTGAAGTTTTAAATCTCTTTTAGTAAGGGTATTCTTGAAAGATTGATACTTTTTTTCTATCCTTAAATAAACGTGTCAACAAAGCACGAGAAGATCATAATATCTCCCGAAGGAGTACGTGTTCATAATTAATTAATCAAATTTTCTCTCATGTCTCTTTATTTGAGAGGGCAAGAATGCCCTTTCATTAATTACTCCCTCCGTCCCCTTAAGATGTTCTCATTTTGACTTTTGGTGGTTTTTAAGGAGAGTTGAAAAAAGGTGAAAGTTTACCATAATACCCTTAATGAAAAATAGGTAGAGTGTATTAAATGAGGTGGGTGAGGTGTAATAAATAAAGTAAGTGGGGGTAGTTGTGGTATTTTACTTGTTAAAAAATGAAATGAGAAGATCTATTGTGGACAAAGAAAAAAGGCTATTGGGAAGATCTATGAGGGACAGAGGGAGTATTTGATATGTGACTCCGTAATATTTATGCATAATAGTTTTGACTAATAATTATACAATTGTGTTTTTATGATCATAATGTCTATATATAAAATGTGGATTGTTTTGCATTTTTCATGGGCCAATATATTTTTTTTCAAAAGAAATAAGGTTAGGATGGCATAAGAATTTGCTCTCAAAGTAAAAGTTAAAAGAAATGTGTAAAAATGAGGCGATGTTTATTCCTTTTAAATGCGGAGTAGGTAAATAACTTTAGCAATGCTCCCTCCGTCCTAGCCTCCAATGGCTCTGATTAAAAAAAAAAAGTCTTTTCTTGGAGGTTTTCTAACACAAACTTTATGCATAGCATAAGACGTTTCCTATACCATGTAGGATTCCGTCAAAAAAAAATTTTATTTTAAAAAATACTTCGTATTTAAGAAGATATATTATCCCTTCGTCTCTGAAATCTCTTTCTGTTTTAATTTTTTTTATGCAAACAGTATTACTTTTTGACCATAAACTAAGTACGAGTATAATCTAAAAAAATAAATGTTATAAAAATTTGTTATATCAAAACTATACTTTGAGATGAATTCAATTATATTAAATTTATACTATGTTTCTGTATATTTTTTCTCACAATTTATATTCAAAGTGTGTGTCAATGTTTAATGAAAAAACTCAAAATAGGAAGAGTTTTCAAATAGGAATGGATCGGAGTATTGCATTGTAATAGAATATATCATTAGTATTCAAAAAGGATTCCAACTTGTAATATAATTAATGGTTTAGAGTCTCTGTGCATTACTTACGAAACATTTTTTGACAATTAATGTGGAAAATAAGAAAATATGGAGCAGTAATTATCTCCAGTTTACATTTATTATGGCAATGTAGATTTCTTATAAAGCATAGATACTAATGGAAACAAATAAAAATCATTATCTACATTGATTAAGGAATTTTAAAGTATACTATACGAAGTGAAATACAATTGATGAAGGTGAACTATTATTACTCCAATGTATCTAAACAATATCAATGCAGTAATTAAAAACAGCTTGTTCAATCAATCCATGCATGAGGCCGGATTTGAAACTCAATTATTCTTCTTGCTTGTTGTTCATATCATCGGGGTTCATTTAATTTAGAGGGAGAACCGGGGGTTGGATACGATGGTAGTGTTGAAAACATTAGCCGGGGACCCGAGTAATGTTTGAAATCTTTTGAAAACATAGTAGTAGGAGCAGTTGACGGACCGACGACCGAACCACTTATAACTCTTCAAGTCATGACCGACCACAGAGGAACAAATTAAAACTTGTACCTCATCATACCCTACCCTTCTCTCTTTGGAAGAAAATCAAGGGACCTGTTAGGTTGATCGAGAACCAGAGCCTTCAATTCGTCGTCTTTCCAAACTCATTATTTTGAAAGGGTCGTGGCGGGTTCAGGATGACATATTAATTATAAGGTTGCTGTTGATTATTAATTATTAGGACGACGACGGTACGTGGAAGGCCATGAGTCTCTTGAGGAAGGAAGTTTGGGACAGTAAAAGGGACCAAGCCTTGCACACCGCCGGGAATCTTTGTAGGGGAGCCGGTGAAGAATCTCCCCCACCAAATCGTCGCCGAGCTTTTCTATCTCTGCACCCATGATGATGATGATGAAAACACGGGAGAAAATAGAAGAAGAAAAAAAACAGATTTTGTTGTGCTGGGAGCCATGTGGTATTGACGGTTATATGCAAAAAAAAAACATGCAATCCTATTCCAAGACGGATTGGAGTGCCATCAATGGAATTCCTATTTTGCTACATTCTAAATTTGACCAAGAAAAATCACAAAAATAAATTCTACATGTTTTTATAAAAATTTGATATTTAAAAAGTACTATCTGAATAGAGAGATATTAGTATTAAATTTATATTATAATACTCCCTCCGTCCCAAAAAGAATGGGACGATTTGACTTTTTGGGAAATTAAGGGATGGATATTTTGGTATTGACTTTTCAAAAATATCCTTGATGTGATGGATAAAAGTAGGATGTGATGAGTAGATTATTAGGAAAAAAGTATGATGTGATAGATAGGGTATGAAAAAGTAAGGGGTAAAAATGGTTTTTTAATAGAAATGTAACGGACTTTACGGGACGCAGTTTTTTCTAAACGTAACAAACTTTTTGGGACGAAGGGAGTACAACATTTTTTTGATAAATCAGAGTTAAAGTTTATATATTTTGACCAAGAAAAATCAAATAGGAAAAACATTTCTTGACGCAAGGATTAAATGAAATTCAAAAATATACCCCCTAATACTCACTTCACAAAATTTACTTTCTTCCTAAATAATTCTCTCTTTTTATTTCTTTTCATAATAAAATAAAGAATATATATATGATCCACAAACTTTTTTTCAAGATAAAAAAAATATGTGATCAGTGGCGGACCTTGGGGGGGGGGGGTCCGGTGAAATTTTTTAAAAAACAGTATTAGGTATAGACAATAATTTTTTATATAATTAATAATAATATTTTTACTCCATAATTGTGTTATTTTGAATCATTTGAATGTTCGAGGAAAATTTATTACTCTGTAGTTTTTTGTTGTTTCTTATTGTGCTTAAAAACATAGTTATCTACCACTGCAATGTGTATTAACTTCAATATTTTCTACTAATATCATTTTTTATCATTTTTATAATTAATAATAATGTCATATAATAATGTTATTTTAATTATTTAAACATTAAAGATAAAATTTATTAGTTTGATATTTTTTATTATTTCTTATTGTGTTTGTAAAAAGAAATCTCGAGACGCCACCTCCTAACTCTCGTCAGATGCCCACACAATCTACCTGAGAAATTCTGGCATCTTTTACTCTTGACACCGCTCATTTGAGAGTCTGGGTCCGCCACTGTATGTGATCCACAAAATACAGAATACGTGATCGACAAATTGTTCTCAAGATAAAAAAAATAAAAAGTGAATCTAGAATTACCTCAAAATGAGATACTTATTCAAAAACAAATGTTTATTCAAATAATAAAAATTTTAATTTTGCATATATGTAGGTCCATGCCAAACCTTATATTCACCATAGAATTTGCCATAATCAAGAGAGAGTTTCTAACATGCAGTTATACTGAAAAATGAAAAAGAAAATTGACATAAAGTTACAGGAGGACCAATCATGCAACCCTAGAGTAATTAACCGATTTATGTATAAAAAATATCAGGAGAAATTTTTCCTACAGGAGGACCAATCATGCAACCCTCATTTGTGTTTTAGTTTCAATTAGTTTTTTAAAGTTTTTTAAGACCATTTTTAATTTCATATTATTAGTTTCAATTACTTTTTTAGTTTTATTTATTTTAGCAATATGATTAACACAACTGATTATGTCGTTGCAAAAGTTGAATAGCCTATTGCGAACAGTCTATAATGTTTTGAATTGATAAATCTTTTATTTTCAATATGCATTCCCCCTCCCACCTAACCACCCATACACACTCCTACCTAACCTTCCAATCACCCTCCCACCTAACCACTCATTCCCACTCCCACCTAACCTTCCAATCCCACTCCCACCTAACTACACATTCCTACTTCCACTCTACATCTAATAAATATCACCCAATATCTTCATTTCAAACACACCATCACCATTATTTTACACACCAAAAAAAGTCAGAAGCAAATAGTATATTTCTTGTAGCTCATAGGAATGGTGAGATATAAGTTGTACATAGTGAAGTTCAATACTCTGAGCTTTCGAAGAAATCTTTGTTGTTAAATTCTGATATCTCTTAAGACACATTTCTTGGTCAAATAAGTAGTGATGTAATTCAAGATGGATTCCAAAGCATGGAATCTGTCTACGATAAATTCCCCAGACATCAATAAGGGGTTTATGTTGGTTCACGACCTTTCCCAATCAATGACGAACCAACATAGCGGCATTTTATACGAAAAGCATCACGTGAATACGATGCAGTTGAAGTATTTATCGGAGTGTCTAAAAATGTTGAGGGGGAAGATGATGGTAATCCATTCTTCCATCAACCAATGAATCAACCCTTTTCATTCCATTTTGCTCAAAATGTTGAAAGCGATCATCATCATTATCATCATTATCATCAACATCCAATCCAAGAAATCATCAATCGAATTCCAGAAAGGGGGAGTCCAAGAACTGGCCGCCAGAAACAATGGAAGAAGAAGAAGAAATGGTGCTCATCGTCCACCATTCCTTCGACCTGAGAGGAGATTCTGAGGTGATACGGAGCCGGCCTAAACGGTACGGAGTATTTCTAAGGGAAAAGAGTCGCCTAGTAGAAAGCGATGGTTGTTGAGGACATTGGGGACCGCCATTTCGATCTCCATTATGCAGAGGCCGCCGGGGCGAAATCCAAGAAGCTGAAGGGAAGCACCCTCGACCTCTCCGCTCTCTATTCTTTGATTGCAAGCTCCACCACAAAGATTCATCCGCTGCCGCCGCACCAAATTGGACCTCCGCCGCGGAACCCAATTCAACCTCCGGCGTTGCATCCAATTGAACCTCCAGCGGAGGTTAAATTTGGCGCGGCGGCGCTCCAGCGGAGGTTAAATTTGGCGCGGCGGCGGAGGTCCAATTTGGTGCGGCGGCAGCGGATGAATCTTTGTGGTGGAGCTTGCAATCAAAGAATAGAGAGTGGAGAGTTCGGGGTTGCTTCCCTTCAGCTTCTTGGATTTTGCCCCGGCGGCCTCCGCGTAATGGAGATTGAAATGGCGGTTCCCAATGTCCTCCGCAACCATCTCTTTCCACTCGGCGATTCTCTTTCCTTGGAAATTCCATGGAATTGAATTCACCAATTCTCATTCATTTTTTGCACTATCAATTCCAAATCCACATAATTTTGGTGCTACCAAACACCAGAATTAGAATTAAGGTTTTCAATTCCAATTCTATAGTTTGAATTCTGTGTACCAAACGGAGCCTCATACACTTTAGACTTAATTACTCTTTTTTAATATATGTAATTTTAATATTTTATAGATGTAACAATTTGGATATAAAATGACTTCAAAAGACACAATATTTTACCTCGTAAATTCCAAGTTGTAATCAAAATTGGAACGGATAGAATATTATTCGTTATGTCTCAATTTAAATTGTCTGTTTATTATTTATATAATTAATGTTTTATTATTTTATCACATCATACTTTTTTTTACTAATGATCTTTATATCACATAAAGAATATTTTTAGAAAATTAACACAACATTTTAAATTTTAAAAAAGTGTAAACGGAAATATCTAGAAATCAGAGGAAGTACAAATGTGTTGATACACAAATTTGTAGATGTTTATTTAAATATGTTGACACACAAATAGTAAATTTGTAGACGATTACTTAATTACCTTGATAAATTTTTTATATAAATATTTTTTTACCAAAGTAGGTGCGTCCAAAAAAAACTACTCCAGAGTATAAATCTATTACTCCATTCGTCTCGGATTAATTGTCTCACTTTTCTTTTTAATTTGTCTCAAAATGATTGTTCTACTTTTTTATTTGGGTAATTTAACAAATAGAACTAAAACATAATAACTTTCTCAATATAGAATCAAATGTTTTTATTTTCCAATGTAGGATCATTGGTCATTATCTATTAGTCGTTATTCAACTAAATGTCCAGCATCACTTAGACATTATTCTTCTCACTAGTCATTATTAAGTCCTATTTAGGTAATAAAAAGGTTTAAGTTTTACATTGGGAAATGACTTATGTTTTAGTACTATTCAGTGCAAATTTTACTTTTTATTTATCGAAAAAAGTAAAGAGTATATGGTGCTACAATCTTTTTCTTTAAAAAAAAAATTCAACCAAATCATTTACAAATTCCTTACAAAGTTGTAATAAAGAAAAATTACAAATTCCTTACACAAAAATCATTTAACCCGTGCATTGCACGGGTCAAAATGCTAGTTTTTTATAAATTGATGAAACTAATTTCATTAACCAAACTTTTTGCCGGAGTCTCTCTTGGTCAATTTATTACCTTGTACATCGTGACTAAATGGACTAATATTAATAATATTATATGTAGTCTCCGACTAAAGGCTGTCAAAACAGTATCAAAATTGAAGAATGAATTATTTCCGATGAATTATTATGGGAGATTACATATGTATATATATACAAAGGTTTCATAATGACAATATTTTTATGTTGATTTCTAAAAATACTCTTGATTTGATAGAAAAAAATTACAAAGAGAATCCTTTTCGTCTTGGGACTTTGAGGCTTTTGGTCAACAATCTTTTTTGTCTTAGAGACTGTGTTCTATTTGATTGTATCCTGAACTCTTTAAATTAATGGAATGATTTTTGACTTCAAAATAAAAACTACGGAGTATTTGTAAAGTTGACCGTTTTATGTGAAAAATTAGGAATTTTTGAATAAATCTCATAAAATGGTAACCCGTAATATATAGTTTGTTTAATTTAGACATACGTTTGAGGCGTAGTGAACAAAATAGATGGTACAGTTCAATAAATAAACATAAAGAATTTAAATTAATAATAATAATATAAATAATAATAATAAATGGATAAATAAGCAAAATACGCCCAAATCCTAGACCAAAAGGGATTTCAAACATATAAACACACGGAGTCAGTGTTGCCCTTGGATCGACGGGTAGTCTCTTCTTCTTCGCAAGGTTGTCGGCCGGGCCAGGGGAGGAATCGTAGGAGGGTCTTGCCAGAGATTTCTACGCCAATCAATTTTGGATTTCTTCGTCCAATTGAGGTGAGTGATTTATCTCTCGTTAGAATTGACTCGTGGATTAGGATCTGTTAGTATACTTTTTGCAATTGATGTTTCAATATTTTTGAATTACAGACTAGTTTAAATTGTGAGTTTGGGCCAGGGTATCACATAATTGCTTAAATTCCTTTCAATCAAATACACAAGAAAAAAGGGGTTATAATCTAAATTAATAAATCTCACAAATCGCATATCAAATTTAGAATTTATTCATTTTTCGTGTGTACCGTATTTATACATACACACCCACAATCGCATATCAAATTTTGATTTATTTAATATATTTATTTTCCAGTATGATTGCAAGCATAGAGAACCTCAACGAAGATTTGGTGGCGGAGATTCTTCACCGGCTCACCTACAAAGAGTCACGGCGATGCCTGTGTGTATGCAAGACATGGTCACTCATAGTGTCGCAGCCATCCTTCCTCAAGAAACTCATGACCTTCCACGGTCCTAAAAACCAAGTTCAACAACAACCTTATGCCATCGTGAACATCATCGGATGTCAAGACTTCAACACCAAAAATGAGTTAAAAGGATGTACATGTTATAGTCATGATGAAGATAATAACCCCCCTGTGGTGGTCTTCGACAGGTCTCTTGACTTCCTGCCGAAGAGGGAAGGAGAAGAGATAGAGGTCTTGAGGGTGTCGGGAGATTTGTTCCTCTGCCGCCACTCGAAGAAGAGTGGTAGCCGCCCTATGCGGGCCCACCATTTGGGCGGCAGCATCAGCGGCGGCGATGAAGAAGATTATTACTATGTTTGTAACCCAATAACCAGGCAGTGGGTTTCTCTTCCTCCTCGAGCTCGCGGTCATGGATCAAACATTCAATTTTATTCAGGCCAGTTTTACGAAGAAGATCCAACCACGAGTAGTAGTATTTACCGTCCAGAATATGAGTATGTTGTTTTGGCTATGGTTGATGAGGCGCCAACACATCACTCGTTATCGTCCATCAATGTTGAATTCTTTTCTTCTAAGGCCGGGATATGGAGGACTTTGTCTTTATCAGCCCCGCAAGGCTTCGTTTTTTCCCATGAATTTTGGTTACAGGAGAGCTGTCTACACGAGGGTGTTTTGTGGTATTGCAATGGAATACAGCTTCTCAGGTACAATATTAATAAAGATTTGCGACGACAGGAGCCTATGTTGTTCAATCTACCTCATGACTATATTGTTCCTGATGTATTGGCAATCTATATCGGAGTATGTTGTGGTCGCTTTCATCTAGTAGGGCACTTTGAGGAGGAGGATGATGATGAAGAGAATGTTACAATACCGTCCTATTTGATGGTTTGGGAACTCGATGAGGAAGAAGAAGAAGAAGAAGGAAGAGGGGGAAAATGGAGGTTGATGCACAAAATCTGTGCAACTGACATTGGAATTCTATACCTAAGTCTTCATCCGGGCCATCCTGACATCATCTTCTTCGAGCTATGCCATCGCCTGGTCGAGTGTAACCCTCGCACAAAAGATTTCAAATACAAGAAAAAAGCAGCAACGAGATACACAATTTCTAACCGATCTAAGAGCCAAATATTTTTTATACCGCCGTTGTATCCAACCCCAGTTCTACCTTTGAAAAATATGCAAGAGGAGAACCGCTTTTTTGATCCTCCTGTACTACCTGTGGTCACTAGCATTTGGGAGCAAGTTGATTTTCTTGGAGAATTTCGAAAAAAATTGCAAGTTGTGTAGATATGTCCCTACTTGTAATCTGTGTTCTATTATGTTCATTTATGCGTCAACTTTCAGTAAAAAACATTTGTAGCTTTTACAATTTCTCTCCATAAGTTTTATCATCTTCAACCAAACAATTTCACTCTGCTTAATCTCGACCATTTATTAGATCGGAGGAGAGTGTATCTTGTTGTTACATCTTTTCAATAATATGGGTTTTGGAATACAAGCCTCACTCTCTCTGTGTGTCCAGTATTGCCTATAACAACACTTCAATGAAAAAAGCTATTGAAAAGAAGATATAAGAGGGCCAATTATGATGTCTCAGTAACTTCTATTTAAACATTTTCCGTGATAATTTGATAAAATAAAATGTTTTTATTACCTTTTTTTAATTGAACTTTTTTTAAAGACGATACTTTGGGATTCTTGACTACTCGATCACGCTCCTCTCTTTTAAATTAACTTTGTATTTGACTTTTCACAATATTTAATGCAATACTTTGACTAATAATATATTTATTTGTATATAAATGTATACTATTAAAATAAATTATTTCACAAATATGTTTCAAAATGAAAATATTGATATTAAATTTAAAATGAAATTCAACGTATTTTTTCCCATAATATGGGTCTTTCACTCTTTCTCTTGTCTTCCTTCAACATTGGATGGGCGTTACCATTTCAAGCATATAGAATTAAAATTTTGCTCTTGTTAGCACATTTGTTTTGGTATTTTTTACAAGGGGAATTGCACAGATTTTGTTTTGAATATTAATACAAGAATATTTTTATTAGATTTATCTTGTAATATATTTTTAAAGTATTGTTTTATCTAAATAATTTGTCATATAATCTTTTATTTAGTTATAAGTCAAAAATCGATCCTAATAATTATAAAAAGTGAAAATTGAAAAACTGCTCTAAAATAGAGAAACTATTATAGAGTACATAAACGTAAGTTACTCCGTATTAGTTTTACATATTCCCTTCGCCGCAAAATTTTTATCTCACTTTGAATAAAGTGCAAATTTAATCTTTTTTAAAATTACTTTATTTATAAATTAGTATACAAATTAAAATTATAAATTTAATATTTCAAAACCATATAAAAAGTTCTTCTCCTATCTTAATTTATATTGCCACGTTTTGTATTATGATCTTTAACTGAAATTATTTTCAAATCACTTTATATAAAAATTGGTGTGGAATTTAAAAATAAAATTTATATATTCAAAAAGTATGTTCAAAGCTCTTTAAAACAAGAAGTGACATTATTATATTATTTTATCAAATGAGCACTAGAAAGTAAAATGTATCCCAAATAGTACTAAATCATGTAGTATGTGTGTTTCCAATTAGTACCTAGAACTTTTTATATTCTAAATAATAATTGAACAATATGTAGTGACAGTGAACATTTACTTGAACAACATCCAGTGGGCATTGAATACTCGTACGACATTGAGAAATTAAAATATACGATAATACATTAGGAAAACTCACTATGTTTTAGTACTATATAGGTAAATTCCTCTACCAAAAATGGGTAATGAAAGTAGTATACTTTTGATAATGTGAATAGTAAATATGCATCCTAAATTAAGACGAAAGAAGTACTACTTATAAAATAAGATGTGGCCAGAATTTTTTATTATCAATAAAAATACATAAATAAATAAAAATTATCGGGAGGCTTGAATGGCTACTAAAATAAGATTCATTGGAATGGGGGAAGAAACCGTAAACTTTGTGGCAAGACATGATACTCAAGCATAAGACATTTTGTACAACAAATGGCATTATATTTGACAAAGAAACTAATGTGGCGAGCGTACATATAGCGCAAGCACAAGTAAAGTAATCCGCTTTTTAACTTTGTAATTAGTATTAGCTTTGTGTGTCCTGTGCTGTAATCATTTATATCTCTCAAAGAACAAACTAAGGTATAACCAACAAATGTAATTAATACCAAACAAAATACTATTAACGGAACAACTCCAAAGAATTCAAATGAGAGATAAGCAAAGGAACAACTGCAGACAATACAGAGGAGTTGCAAGAGTAAATTTTTCCATGTTTCTTTTTTTTTTCAAGCCCTGCAAGGGCGAGCATAAAGCAGAGAGACGTAGGTCGGTAGGCACCTGCAATGCCAAGCAAGCATGGAGAAGAAGAATAAAAGAAGAAATCAATCATTTGTTCAAATCAACATTGCATACAACGGTTACTTTGATTGCATTTTGATATCACCTGCAAGATTGCATACAACGCACAATGGAGTCTTACCACGAAAGAACTTGGGAGGTGAGGAATGGAAGTTACGCCACCGCCGCCTGCAGCAGTTATGTATGTCTACATATGCCCAAAAAAACAAAAACAATAAATGAAAAGAAAAGCATAACTGCGGCATATCACAGAATTTTCTCAACAAATTAAAACATTTATATGTAATGTATTGAATCCTATTTTTTCAATCAAACAGAAGAACATGGCCTTAAATAGTAATTTGTTAATGTGTCACATAATATACCGTTGATAAGTAATGAAGAGAGTGAGTGAGTGAAGGAGGATAAGTAAAGAAGAGAGTGATGTACATACGGGTGCCAATTGTTGTATGTGTGAAGGATAAGCTGATCAGATTGTTATGTGAAGTGTCATCGAGATATGGTGAGGAATAGAGCGAGCAGTTGCAGTAAACATCAACATATGTAGTTCAGAAAGCCACATTACTGGAAGCAGACAACAATGGTTATGGTTATTACCTATTAGCTATCCTCGATCGTTTGATACAAACAAACAAAGGGTTCTGCACCCAAACTATATGATATGTCTCCAATGTCAAATAAATAAAGCAATTCTAATGTTCAAAAGAGAATAACCAGCAGAGCACAAAGAAAGCTTAGTGTGTTAAGTTAATATTAAAGATAGTACTGCATGGGATTGCCAAATTAAAAAGGGTGCCAGTTTTAATTGTAAGAAACTCCTACAGACAAGAGTGTGTTTTTGCGGATATGGATAGATCAAACACTGAAACCCCAACTCTAGGATATCACTGGCTTATGGGGGCATAAACAGACCACTGTAGGGTCTAGCATTGTTTGGAAAAAATTATCTTTTCCTGGCCATTCATAAGTTCAATTGTCCACTTTTCATATTTAGATAATCCACTTTACATTTTTGGGAGCCGAAATCAAATGTCCACTTTTGATATTTAGCAAACAAAATATTGTGAATCATCATCCGAAATACTCTTTAGGTAGCTCTTCCTCTACAAACTACAAAATACTGATATTTTCTGTCTTGAGGGTTCTATTCTCAACTGCTAGGAATATGGGGTTCAAGTTTTCATAGTGGAGGGCATTAATGTAAAACTTAATCATCTAAGACCACAAAAGGAGGCCAAAAGGTTTTGAAAGAACAGAACAAGAGAGGCATTCTCTCTCTAGATCTCACCCTCGCTCTATGATGACAAAGAAAATAGAAATTGTAGTTACTGAGCATCCTTAACGCGTTGATCTATGAAGTTTGAAATCCAACCTTATATGAGGACAAGAGGGTTGATTCATAAAACTGCACTTTCTTTGTAGTTTTTGGCAAACTAATGTGGTAGCTGCATAAAAACAATATTACGGAGTACTGTTATCATCATCAGCAGCAGCAATATACGAAAGAGAGAAAAATAATAACAATATTCTGTAAAGAAAGGCTGAGAAGAGATTCATTTAAGGAGAAGCAGTTTCATGAAAACAAACTATCAAATCTTACCAAGTATGCAAAGATGTCTCAGAAAATAGCAGGCAAAGATCTGAGGCCAACTGTCCAAGAATGTTCATCACAAGATCTACATGCTTTCCATAAAAGAACACCTAAAGATATTACATGAATGACTCATAGTAATCAGCTTGGGATTAGATCATTATTATAAATGAAAAGGGGAGGATGCCGTATTGAATCTTATTATCCCTACTTCTCAGCAAACATCATATATACGCAGTAATTAATTAGAACCCATAGTAATCAAATGGGTCCATATAAGATAAATATTAAAGATAGTACTGTATGGGATTGCCGGGTGCCAGTTTTAATTGTAAGAAACTCCTACAGACAAGAGTGTGTTTTTGCGGATATGGATAGATCAAACACTGAAACCCCAACTCTAGGATATCACTGGCTTATGGGGCATAAACAGACCACTGTAGGGTCTAGCATTGTTTGGAAAAAATTATCTTTTCCTAGCCATTCATAAGTTCAATTGTTCCTGGCAGCAGTGAACATACCTATCTACTTGTAGGTAAAACTTAGTGGCTAAAAAGGTAGAAAGGCAAAGATGAAACTTGATCACTTGGTAAACTGGAATACATTAGAAAAAAAGACCTCCCACAAATCAGTACATGTGGGATAAACTCTTATAGCATGCTGAAGACTGGGTATTGCATCAACCTATTTTTGTTGGTGGACCTGAAAGAAACAAAGCAGTAAGGACGAGACCGGGATTTAATCAGGCAAACAGACATAGAATAAGTACTCACCAAAAGCTAACCAAGTCTGCTAAAAGCCGAAAAGACGCGAAGTGACTTTTTCGATGCCTCGTTATTCACAGATATCTCCAATTACGGTTCTCTTTTCTAGTTTCCTCTAGTACTTCACACATAGCTTCCTACATTCACATTGAGAATTGCTTTCCCATGAATATTGGATATCTTACCAAAAAATTGATAAAGGCAGGGTTTAAAATTCACCCCAGAATCAGAATCATTAAGGTTCACACAAATGGCTGGCTGGTAGCACTTCAAAGCCCTCTGAGGGTCACAGGCAAAGCTGGCATATTAATGACTTAGGTACCAAAAAAGAACTCCATTCTGAGGGTTGATTTTTGCATATATGAGAAACGGAACCAAGTGGTCAGAAACCTTAAGATCCTCAAAAATCCTCAAAAATCCCCTTAAGAAGTTTGGAACCAAGAAAAGGAAGGACATGCAATGTACCAAGTGGTCAGAAACCTTAAGATCCTCAAAAATCCCCTTAAGAAGTTGAACAAGAATAAGTTTCAGTTCCTGGATAACCAAATTGATGAACTGCGCACTAAACTGCATATTATTCAAAGTGAACTGAAACATAACATGAATGAGGCAACCCTAGCAAATGAAAGGAGTGTAACCCAGGAGCTATATCTGAAGATGAAGGCCAACTATTTACTGAAATGCCAACAAGCAAAGGCTGACTGGATTGTCTATGGGGACCATGACTCTAAACTTTTCTATGCCTGGTTAAAGAAAAGGAAACTTCAGAATGAGCTTTCAAATCTAAATAATGATAAAGGGGAAATGGTTGAAGGTAAAGCTGAAGTGGCTAAAGTCCTTGTGTCTTTCTATAAAAATCAATTGGGGACTAGGACAGAAACAGATGACTTTAGCAGTGAAATCATTAATATGGGGGACTGCCTATCTATTGCTCAGCAGCTTAAACTCATCTCTCCAATTACACCCGAGGAGATTAAGAAGTGTTTGTTTAATATTCCTAATGGTAAAAGCCCAGGCCCAGTAGTGGATTCTTCAAAGGCCAATGGAAGACAGTGGGGAGCCTGATCACTAAAGCAGTCCAGGACTTCTTCATTAAAGGGGATACTGTTAAACAAATTAATTCCACCAACTTGACTGTCATTCCAAAGTGTGAAGAGCCTAGAAGCCCGGGTGACCTTAGGCCTATATGCTGTTGTAATGTGATATACAAAATCATTTCAAAAATCATCTGTGGAAGACTCAAAAATGTGCTACCTAGCATGAAGGCTCTGTAGCACTTCAGAGGCACTACAGGGCTTAACATCAACCATACTAAGTCTGAGGTTATTTTTGGGGGAATTGATGCCAAAGCTGAGACTAAATTGCTGCAGACTGTTAACATGAAGAAAGGGAAATTCCCCTTCACCTACCTGGGGGGGCCTATCACTGCATCTAGGATTAGCTCAAAAGATTGTGAAAGAATGGTGGAAAAAATGACCATCAAGATTAACTCATGGGCTTCAAGGAACCTTTCCTATGCTGGTAAATGCAAGCTTATTAACTCTGTCCTTAATGGAATCATAAACTTTTGGAGCAGAATTTTCCTAATCCCTACAAAGGTCATGAAAATCCACAAATTAGGTTTAGAGGTGGAATTGAAAACGAGTAATACCTTACGGAGAGACGGCTACAGGAGAGACGAAGGCGGCGGCGGCGGAAGTAGAGACGGCGGAGATGGAGACGGCGGATGAAAAAGGACCCCAGAATTGAAAACGAATAACATCTCTCTTTTTTTTTGAAAAGAAAAGAAAAAAAAAAGAAAAGAAAAGAAAAGAAAAGAAAAAAATAATAATTTAATTAATTAACGGGAAAGAAATTCATCCTCCTCAATTGGGGGGCCTCCTCCGGCCCACTGCCCTCGGGAGGAGAGAAGGAGAATGAATGGTGGGGTGGTAAGGCTCTGCCATAGCCTGGTACAGCTCTTCCAGAGACGGCAGAGATGGAACCTCTGCGGGGGTTTCTTGCGGCGGCGGAGGAAGTGGAGACGGCGGAGATGGAGATGGAGAGGGGGGAGGTATGAGTCGAATGCGGCAGCTCTGCGGGTGGTTCCGTCCTCTAGGAGGAGCAATGGAGCTGATAGAATTCTTGGTACAGACCCTTACAGAAGAGAGTCCGCTGATGTCCACGACCTCCATGACATGCTCCTCCACGTCATAGAAGTGGAACCTCTCAATTGGCTTCCGAATAAGCTCTCTGATGCATTGCTTCAAACCTTTAAGTCCAAGTCCAAGATCTTCAACGTCCTTCTTGGAAATCCTCCCCAGAGCTTCTTCCCCATCAAAAGATCTTTCAATCAACAAAAAAGTACCCTCCATTGATCCCGGTATGTTGTGAGCTTCTTTCTTGGATTTCCGGCCGCTGCCGAATATTATGGAGTAATTAATTCGGCTACCACGTGCTCCGCCAAGTTATATACTACTCGATGGGGCGGACCTACGTTGGTTACAGTGGGGTCAAATGACACCACTAGAATTTTTATAATTAACATGTATGTAGTGGATTTAATACTAGCAATAGTGGCTCAGTTGGTTTGGAGCCCTATTTTTTCCCTGCAGTTGAGTTCGATTCCCATCTAATGTTAAAAATTTTTGACTTTTTTATAAGTCTTCTTTTCTTTATATTTTTTCCTAATTTCTAAATTCTTTACCTTTTATTCATGAAAATTTTTATTTCTTTTTATGGAAAAGTTTTCAACTTTATATTGGAACAATGAAAAAAAAAATATCTCCCCTTTCCTAAAAAATTGGTCTCCTTGTAGTGTTAAAAACTTTTGAATTTTTTATAAGTCTTCTTATCTTTATATTTTTTCCTAATTTCTAATTTCTTTACCTTTTATTCATGAAAATTTTTATTTCTTTTTATGGAAAAGTTTTCAAGTTTATATTGGAACAATGAAAAAAATTTATCTCCCTTTTCCTAAAAAATTGGTCTCCTTGAGAAATTCTGACTATGTATTTATTGGTTATTTTTTTTATTTCATTGAAAAAATGACATCACTCTTTATCATTTCTGGGTCCGCCACTGTACTCTATCAATGCCCTCCTTTTTCTTCTTTAGACGTTGGAGATTAAACTAACTAAGTCTCTCTTTAAAGCAGTTATGCATTCATTTTTTTTTGAAAGTGGTTATGCATTCATTTTGTGTCACATTTCTTTAAATGAAAACTCATCCAATATTACTTTTTCCTACATATTTTATATTACATACATTTATTACATACTTTTGCTTTGACTTCCCCAATTTACCCCCAACCCTAATCAAAAAGTAGAATGACAATCAACTCATGAATAGTGTAAAGCACAATTTTATAGCAAGTGGAGTACTCGTCCCATTAAATACAGCAGGGCAATCATGCCACAAATCCAGCACCCGTACTCCCCAATTCTCAAACTACAGGGATTACATTCACCATCACCATACATTACATTCGTTAAATTTGTTTAAATGGTGAATTTTTTTGGGAAAATTTGATATTCCCTCCAAAACACCCCTCCAAAACCAAAACAAAAAATTACAACTTCAAATGTTTTCATAATTTGTAGTCCAAATTTGTAAAATATGACTAAAAAGTCAAAAAAGGAAGATTATTTAGGGTAGAGATAATAAAATTAGAAAAAAATATAAAATAGTATGAGGTATTGAATTGATGATAGATTGAAAAATGTGATAAAACATAAAAAAACATGGATATTTAAATTTTAATTAGAAAATAATATATATCCAAAATATATTTGATCCGAATCGAACCGATTATAACATATTGTTGAAAGATCCGAACCGAAAACATATAACTCGAAACCGATCCGGTTGACTCGATTGCCACCTCTAGACATGAATGCACGGCATGCATATATGGACACACTTTGTTTAGAAATTATGAGAAAATTATACGGAGTACTTAATTATAATATTCATTCAATATATTTTGCTTCAACTTAAGATATACTATCTCTGTCCCAGTGTATTTGTCCAGTTTGACTTTTTTAAGTCAAACTGAACAAATTTTGAACTCCAATTACTCTCAGTTTGTATTGCATATATATTAACATAATGAAATATAATTTTGAAAGTTCTGAATACTATAAATCTAATAAATGCATTTTTGTGTTAAAATACATTATGGTTCTTATTTAATTGAAGCTCAAAGTTTGTACAATTTGATTCGAAAAAGTCATACTGGACAAATACACTGTGACAGAGTGAGTAATTTTGATATATCAACTTTTTAATATAATTAAATTATTTAAATTATGTTTAATTTGTGACAAAAATATCATTATTTTAAAAAGAATCAAAACATGAAATTTTTAGGATTGCGGAGTAAAAAAGGGAAAATGGCAAAAAATAAAGAAAAGAAAAAAAGAGCAAGACTCCTTGTGAAAGAATGAACAATTGCCAGATTGCATTTCCTACGGTTAAAAGGATTTACACGGATGAGGTCTTTTTCTTTCTTTCTGCATTAACAAACCGAAAAAATGGAAAAAGAAAAAAAACAGAGCCAAACGGAGTAGGCAATTCTGCCAATAAATAATTCAGCCGAAACGGAGTAGCCAACTTCGTCTAAATAAAAAAATTCCAAACTAAACGGAGTAGCCAACTCCGTGTTGCACTGCGGGAAAAAAACCCTGACATACACTGCCAGAAATACTTTATAATTTTCTTACATATATCGGGAGTTTAGTGTCTTTTTCTATTAAATTAATTATTTTAGAGGTTCTTAATTTTTATATTCCCTCCACTTCAAACAAATTCTCATTTCTTTTACTCCGTAATAAATAGACAAGGTAGTCTATATCCTATCATATCACAAACGGAGTATTATATTTACCCTTCTTTTGACAACAACATTTATTGTCATAATATGACAACGACGCCTACGATGTTTCATTCCAAAAAATAATAATTTCTACGCCTTTTACCCCCTCTCTTTTCCCCACCCCAGCAGCCCCTCTACCCCCTCCACCAAATCACCAATTGGCTACAGTGTTACAGCCTTATAAGAGAATTGTATCCACAAGAGTGTTTTGTGGTATTGCAGTGGAATGCAGCTTCTCAGGTACAACACTAATAAAAATTTGTGACGACCGGAGTCTCTCTTGGTCAATGTATTACTCCGTACCTCGTGACTAAATGGACTAATAATAATGTTCAACGTAGTCTCCGACTTAAGGCCGTTAAAACAGCATCAAAACGATATTAAAAGTCATTAAACATGAAAAATAATTAATCCATTTTCAAATTAGCAAGGCATGTTAGCATATTACAATTTACAAATCGATGTTAATCTTAAAGATTTATGCTTCTCTTATGCTTCTTTTAAGAGTAACATTTTTGCTCTTAGATTTGTTTTGCTTGTTTTTGCGATAAGGGTAATAATTGCTCACAGATGTGTTTTGGTCTTTGCGACAAGGTTATCCCAACTCTTTTTTTTTTTATCTCAAGCAAACAATAATTTTTTTTAATCTTTGTGAAAGACAAGGGGAGAACTTTAATTTGGTACAAGGAGTATATGAATTTTAGCATCATCAACTATAATTATAATGTAATAAATTCTAGAATACTCCATCTACACATATATTCGTTACCTTGTATTCCTCAAGCAACAAATCATTCTTTATTATTTTTACAAAGAAAAGAAAAAAAACAATGAACAAAGACAATTCGATCCATACAGGTTGGGTACAGAAGAACACAAATTACAACAACATCAGTCTCTAAACAACCTGTGTATCTTTTCTTAATGCACTAAAAAAATCAACCTGTTCCCAAACGCTAGTGACCACAGGAAGTACAGGAGGATCATAAAAGCAATTCTCCTCCTGCATCATATTATTGTTCACAGGCAGAACTGGGGTGGGATACGATGGCGGCATCATCAAGAACACTCTCCCCATAGAAGCCGTGTATCTCATCGCCGCCTGTTGCAGATGTTTGAAAACTCTCATGCGAGTATTACACTCCACAATGCCTTGCTTGTGCTCCACAAAGACGATGTCAGGATTTGTGGGATGGACAAATATGTCTTTTACAGATATTTGGTCCGGTTTGAGCGCCGTGTTCAAGCACATGTCCCTTAGAGAGAACATGTGTACTGAAGCCCATTTCCTCCACCCGTCCTCTTCCTCATCGAGATCCCATACCATCAGATCAGATGCCACACCATCCACATTGTCAAGGGGAGGGAAGAGCCCAGCCAGGCGCAAGCGCCCACGGCACACCCCAATGGTAACACATCTTACATCAGAATCAATAAAGCCAAGAGGTATATCGAAGAGTACCGGGTCCTGCTCCAAATCTTTGATGTTGTACTTGATGATGTGCCTTATGTTGCAATACCACAAAACGCCCTCGTGGAGACAACTCTCTTGTAGCCAAAAACGGTGTCTGAAATAGAAGCCTCGAGGGATCGGCAAAGCCAAAGTCCTCCATTTCCCAACCTTTGAGGAAAAGGACTCAACATTCACCGATAAACGAGAACGAGAACGGGTATTGCTTGGCATCTCATCAACCATAATCAATACATTGTACTCATACTCTGGATTGTAAATACTATCGTGCGGGTCTTCTTCGTAGAAGTTGGTGGGGGAATAGAACTGAAAGTTTGACCCGTAAGCGCGAGATCGAGGAGGAAGAGCAACCCATTGCCTTGTTATTGGGTTACAAATGTAGTAGTAATCTTTACCGTCACCGGAATGAGCCCGCGTAGGGGGACAACTCCTCTTCTTGGAGTGACCGCAGAGGAACAAATCACCCGATACCCTCAAAACCCGCATCACTTCCCCTTCCCTCTTTGGAAGAAAATCAAGCGACCTGTTGAGAACACGAGCCTTTGAGTCTTTATCTTCTTCCTCCTGATCAAGACATATACCTCCTCCAAACTCATTACTCATGTAGTTGTTTTGGTCAGTGAGGTTCAAGATGAGATAAGGTTCTTGTTGAACCTGATTATTAAGACGGTTGAAGGCCATGAGTCTCTTGAGGAAGGAAGGCTGCGACACTAAAAGCAACCAAGTCGTGCACACACACAGGCATCCCCGTGAGTCTTTATAGGAGAGCCGGTGAAGAATCTCTTCCAGTAAATCGTGGCTGAGGTCCTCTATGCTTGCAGTCATACTGTAAATACTCTGCAGATAATAAATACGGAGCAAATCAGAACTTTTTTCCTTCAGATTCTTGCAGCCATGCGATATATATGGACTTGTGGTCTGCAGGCTGCAGGTGTATATAAAACATGAAATATTAATCATATTAAGAGGGGGACAGGAGTGGGTTCCGAAAGAAAAGGGGCATTTGACTCCTATTGTGCTTCTGAATAGGAGAAATTTAAGAATATGATTCATTCAGTTTGAACCATTATATTGGTCGTAAACTATGGAAAATATATGATGCAGGTCATACCCACTGCCTTCCAAATAAGGTTCTCCTTTAACATCAAATTATATTTTATATTTATATTGGAGTATATTTTTATTGTTCACCCCATAAAATAGTTAAATTAATGATTATTTTTCAGAATTTTTATATGATTTTTTTTAAGTTTTAAATTTATTACATTTAAGTTAAATTCGATTAGCAATGCAAACCTTTTTTACTCTATCGGAGATGATAGAGAAATCAATGCAACCCTTTGACGAGTGATAACTATATTTGTACATAAATAAAAGGAGAACTCTCTATATAAGAGTATAAAAAATATAAAAATACTGAAATAGGAGTAATGAGTCTTTTAAGACCAAAAGAAGATTTCGCACCGTCATTGTCAACTATCACCATACTGCCATCCGCCGGTTGCCGGAACATCGTCGCCACTCATCTGTGTTGACCGGCCACACTATCATATTACACTATCTTCAATTATCCATCACAGTGCTATTACATTCCTATTTACGTAGTATGAGATTAAACTAGGTGACCCTTATTTTAGAATTTTAGCTAAATAAAAGAGATTTCTTTAACTAAATGATATAAATTTGATATATCAAAACTATATCTTAAAAAAGAATTGAACTATATTAAAATATACATTTTAACTAAATATACTTTATCTTAAATGACTGTCTGAATTTGAAAATAAAAAGAATAATTGAAAATACACAAAACCATAGAAAGAAATCTCCCCATATAGTAGTAATATGACATTAAAGTGTACAAAGTTTGAGTGAAATAGTTTGAAGTCCCTAAATAGGAGTGAGACGGTAGTGTGGTGGTAATACAACAACAACAACCCAGTTGGATCCCACTACAATAGGGTCTGGGGAGGGTGTGTGTACGCAGACCTTGCCCCTACGAGCGAAACTCCGACAACAGATGGCAGTGTGTCGTGGCATATGACTTTGGTGTTGACAATAGCAGTATGAAGTATGAATTCGACGACAAATGGAAGTGTGTTGCTTACATTTTTTATTTTCAGTATTCCAAATCTGTTCTTTTTTTGTGGAATTCACTTGTTCGCCTTTTGACCACCCGCCAATCCCCTTGCCTTTCACCTCAAAAAAGGTCCTCTTGCCCGCCTCGAGCCTCTTGCCTTTAATAACTATGGTTTTTACATGTCAACCCAATTCAAGCGCGATCCAAATCAAACCCGAACTTGAACCAAATACCATTGACCTGATGTTGGCCAAAAGATAATGTAACTTGCCCAAACAAAATATGTTGACTGACCGTAAAAAAAAGTTGACTGAAATGACCCACATAAAATTATGATAACTACCCTCCACTTCTTGATACATACACTCCATCGCTTTTTTTTAATTAGAATTTGACAAGTTTAACCCTATATTGTAATAATGTAAATAACATAATTTTTCAATTGTTTGAGGCTATATATGGAGTCCTACTAGAAGGGAGCATTAGAGGGTGTCTCTTGGTACTAGTGCTAGCCCGTGGGGAAATGAGAAATGAACAACAGCGGGCAGCAACAGGTGGCCCACTATCTGGTGGGTAAACTGCTTTCAATACTGAATCTAAGAAGAATGTCTTTTGGGGGGCTTGGGAACCACATAAAGATCTCCTCATTAGAGAGGTAAGCAGAAATTTATTTGTTTTTCAGTTCTTCTTCATAGAAGATCAGTTGAGTGTTTTGCAGAAGGGGCCATGGGCTTTCAATAGTTATCTTCTTCAGATCAAAGAGTTGAACCGGAATGAACAACCAGAGGAAATAGGTTCTCCTATGTAGATTTCTGGGTGAGGGTCTATGGCTCTATGCTGTTCCATTTCAAAAGAGGAACAAAGCTGGGCTAGAGGCTATTTGCAGTAAAGTGGGGAAGTTGATTGAGATGGATGAGTCTGATGTCTCAGGGCTGGGGAAGTCACTAAGGGTTAGAATGAGACGTGATATCAACAAACCTCTCTGTCGAGGGAGAAAGCTAACTCTAGAAGGTAAATCTATATGGGTTTATTTCAAGCATGAAAAACCGACAGGATTTTGCTTCTTCTGTGGGAGACTTGGGCACGTGGGAAGAGAGTGCAGTGAATATGATGAGGAGATCCCTGAAAATGAGTTGCCATTTGGCAATTGGTTGAAAGCTTCACCAATTAAAGGAAAGGGAAGAGTTGATGGGCCTGAGATGGAAAATGCGAACAAGTTAGTGACCAATCTGAGAAAGAAACAAGAGGGACTACTCTGGAAGGTGGAGGTCTAATTGGGATGAGTTCACAAGGGGAAGATTTGCGGATGATGGGTGGTGAGGGGTCAGTGGTGTCAGAGGCGTATAAGAATCAGGATGGTAATCATAGGAGAGAAAACAGTGGGTACAACTAAGAAAATGAAGGGTAGGCAAGAGCTTGATGAAGGAGACTTTGCTGAAACTAACGACATGATGATTGAAGTATCATGGAATGGACGAGCCATTCTCCGCAAAGAGAATTAGTCTTTTTATGTTTCAACTGTCGGGGGTTGGGCGACCCGCGAGCAGTTGATGATCAACATGAGTTGCTCCGTAGAATGAAGCCCATGCTAATATTTTTTTGTCAGAAACTAAATTAGCTAGTAGGGAGATGAATAGAGTACACAAAAGCTTAGGGAATTTTTTGGGGATCCACGTGGACGGTATTGGTTGTGCGGCGGGGNTTGCCCATCATATAGATGTGAACATACAAGGACCTATGCAAGGAGAGCTCTGGAGATTCACTGTGCTACATGGCTGGCCGGAGGCTCAAAACAAACACAAAATATTCAAACTCCTCGAAATGCCGCGGGATGACTCAAGGGGGACTTGGGTTGTCGGGGCCCGGAGGTGATTGGATTGAAATTTGTTTTAATTCAGAAAAGAGAGGGGGTGTTACTTGCTAGGAACCAAAGGATGATGGAAGCCTTTATTTTACTTGGGATATGAGGGTTATGATTTTACTTGGTGGAATAGAAGAGCAGGGGGAGCTGATAGAGGAGAGGCTGGACAGGTTTGTTGCAAATAGTGAGCGGACAATCATGTTCCCAAAGGCAAAGGTGATTCACTTGGACGAATATTTGTCCGACCATCTAAAGTTATTGAGGGACGAAAATGGTAGGAAACAGAGGAAAAGATTCTTCAGATGAAGCATCAGAGGTCGTGTAAGACGAGGAGGCCGCCACAACCTTAGATGATTTTGATTCAAGCAACGATCTGTCTAATGGTGGGAAGGATGAAACATAAAGGCCATGGAAGACGAGGAAGTTGCAGCAGTCGTGTAAGGTGCTGATTTTACTCCAGGTTGGTTTATGTTGGATCCTTTAACTCTCCCCATGTTAGAAGCTATGAGCATTAGACGAAAACAACTTGAATGATTACAGATCAAAATAGAACATGCAGTAACCAAGTCGAGAGAGCATAATCGAATACTCCGTAGATAAGACTGAAATTTTAGTGTGAATACACAAGAGGACAATACATAATTCAAACTTTTAATGTGAGTCAAACTGGACAAAAACACTTGGACAGAAGTAGTATATTTTTTATCATTTTTATCAATCAAATATATTTTAAGCTTTTTATTTTGTACCTTGCAGAAAGAAAAAAATAAAAAATAAACAACCTAAAAATAGATACACAACATGAACCGCTTCTATGTAGAATCAAAAAAACTAATTTGAAACATCTTTTTATTTTTTTTAAATTACTTAATAAAAAATTTTTTTAATTAAATGTATAAAAGAATCTATTAAAATAGAGCATCAAAGTGTAGTACGGAACTTAAAAAGAAGAGTTTTAGTACTTAGGTCTTTTAGGTGCAATAGGGTTATTAGGTCCATTCAGTCCAATCGGTGTGGACCTAAATCATTTCGGGTTTGGACCAGACCAGACTAAAGCCCAAACACCTAAATATTTTGGACCAGAGACCGACCCAAAATCCATTTGGTCTGGGTTCAGTTTGAACCTAACGGTCCAGCACGATCGTTGTCTGGACCTACTAAGGAGTCGTTGCAGCTGGCTAAGGGGCTGTTTGGCAACTTCTGAATGAGTAAGTGTTGAACCAGTAAGAGGTCTGAATCATTAAGTGCTGAACCAGTAAGAGGTCTGAACCATTAAGAGCTAGTATATTGCTTAACTATTCAGAGGAAAATGTCTGATCAATTCAGATAAAAGGTCTTAACCATTCAGACTCTGTATAATACTTAATCATTCAGAGGCAAATCTCTTAACCATTCAGACATCTGAACCATTAAGAGGCTGAAACAAACAGTCTGAACCATTAAGTGCTGAACCATTCAGACATCTGAACCATTAAGAGGCTGAAACAAACAGCCCCTAAGGTGATCTATGTAAACTTGCTTCTCAGTTATGATGATTGAGTATTAAAGTTATTTTACTAATAAAAAAAGTAATGGTACCAAACTATTTGTCGTGTTTCTAAATATGCTTTTTTTCATCCTAAACCTAACGAGAACCGATATCATGTGGGTCGAAACCATGATACAAAAGTTTAAAAAGAATTGTCCCAAGATAGGAGTAAAACATCAAAATACTAAAATAGAAATGTCATTATTTTTTTATCTCTTAAATAAGAGTTTGGCAGTGTAATGGGAGAGTGTGGTGGACTGGTGACCACTGGTCAATGATGGTGGTGGGGGAGCTCCAGTGACAGTCAGAAGTGGCAGAGTGAAATAGCTCCTATTTAGGTCACAAAATGAGTGATGCTCATATTTTGATGTTTTTATTATCTTTTGATCCTATTTAAAGAGTTCTCCCAAGTTTTAATTTGATTATCAGGAACCAAATCTTGGGAAGTAAACTACACGGTATGCCAAATATTTATTTATGTACTTTATCTTACCATATGGTGTACTTGTTGTATTTTCCTTTTAATATTTTTCAATATTATTATTATTCTTACTCCATTAGACCATTACAATTGAATTTCTCCCTTGGCTTGAGTGGGATGAAGTCCACACCCCAAGATTTATGGGAAAATTTGCCCAGGTTTGATTCTCAGCGAAGACAAACACTACATTATAATAGAGTCACTCAAAAAATATTATTATTGCTTTGGATCTTTTGACCCATGGGGTCAAAAGCTACTCCATTGTAAAATTGATTATCCCTTACGGCGCTCTGTTGGTAAAATTGATTATTGCTACCCTAATCCATAGTTATTAAAGGCGAGAGGCATGCAGTCAAAAGGCAAACATACATACATGCATGCATATATGATTGTGAGTTTAATTGCGAGTGGAGTTTGATTACGAGTCGGGTTTGATTACGAGTCGAGTTTGATTGTGAGTGGAGTTTGATTGTGAGTTGAGTTTAATTGTGAGTCGGGTTTGATTGCGAGTCGAGTTTGATTGCAGGTTAACTACTCGAAACGACAATTTTACATCGTTGTTGCAAATTCTGTGAGTATGTTCAATTTATATTTCTATTTGTTCTTTTTGTACACTTATTGATTGTTGGATTTAGACTTTTGTTCCCTGTGAAGCATATCTTGGTGTCTCCACCTACTAGATATACAACAGGAAAGTACCAGCCACCTTAGCTGAAACTTCGCAAGGACATCCCTCTGGTACTTCCGTGTGTCGTATATCTAGTAGGTGGAGATGCCAAGATAGGCTTCACAAAGAAAAAAGGTCTAAATCCAACAATCAATAAGTGTACAAAAAGAACAAATAGAATTATAAATTGAACATACCCACGAAACTTGCAACCACAATGTAAAATTGTCGTTTCGGGTAGTTAGCCTGCAATCAACCCGACTCGCAATCAAGGTATCAAACCCGACTACCAATCAAACTTGACTTCCAATCAAACCCGACTCCCAATCAAACCCAACTCCCAATCAAAACCCCACTCACAATCAAACCTGACTCGCAATCAAACCTTATCATCATCATCATCATCATCATCATCATCATCATCATCATTATTATTATTATTATTTTCAATCAGCAGAAGCAAACAATCAATTAAAGAACGAATAAGATCAAATCAGTTTCCTTTGCAAAACAATTTACTAAATATCCATTAAGGAGTACTCCGTATTAAACAAAGACCATAAAAGTTTATTCACTCATGATTGAGATCCAAATAAAGCAACATGGGACATTCTTCAAATTGTTTGCCATCAAAATGCAGAGAATGAAATCAAAAGAGAAGATTAACAGAAATGGTACACAAAGATCTAACAACAAAAAAAGCAAATCAAAGAAGTTTCAGAGTTAAACCTCTTGAAGATTCGCAGATTCTGCTTTGTTGCTTTCTAATTGCTGATCCTGCGAGGATTTCAAGCAATTTGGACTCCGATCTCGCCACTTTCTCCTATCTTTCTTTTAGTAGGAAGATCTTATGTTCTTTGAAATGTTTACGGCAATACTCCTGCACATATCCTATTTTTATAGTCGTAATCCAAAAAATTCAATTACTCCAGTTCCAGTTCCAGCTGTTTTTGTCCACTTTTGATTTTTGTAATTATTCATCTAAGCACTTTGACTCATCAAATTCTCCCAATGTGTAAAACTAAATATAGTCATGTGTGATCTTGTTTAATTTGTCTTAACATATAGATTATTAATATATAATTTTTTAATATACAAATTACAAGATAAAATGGATTAAAGAATTACATTGGATGATGTGTAAAAATGAAAGTGGACAAAAACTGAGGGACGGTGGGAGTAATAAATTAATATTAATGCACACTTCAAGTTCAATTGACATTCAATTTCAATAGTAAAATTTACACTGAATAGTACTAAAACATAAGTCATTTCTCAATATAAGAATTAAACTTTTTTATTCCCTAAATAAGACTTAATAATGATTAGTGAAAAGAATAATGTTCAAGTGATGTTAGGCATTTAGTTGAATAATGACTAATAAATAATGACCAATGGTCCTACATTAGAAAATAAAAATATATGGTCTTATATTGAGAAAGTCATTATGTTTTAGTCTTATTTAGGTAAATTACTCATTTCAATATTATAAGATGACATGGATACCTACGATACTTCATTTAAAAAATTAATAGTTTCTACCGCCTAATTTCTGGTAACCCCTATCTCAGTTCGACCCGAACCAACCCTCGTTCATTGTTGCCTCTAAAGTCAAATAAATTTTGTATGGTGCAATTGAGGGGAGTGGAGAATTTGAGAGGTTAGGAGTTGAGACTATCAATTTTTTTAACAGAACACCATAGGTGCTACAATCGAAGCTCATGTCATAGGATTACATGAGGGACTCGTCAATCTTACTCGTATTATCTAATACGGAGTAATTACATTAATTTTTAGAATGATAATTTTAAAAAAATCACTTTTTTAATTTCCATTCAAAAAATTTACTTCCTCCGTCTACAAATAAACTTCTCGTTGCGCGTTACGATGTTTGACTGAAGTTAATTTTTAATCATTTTATATGAAAAATGGTATGAAATTTTAAAATAAAAATCACATATTAAAAACTGTATCAAAGATCAACAAAACTAGAGGTGACATGACTGTATTATTTTATCAAATGGGTAAAGAAAAAATAAGCCAACAAAGTGAATAAAGTTTGATCATGTGAATAGTGAACAAGAAATTTATTTGTGGACGAAGGGAGTATATTACTTCTTCTTCCAGTCCAATATGAATCTCTTACAAATTTATATTTCCTCGTCTCAATTTGTATGTTTCGGTTTATAATTTTTGACTGAAATTATTTAAATACTCTGTATAATTTACGAGTATGTGAGAATTGGAGCAAAATTTAAAAAAATTTAAAACTACATTAAAAGTTGTAGGTGACATAACTATACAGTATCATTTTATCAAATTGATAATTGAAAAAAGAATATGAATGAAATTTGATCATATAAATAATAAACAATAACTTAATTTGCGACGAATAGATTACAAAATACGGAGTACCTTGTTGCATTGCAATGACCTCGGGTAATCTCATGAAATTGGAAGCGGTACGGAACGATTAAAATTTAGGAAAAATTACCCAAAATAATCTCAACTTTACCCGGTCTTTCAAAAATAATCCCACCTTTCACTGTGATGCATAATAATCCCAACTTTATTGAAATTTGCCAATTTTGGGTCGCCGTTAAGTTTCTAACGGAGGGTTAACGGAAATGCCTGTTTTAGGCAACAAAATGAAAGTTGGGATTATTTTTGATGAATTTTTGTTTTTTAATTTTTTTTGAAATTTTTATTTAAATTTTTTGAATTACTTTCAACCTCCATTTTTTTCTTTTTTAAAGATTATTCTTACCTCAGAAAAAAAAAGATATAAAAAATAATGAAAATGAGAAAAATAACTAAAACCATACAAAATTAATCAAATAAATAATGTAATCAATAGAAATTAAAAAAAACTGGTAAGAAATAAAATAAATATATACGGAGTGGTGGGTTTTAACATTTTACACACTATACGGAGTCTTAATGTACTACTTATTTTTTAAAAGAAAAAGCCGTCATGTAAAGTTGAATTATTGTAGATAATTTTTTATAAAAAATAAGAATTGATATGTTAATACTTTGTATAGTGCGTAAAATATTAAAACCCACCCGTATATTTTTATTTTACTTTTACCAATTTCAAGTTAGTTTCCATTGATTACCTTATTTATTTTATTATTTTTGTATCATTTTAGTTACATTTCTCATTTTTTTCATTTTTTTATATCTATTATTTTATTTTTTTAAACTAAGACTAATCTTTAAAAAAGGAAAAAAAATGATGATGGAGGTAGAAAGTAATTTTAAAAATTTAAATGAAAAATTTAAAAAAAAAATAAAAAAAAATGAAAATTCATCAAAAATAATCCCAACTTTCATTTTGTTGTCTAAAACGGGCATTTCCGTTAACCCTCCGTTAGAAATTTAACGGCGACCCAAAACTAGCAAATTTCAGTAAAGTTGGGATTATTATGCATTACAGTGAAAGGTGGGATTATTTTTGAAAGACCGGGTTAAGTTGGATTATTTTGGGTAATTTTTCCTAAAATTTATTGAAATTTTTGTTAGATTAATTTTTAGTAACAAAATTCATATTATGCCCAAAATAACCATACCGCCCAAGGCCTCATACGTGATAGGACCGGCCCTGCCAGTGACCCACGGCGGCGGATGGCTACGAGCGACGAATTCCGGCGATGCTCTGGTTCATCACGGCGGCAGCTGGCGCTAGGGAGTACTATTTTGTTATTTTCATACCATTTTACCCCTATTTAGAAGTTCGCCCAATTATTTTTACTCCGTAATTTAGAAAGACCACGGGTGATTCTTTCCATCCATTCATTCATTCGATCCATCCATTTGAACCGACCTGCATTGCTCGGAGAGGACGCAACCCATTCCAGTAGGTTCCCCAGATTTTTTGCAGGATTTGTTGTTTTAGGGTTGTTTTTCCCCAATTATTTCTTATTTGGAATGCGATTTATTAATTTACACACATTCTCTTTGTGTGTCAAATTGTTTTCTTTTGTTTTGGTTTGGTTTGGTTTGGTTATATTCAAATATGATGTGCAGATTGCTTTTTTTTTCTTCTCTCCACTTATTTGATATTTTTGTTTTATAGAAAATTTGCAGAAATGACCCAAGTCATCTTGTTCGTTTTTCCCCGAGTTCACATTTTGATATGTACTTGAAAATGTGAGCTTTGAATGATCATCCAATAAGCTCTCACATACCCTCTTTGAATGATTGTTTTTACTTCTCGTGTGTGTTGCTCCGATAACAAATATGCATTATATGTAGCTTAAAATGTTGATTCTTTCTATTCATATTGAAGAAAAAAATCATATTAAGGTGGAACTGTATTGCGTGTATTCCAACTTTCATGTCAATTACTTTGTTTTATCCAATTATCGTTCGAATCTCTTCTTTCGACTTCCATCCCGATCGTTCAGCATATGTTTTGGAAGTAGTTTGTGTTTATATAATTCATTTCATTACAAAGTGGTGATTCTTAAGTGTGTTCGTAATTTCGTATATAATTCATTTCATTATATGCAACTCTCATGGAATTGCAGGCTCATATATCTTGTCATATTTGAATTCGTAGACTATCTGCTTTGGGATTTGTCTTTTAAGGCTTTGTTTCCCTGATTTACCAGATGCATTGTTGAGGTGATTTGAACAAAATATATGAGATAACAAAGGAACTACTCTGTGAGATTCTAACGATTATTTACACACAGACAAATACAGTTGCGGAGATTGATAAAGGTAAACTATTTCTTCAATAAATGTCTAAACAATTCATAAATTTTTTTGCAATACGCTGAAGAAATCAATTTGTTCCCAGATGCTAGCCAGCACAGGCAGTATAGGCGGATCAAGAACACAATTCTTCTGGTGCATGTCGTCCAGAGGAAGAACCGGGGTGGGATACCATGGTGGTTTTAAAAGCAACCGTCCGAAGAATGGGACTGCTTCCTGGTAATGCTTGAAATCTTTTGTCCGACCATTCCACTCTACAATACATTTGTCTTGCTCTACGAAAAGGATGTCAGGATCATTAGGATGAAACCGTATGTTTCTTATAAGTGTGTGAACGCCAACATTGTTGTTATTCCCCTGCTTGATGAATGTATTATCGTGGTGAAAACACACGTCCACTATGGGTACTTTGTGCACGAAATGCCACTTCCCTGCTCCCTCTTCCTCTTTGAGTTCCCAAACCATCACGTGAGACAACATGGAGAATTGCATGTCATAATAAGGATAGTCGTAGCACTGGGATAGACGTAGGCGCCCATTGCACACTCCAATGTTCCCGCGCAATCCATGGCTAGGGTAAACCATTCCATGGGGTAAGTCAATGACTTGAGGCTTGTCTTGCAAGTCTTTGATGTTGATCCTTATGACACGACTTTCGTTGGAGTACCACAGAATACCCTTGTGGAAACAGCTCTCCCTTAGCCAGGAACCACTGAGGAAACAGAAGCCTCGCGGGATACCCACACTCAAAGTCTTCCACACCTTGTCCTTGGAAGAAAAGACTTCGAACCTCAATGGAAAATCAGGATAAAATGTCTCTTCTGGCCCTTTGTCCATGACCAAGACAATGTACTCGTATTCCGGATTGTAAATACTGCCATTGTTGCTTCCAGTGGGATCTTGCTCTCTGTAGAAGCTTCCAGAATAGAACTGGAAGCTCTTCGCGCAGTCGTGAGGCCGAGGAGGAAGAGCAACCCATTGCCTTGTGATTATATTACAGACATAGTAATAATCATCCGTGCAACCGGAGTAGGACCGCTTGGGGCGAAAACTGCTCTTCAAGTGACCGCAGAGGAACAAATCTCCAGAGACCCCCAAAACACCCAACTCTTCCCCTTCTCTCTTTGGGAGAAAATCGAGGGACCTGTGGAGAACAGGGAGATCCTCTGTGTCGTTGCCTTGCCGGCCACAACATTGGTCTCCGAACTCATTGCTGTCTGTGAAGTTGAGGATGACGTAAGGTTGTTGGTGGAGCTGAGTGGGGCGGTGGAAGGCCATGAGTCTCTCGAGGAAGGAGGCTTGGGACAGTAAAAGGGACCAAGCCTTGGACACCGACAGACACCGAGTCTTTGTAGGTGAGCCGCTGGAGAATCTCCGCCAGCAAATCGTCGCCGAGCTTTTCTATCTTTGCACCCATGATGATGAAAACAATCAGAACTTTGTTTCGTTCAGAGTTCTTGCGGGAATGTGATGCCGTGGGCTATGTGGGCGTGTGCATATATAAATACGAATGCATGCAATCCTACTTTGGGAGAGATTGGAGTAAGATGTGATTCCTATTGTGCTTCTAAGTAGGAGAAATTCAAGAATCCAATAATAGCTTCTCTCATAATATTTGTTTAGATTTAACTTTTTGAGGTAAAAATTACTCCAATAATATACTCTATTTGTCCCATGTCAAAAAGGCACGTTAGAGTTTTTTTGGAGATTAAATAATATTTTTGACTAGTTGAAAAAGCAGAGAAAATGTGTAAATTAAAGTGATTTAAAAATACGGTGTATATGAAAAAGAGTGAAAACGTAAGAAAGAGTGTAGAAGTGATGGAAAACATACAAAAAGTAATCAAAAAAGTCAAAAATTATTTTAAATATAAGGATTTGTCTTTAAGAAAATCGCCAATAATAATAAGAATAAAACATAGATCTTATCCATAAAATAAAATATATTTTTATCCTCAAAATATGAGTTTATAGTGTAACATTGGTACATTATATATTGACATTTCATAGTATTTTTTTGGTAGTATATGTTGACATTATTAAAAATGTAACTACTCTCTCCGTCCCAAATTATAATGCATGTTTACTATTCACACGGTCAAACTTCATTCACTTTCTTTCTCTATTTTCGTTAGCAATTTGATAAAATAAAATATTATTGTCAGTACTAGTTTTGTAGATCTTTTGATGTAGTTTTTTAATATGTAATTTTTATTTTTTAATTCTATACCATTTGTCATATAAAATAGTTTAAAAATAATTTCAGTCAAACATCGTAAACCGAAACAGGCGTTATAAAATGGGACGGATGTAGTACTATTTTAAAATTAAAACATAAATTTGTGCTTTAATATGTTTTCTATATTTTCTTCTTAATTTAATACTCCATACGTCCCATTTTAAATTGCCTATTTGCCTTTTTTTTCCGTCCCAAAATAAGTTGTCTGTTAGTTGTTTTCGTAAACTCTTAAAAATAAAATACCTAAACTACCCCTAAAATAAGTCACATTTCTTCACCTTATCTTCTCATTCATCATCACACCTCCTAAAAAGTAATGTCAATTTCGAAAAGTCAACTCTATTTTTTATTTTCCTTAAATATGCCCAAAAATCAAAACAGACAATTTAAATTGGGACGTAAGAAGTACTTTTTACTTTTTATTTTGGTTGGGATACCAAAAAAAGTTACTTTTGCCTTTTATCACAGATGGATGGAGTAATAAATACAGAGCAATTAAAATAATTATTACCCTGTATTATACTCCGTAGTATACTTATTCAACTTCTTTTTGCATAGAGCTAGGTTTGAACATGACTTAGATTTGAACTTGGGATCTCTTGTAGGTAAATGCTCGTAGGTACCGAAATGCATATTAGAATTACACGATTTCTTTGATAACACACAATGAATCAATTTCTCTTTTTTTTTTTTTGTTGAAACTCGAATATAAATGAATGTTATTATGAATTTTGAAAAAATGGACTCTCGATTACTTAAGTCAAGAGAATAATTCAACTTATTTTTTTACAAAAATACTAGGGGAATTTGAGATTTTGACACTAAATTCACACCGTGACCAATGCAGACACAGATATTAAATACTCAGGTGTACATGTAATGATTTCAGTGTGCATGTGTTGTCAAAATCTCAAGATCCCTCTAACATTTCTCATTTTTTATTTATTTGACTCGTATTCATTGCTAACGAAGAGATTAATTGCATACAAAGTGGCATACACTCATACGAGTCTACAATCCTTTCGTTTTAAAAAAAAGCACGGAACTCAAAGGCTATTAAATTTGTGGGTGTTGATCGTTGAGATGTGGAAAGTTGTTGTAGGAAAACTAGGAATCAATAATTTATGCTAGGTAAAATGGTAAATATGTAAATTTATAAAAGATCTGAAATTTCATCAATTTTAGTGCATAAATGCAATACAAAAACTGAGTTTTTTACAAAAAAAGAAAAATAATTCACTTACCAGCTTATGATAGATGTGAGAAAACCTGTATTTCACATTTGGACTTTAATACCACGGAATACAAGTCTGGTAAATAATGTTTCTTTGGTACTCGGCATTACTCCCCTTGTCTTAATTAAAACTGTCCATTTTAATTAGTTTATATTTAATGTTTGACTGAAATTATTTTTTCCTTTATTTTATATGAAAATTTATATGAAATTTAAAAATAAAATTTATATATTTTAGAATTACATCTAAAATCCTATAAAACAAGAGATGACATGACCATATTATTTTATCAAATGAGTGTTCTCTAAAAGTAGTTAAATTTTGGCCATAATAGTAGTGAGTAAATAATTTAAATTGAGACTATGTGCTTATTATATTTTCTCAAAGTTCAAGCCTCTTACGTATTTAATTAGAACCTTTAGCCGGTAAATAATGTTTAATTATGATAAAAATCAAATAATATGGTTTTGATTTATTTAGAAAGGATAAAAAAGATACGCTACCTGTGCAAATTTTAATCTAAAAAAGTGAGAACAAAATTCTGAAGAAAAGAAAACCACTGGACCATTCACCGTGTAAAACTTTATAGTATAAACATTTTCTACATTTATATACTTCTACTCCGAATTATATTTTTTTCATTCCAAAATAAGATTTCAAATAAATATTTATTGATTAGTTGATGAAATAAAAAGTAAAATAAACACATACAGATTTATTTAGTAAAAGTTGTTATGCCATTTTAAAAAATACGCTCTCCGTTATACAAAAAATTATGTTGTGATAATTTCAATATATATAATATTTTGAAAAGTAAAAACTTCATATTGATAAAGTGTTGAGAAAGAGAAGAGTTGTGAGTAACTCGATTATTTTTTCAAAAGAAATTAAAATGAAGTTTTCCACGATGGATGGACTATTTTTGTAATTTCTTTTGCCAATTTATGATTATTGAATTAAAAATAAGTTTAGCTGTATATAATAAACCAAAAAAATATGAAATTTGTTTTTTAGGAAAATTCCTTAAATAGAACTAAAGAAATATAAAAGACTCCTTAGTCCTTACATCTCGGATTAGAGAGTGTTTGAGATTGCGATAGATTAGTGATATGTGTGTGTGTGTGTTAAAGCAGAAGCAAATAATTTTAGCTTTGCTTAAAGGCACGTTTGGAGCTCAGATTAGACTTCTAAAGTCATAATCTATAAATAGAAACAGATTACCAAACACAAGAAATGGTATTTTGACAAGGGCGAACTCAAAAACAGTTTTCAAATAGACAAACACAAATACGAACACCATATTAAATTAAAGTTCCCCTTTGACTTCACACAACACATAAATAGTAAGAAAATGTTAAAAATGCCATTCACTTGCCCATTCATGTGCAAAATATGATTGAAAAGATGAAAAAAATAGAAGAGCAAATTTAGGAGTGATAAATGATACTACCTCCGTCCCGCTATATTCGTCCAGTTTTGACTTTTTGGAACTGTTCACCTAAGCACTTTGACTCATTAAATTCTCTCAATATGTAAGTCTAAATATAGTCATGTGTGATCTTGTTTGATTTGTCTAAACATATAGATTATTAATATATAATTTCTATAATTTTTTAATATACAAATTACAAGATAAAATGAATTAAAAAAGTGTATTGGATGGTGTGTAAAAATGAAAGTGGACAAATACTCTGGGACGGAGGGAGTTATTAAGAGATACAATGTGAAAAGGTAGTGTTAATATGGTATTTGTAATTAATTGGTTTTGTCAAATAAGAAAATGAGACTTTAAATTAGGGATGTTGGATTTAGAAATATAGATGACTTTAGCTCAGGGATGGAGAGAGCATTAAAATGGAAGTGTTAGTCTTTTAAAATTTAAATAGGGATCTACAACGGTGTTGTAAACTGCCATGACAATGCAATTACGGTATGTCTATGTCACATTATCGTCTATTGCTTTCACACTACTATAGAGTCACAAGTTCAAGTTGAACTAGAGGCGTTGACATTTAATATTTTACTTGTCTTATTAAATAGGAAAATGTCTTTAATCTCTTTGTTTCTTGACATTAATTGCTACTCGTATTTGTTTTTCCTGCATGTTATTTGCTTTCTTTCTGTTCGATCTGGGTTCTTTCTATTCGATCTGGATTCTTTAATTCTAGAAACAGTCTATACTTTTGAGTAAGATTAAGGATGTGTAATAGCCCTCATAGACTTTATTTTTGTAGGATCGTACATACTCACTCGCGGAATTAATTACCTTGCTCCGACTGGGAGCACCCCCCGGTCAATTTTTTGTAGTTATAGGGTGTAAAAATAAAAAAGTCTTGTAATTCCAAAAGCATGCCTCCAGTAAAAAAAAAATTTTGCCCTAGTTAAATATACTTCGTACTACGTAATTCATTCAATACTGTATTTTACTATTTTGAAATATTTTATTTTATTTATTTAAAATCTTTGGATACAAAATTTAATTTTTTCCATCATAATTTAAAAGCACTTGCTATACTACCCCACTCATTTGCCATCCTGGATCCGATACTTTACGTACTGGTTTTTGTTGTTCTGGTAGATATAGAAAATATGTATAAATAGTGGAGTACCAAATTGTACTCTCTCATTTTCAAATACAATAGCACACTGCATTATTTTAAATTGATGTTAAATTTGATTTATTTGTGTGTTTTTGATGCTTATTTGATAAGACAAAGTATTTTATCACTCTTGTTTTGTAGAATTTTTAAATAATTTTTAAATGTATAAATTTATTTATTATTTTTATATCATTCTTATAAAAAATAAATTTAAAAAAAACATGAAATTTTGTTTTATTTTACATAAATTAATGAATATTTTTTAACCGAAGGAGCAATAAAATTAAAGGTATTAGTAAAAATAGGTTGGTGCACTTTACTCCTTCCGTCCCTAAACGATTGTCACAGTTTATCATTTTTGGTCATTGAGTGTCATCCTTTGACTATGAATTAAATATAATTTACAATAATTAAATATTATAAAAATATAATACTCCCTCCGTAACACAAAACGTTACCCATTTTGAATAGTATTTGGTCAAACAGTTACACGATTTGACTATAAATTGTAAGAAAAGTATATTGAATTATAATATAAATTTAATACAATTGGATTCATCTTAGGATCTAGTTTTGATATATCAAATTTTTATAATACTTCTTTATATATATTATATTTAATTTATGGAGAAAATACATTACAATTTGATCAAAAATACACCAAAATGAGTACTCATATTTTGTGGGACGGGAGTATTTCAAAATTAAAATTTGAAAGCAAATAGGGAAGCGGTAAGCTCGCAGTCCAAGTTCATGGGAGTCAGGTGTTAAAAGACAAAAGAGGACACGCGTCCCCTTTTCCGCTCTTTCCCCAAACCTTCACGAAACTCTCTCCGACGCCTTCGGGAATGCCCACCCAGCTGTATTTTATACGCACGCCTCTTCTACTATACGAATACGTATATTCCTACGGCGCGCCACGCCTTCATAACGGCTCCGCTTCCTCCAACACTACATCCACCCGATTCACTCGCTCTCTCTCCCCCTCTCTCTCTCTCTCCCGGACTCCCTAGCCGGCCGCCGGAAAATCAAGAACCGCCCCGACCCGTCGAAAATCCGGGTCTTTTCTACGCCGGAGAAAGAACGACGCATGGAGGCGGAGAAGATATGGGGCGCGATGCAGGGGCTGAAGCCGGCGTTCTTGATGGTGGTGGTGCAGGCGGTGTTCGCCGGCGTTAACGTCCTGTACAAAATCGCGGCCTCCGACGGGATGAATCTCAGTGTTCTGGTCTGTTACCGGTTCCTCTTCGCCACCGGATTCATCGTCCCCGTCGCTTTACTCGCCGAAAGGTCCAATCTTTAACTCGATTTTACTCTCTGAAAGGTTCATGCATGCATTTCATGCAAGATCTCTAATTATACCACTGCAACGATTCTTAATTTTTATATTAAAATATGCAATAAAGTTGGTTTAATTTGATTCAAAAAAGGCAAATTGAATGATTTTATATATAGTTTAATTCTGGGATTCATTTTAATTTTAATTTACAACTGATTTGTGCTGAGTTTTAATTTGTGGGTTATTAATTAATGTGATGATTTGGATCAGAAACAAGAGGCCAAAGCTAACATGGACAATTGTGTTGCTAGCATTTCTCTGTGGTCTGTTTGGGTGAGAGCACTTCCAATTACTACTCTCAAATCCATTTTCTCATCCTCTTTAATTTGGTAACTAAATTACTTTGGGTACCCTTCTCAAAAGATTAATTCTTGATTCCTCATTTCTTTTAAAGAAAGTCACAATAATATAAATTGATGCAAATTTTGGTATTGTAATTAAATGCATGCAGAGGATCACTAGGGCAGAATTTGTATTTACAGAGTTTGGTATACACTTCAGCAACATATGCAACTGCCATCTTTAATCTCATCCCTGGGATTACATTCATTGTTGCTGTCACTTTTAGGTAATTTTTTTTACTAATGGTTATTGTTATAATTACCATCCCTTCATTCAGTAATTAAAACTTATCTAATTAACTAATGAATGAATTAGGTTGGAGAGGTTGGGTTGGAAAACAGCATCAGGCAAAGCAAAGGTTTTGGGAACAGTGTTTGGGATTGGTGGGGCCATGCTTTTGACCTTCTACAAAGGACCAGAGCTCAACCTATGGAGGACCAATATTCACCTGTTGCACAGCTCACCACATAACTCTAATGTTCAGAGTAAACCTCTTCTGGGCACTCTTCTGGCCTTGATTGGCTGTGTTTGCTACTCCTGCTGGTTGATTCTCCAGGCAATAACTATTCTTTTTTTTTCGTTCAGCCCGAAATGATTTACGCATTTTTTTGATAAATTTTTACTGAGTTATGATTATTTCTCTTTCGTCTGAACAGGCAAAGGCCGCAGAGCGTTTCCCATGCCCATACTCGTTCACAGCTCTAACGATGGTGTTCGGGTCGGTTCAAGCGTTTATATATGCAATATGTAGGGAGAGGGATTTGAGGGAGTGGAAGTTAGGGTGGAATATCAGGCTCCTTGCTGCTGCATATGCTGTAAGTATGCATTAATCATCACAGATATATGCACTTTATTTTTGTGATGTAACATTTTGTGACATAATAACAATAATATGTGACATATCACACACATATATGTGTTGCACATGCATGGCAGGGGATTATGGGTTCAGGGCTGATGTTCACGGTGATAGCGTGGGCCGTGCGCATGAAGGGTCCCGTGTACGTCTCGGTTTTCAACCCGTTGATGCTCGTCATGGTCGCGCTTGCTGGCTCGTTGTGCTTGGATGAGAGGCTACATTTGGGAACGTATGTCTCTTAATCCATCCATCCCCTAGCTTTAGCGTTTTGAAAAAGATGTGTCCAAACAGGACTTAGTTTTTAGGGTTATTAGATGTTCCCAAACTAATAAGACTAAAATTAAATCCTCATGTAAATGTACAGATTGCTTGGGGCTGGTTTGATCATAACAGGACTATACATTGTGCTATGGGGGAAGGGGAGAGAGATGAAGAGAGTGAGCCAGCTGGTGCCCGCGGTCGGGAGCGAGACGACGGAGGGCAAAGTTGGGCAGGTCGAGATAGATATAATAACGCCCACTCCGTCGTCCCGGAAAGACGGGAGCTGCCACGTCAGCAGCAGGAAGTCCAGCATGGACATGAGGAGAGATAACTGCAGTTTGGAAGGAGGAGGAGGGGAAGAAGAAGGGATTCTTGCAGAGGGAGGAAGGCCTTCTCTCACTGGTTCTGAGGTTCTTGGAGGCTTTTACTTGTACCACTAATTAGCTCTATATATCAACTTACAATTCAACAACTAATTAACCATGATTAGTTGATCAAGCTACATATATAGGGCCTGTTTGGGAGTAGCCTTAGAAATCAGAGTTAACGTTTTGGATAAAAATTCAATTTTTCGTAGATAGCCTTTTCAAAACGCTAGCCCTAATCTCTAACGCTATTCTCAAACAGGCTCATAGTCTCTCTATCCGTTCATTCGTTCGCGTTTAAGTGATTGTTGTGATTTATATGATACATCTAAAATTGAACGAATGTAAATATGATGTGTATGAAGTGATCATATTCTTTCGATTTTTAATATATCATAAAAATCACAATGGTGAAGTTAAATTTGAATGAATATGGAGGAGGGATCATAAGTGGGTTCACCAATTTGATGGTTCATCAGTTTCTTTCCAAATTGTGTAAATTACTGGTAATTAATTGCATGTATGGTACAACTCGATCCCATTGCATAAGCTTAAGAGATGCAAAACCCATAAAACGTGCCCATTAAGCCTTAGTGGTTTACAAAAATTCATAAATTTTGATTTTTTATCGTCAAAATTCATAAATTTTGACTATTAATTAAATAAAATTAATATTAGATATAAATACAAAAATAATATTTATTTTATAAAATTTATTTTATATTTATACAACAATTGATATTAGATTTATTTTATAAAATATTTTCAAAACACTATTTTATTTAATTGATGTATCAGATCATATTTATTTAATTATAGATCAAATTTTAAAAGTGATTGATTTTAGAGAAAAAAAAACTAAACAAATACTCTGTGTTTAGGAATAAAAGTAGTACTCCCTACTTAGCTTCTTAAACAATTTTACAGAGTTCAAATACGGAGTATAAAGGTCTTGTTGGTCCATTACTCCAACCTATACGAGCTTAGCCCAATCATGGCAAGTGTCTATTCATAACTCTAGTGTCTAAAGTTTAAAACAATAAAACATAAACCAATAAAAAACATAGCCCAATTTTTTTAAAAATAACATAGCCCAATTTGAGTACTATTTTTACAAAACTTTTGGGCCTAATATAACTTGGGCACTTAGTCTTGTACAATTTCTTTTTTTTTAAAATAAAATTTAAAACAGCAATGTTACTTTTAATTACGGCCCTGTTTGGCATTCACATTAGAGATTAGCTTTAGCGTTTTGAGAAGGTTATCCAAAGGTAGCCTTTAGCGTTAGCGTTTTCCAAATTAACCTAGCTATACCGTTAATATTTTATCCAAAACGCCAACGGTAATTGAAAACCCTCTTCCCAAACAAGGCCTAACTCATTTCTAGTGTCATATTATGACATTGGTTAAATTGAAAACTCTATGACAATTCTTTCAGAAAATATGCTTGTTCATATTCCAAAAACCTCCTCCACCTTGTCAACTGAGATTCCAATTTTATTGACTTTGGGGTAATTTCGTGAGAACATATTTATTCTCCTTATTATATGGACCTTAAGGCTCCGTTTGGTACACAAAATTCAAATTATAAACTTATAATTAAAAACAACAATTCCAATTTCGTTGTTTGGTAGTGTTAGACAATAACAATAGTATTACTTATGATAGTATTGGTCATGGTAGTAATTAATTATTAGTTAACTTCATATTCCTATTTATGATAGATGTAGTATTTTAGTGCGTTTTCATTCTTTATTTCTAGTTGTGTTAGAAGTTCCTCATCTATCATGTACTCCCTCCGTCCCATTATATTTGTCCACTTTCATTTTTGCACACCATCCAATGCACTTCTCTAATCCATTTTATCTTGTAATTTGTATATTAAAAAAATTATAGAAATTATATATTAATAATTTATATGTTAAGACAAATCAAACAAGATCACACATGACTATATTTAGGCTTACACATTGAGAGAATTTGATGAGTCAAAGTACTTAGATGAACAGTTCCAAAAGTCAAAAGTGGACGAATATAGCGGGACGGAGGAAGTAATCCATAATTCAATGAGTAATATTGTTATTCCAATATTTCAAATGGTAGTACAAAAATATATATGAATTTGAAATTGGTACTGCAAAAAATGAATGACAATCTTATAGGACCCGTTTCCTTACACAACTTCAATGAATAGGGCAGGCAGCCGACTATTTCTTTCTCTAATTTAAAGTGATTAGATTTCATGCATGTCCTTATTAAATTGATGAAAGTATCGACAATCACTTTGAAATTCAATCTTATCCGTCCATTATATATTTAATTGTTATGTTAGCAAACATTTATTCTAAACTCTTTACTGAATTATGGACACATTCTCGTTGTATATCAAGTTGGTTTATCCCTCTATTTATTTGAAAAAAAAGATGATGAGCTTCATCCCCGATGATCCTCTCAGATCTACTTGGACGGTCAGTAATTTGGACTTTGATTGTACATTGGTGGCAAAGAATGAACCATGCATCTGGTACTTGTAGAGACTATGTTTAGCATATTTGCCTCCCAGCGCAGTTGCTAGAAATCAAACTCAGGTCTTACACCTTAGGACATCTTTTCTTTCCCAAGTCCCAACTACACGACGCCCACTATTTATTTGACATTTCCTACAAGATCACTTTTAAAGGTTAATTTGGTTCTTATTATTAAAATTTAAAAAATTAAACTATCCAAAACTCCAACGTTAATTTTTAATGATTTTCGCTAAAGGACTTTTAATTGTGTTAGAATGATATTTTTTATTTTTACATCAATTTTCTTGTAAATTGCGTTGGAAATTACTTTAATTTAGTCAAACATTATACGGAGTATTTATTTTGAGTTTTCCCATAAAGAAAAGTATAAATTTTATTTGAAAAAGAGGGGAGTATAAGTATAACATATACTTTCTTTGTCTAGAGAGCAATTTTATACTTTCCCTTTTTAGATGTCTCAATATAAATTCTACATTTGTATAGTACCCATTTTAAGGATTACATTGTGGCCATTTAATTTATTTCTTTTATTTTTTTATAAAAAAAAAGATTTTAGCCACTCATTTTCATTTTAAACTATATATCTTTCATTTTTCAATATTTTTCCTAAAACTTATAGAGTGGAAGTGTCAACATAATACTCCCTAACTACATGAGAGAATCTAACTAACGCCCGCACCATATATAGCTTGATGGAGGGAATTTGATTGAAAAGAACCTTCTTTAATTTCTCCTTCATAACATACAATTAATTAACTTATACAGGATGATGAGGCGGCAAAGCTTGAAAGCGGCGGTGCTGATGGTAACGGTGGAGGCGGTTTTGACGGGCGTGAACGTGATGCTGAAGTTGGCCGCTTCCGATGGAATGAGCCTCAGCGTTCTCGTCTTCTACCGCTTCTTTTTCGCCGCCCTCTTCATCTCTCCCCTCGCCTTCCTCCTCGAAAGGTCGGTGGGCTCGCACGCGCTTATATAACGTTATTCACGCGTCTTGAAACTCTGGACATACAATATACTCCCTCCGTCCCGGAAAATTCGTCCAGTTTTGACTTTTGAAACTGTTCATCTAAGCATTTTGACTCATCAAATTCTCTCAATGTGTAAGCCTAAATATAGTCATGTGTGACAAATACTCTGGGACGAAGTAGTATCTCGGATCAGAGTATTTTATTTTCGCAATCTTGTGGACTTGTTTGATGACATTTTTGGCTTCCATATTAATTTTATATATCAGGAATAAGAGGCCCAAGCTGACATGGATGGTTTTATTACTAGCATTTTTATGTGGATTAGTTGGGTGAGCTCTCATATACTCCGTATATATATATATATATATATATATATATATATATATATATATATATATATATATATATATATATATATATATATATATATATATATATATATATATATATATATATATATATATATATATATATAGGTTCTGGTGAGAATGCAATCTTAGGAGAGAAATGAGAATGAATCTGGTGTTTTGGATTGTGAGATCTAAGGGTCAAGATTTCATCAAAATTAGATGCACCAAAATGGTTCGAAAATGCATCACGTCGAAATGCACCATAAACCTTCGAAAATGCACTATCTCAAAATCTGAGCGCAGGATGTAATCTGAGCCACACGATGCATTAGATCTGACGGCTAGATTTTATTATCATTTCTCTCCACAAGGTGTATTCTCACGGGAATCAGCCCATATATATATATATATATATATACACACACACACACACACACAGAGAGGCGGATCTATTAAGAGTCCCATGGGGTCCCGGGACCCCACGGACCCCGATGTAGGTCCATATATGTATTAGGTTTAATTTGGTATTCTATATATAGAAAAGAAGCCTGCGGTAAACAATATGCCGAGATAGTTCAGTGGAAGCGCTGGCTCCCCTCCAACCAGGTAGTGCCGTGTTCGAAACTTCGGCTTGTTTTTATCTTGGGCAGATGAGTACCAATTCATTTCTTAGGGTAGTTCGTTTAATGTTGCTCTCAATATTTTTTAAAATCTTTTGAAAATGAGTATTAAATCTATTGATCAAGAACTTTTATTTATTTTATTTAGTATTTTACTAATATAATTTACGAATTTGATTGATTGTTAATTTTAGACTTTATAAATTGTTTAAAGGTAAGCACTCAGAAAACTTGTTTAAAGATAAATTTTTAGTGTCCTTTCAATCGTAAATCTAAAATGTCTCATTAATGATTGTCTCTTAAAATTGAATTTACAATTCTAATGTATTTGAAAAAACACTCAAAATGCAAAGAACCAAAATCTTGTGGAAGTTATATGGATTTAATACGGAGTACTAATATTTCAGTGTCCAAGTAAGTACTTAATCTTTACCTATTAACAAAAATTCAAAAGCCATTTCAATTTTGAATCTTTAGAGATTGACTCTCTCTTAAGAAAGAAAATATTCGATGTTCATCTGAGTATTAAAAATAAGATATTTCATAGTTATCTTCAAAAAAAGTTTACAAACCTTAATACAATAAATTTCTTTCTAAACTAATTAGTGGAAAGAAGCATATTTTTGTTTATTTTTGGTTTGACCAATTGTAAAATGCCTTTGTAAAATACTAGTAATAATTATGAACTATGTATATCCAGATCACTAAAATTGGATAAAATCGGGGGGGTGGGCAAGTCAATTTGGAAACCGGACTCCCAACCAGTTTGGGCTATCCCTTGAAAAACCCTAGAAACCCAAATTGACACAGAAAACTCACAACCTGGCGGCCACGCTGATTCTTTGCTGCTTAGGGTTTAAACATTGATTTAAATAGAAAATATTTTTTGAGTTTATTTCTAAAAGATACAAAGTATGAATTAGCTCAAGGTAAAAACTCAAAGGTAAGAAAATTTGGGACCCCATGGTCCAAAAATTCTGGATCCGCCCATGTATATATATACTCCATCTATTTGGGTTCATCAGAACAGAGGATTATTATTGATTAATTATTTAAAAGTAATTCTATGTTCATCCCCAATCTATTTATTTCCTAATTAAAAATTAAAATGTGGTGGTAAAACTAATTAAGCTTAATATTATAGATAAATAAATATAAATATTCATTTATATTTATTCTTGATTATCCTTGATTTGCTTTCCTTATCTCACATGTATTTAATGTATACCATGTATAGCTCCTAGACTTTAGGCTATGATTTGGGATCTAAACTTAGTCCCTCTTAGTTGTTACTATTTATATACGTTATGATGAATGAAGAAGCATTGTATTCTGACTTCATATGGTATCAGAGCATCAGTAAAGGATTCTTTTTCTTCCTTTTTCGGTCCTTCACGCACGAAGCTGCGTCCAAACCAATTTCTTTCTCTTCTCTTTTTCCTGATCTTGTTGCTCTACCGGCATGGCTCCTTCTGTAGCTCCATCATCTTCTAATATCACCAAAGACACCCAGGTGATCCAGCTTCATGCAAAATCTCACTTTCCGATCAAATTGGTCTCTACCAATTTCTTGATCTGGCAACGTCAGGTCCGTTCAACTCTCATCGGACTTGATCTTCTGGGCTACATTGACGGCACACTTGCTGCCCCGGCTCCAACAGTCAACGACGCGATCAATCCTTGCTACTCAATTTGGTTCCGACAAGACCAGTCCATTGTGGGTGCTCTTCTCGGTAGTTGTTCTGATCAGGTTCA